CTTTTTGTTTGTTTTTGCCTAAGATGTTTTCGTGTTTGTTTTGTTTTCTGTTGCTTGTTTTTGAGTTTCTGTAAAACATCACTCTCGGGACAATGCGATACCATCTGCTCCCGGCTTCAGTTTGACAAAAACAACTTGTACGTCTGTACTGACGCCCGAGATTACGGACCCAATTTCCCCCATGTTTACTCCACGTACATGCACCTGATGTCTAACTAGTAAGGTTAAAGTGAAAACACGAATGGCTTTATTCATTTTGCTTGTTCGAACGTCGAACATCTCCGCTAGATTACCGGATCGAAACAAAGCCTTTAATCGAACGGTATCTGCTTGAAATCATTAGCTATTGGCTAAACTAGATACACTTGTAAAATAAACTGGAATAAACAACTCAGGATATAAAAATAGTCTGGTAAATTATACTTCAATTCAACGACACAATTTTATTTTTCAACCTAGCTCCACGCATTATTTCGCACGCAATAATCCGCCTACTGTTTCTCTACTCGATTGAAAATAACACCACACGTTATTTGTTTTTCATCATAATTTTTCATCGTAGCTCAGTCGGCTGATTTGTTTGTACATTTACAAGTTGTTTTCTGTGTTTTATCTCCCTGTCATTGTTTTCGTTGATGTTTTCGTGATCGAAAAAGTCAAGTACGTGCGACAAACCGGCCAATTTGCGTCAGTGCCGAATTTAACACGACGTGCGCCTATACAGCATGTGATACAGCGCTGTCCAATTGAGAAGCTTTAAGTGGCTCTCGATGCTCACGTGACCTAGGTCCCAGGTGGTACCCGTCTATGTAAACAAAAATAGGGGAGAAAAAGGCGGGAATCCAAAGTTTAGTTTGGCTTCGGTGTTGGGTTAATAGGGTGAATGATGTTTCCGTACTGAAAGGTTAGAAACACTTGGGCCTAGGAGGAGAAAGCGAGTGGAGCGCTGAACAAAATTTTAAGAGTCGAATTGGAATACTTGGACGAGGCTGTACAGGGACTGTTTTAAAATTTATTTTGGAGGGGATGTTGGATTGATTTGGTAGCATGAAGGTGGCATGACAATAATTGGTGGGCAAATTAGCGGGGGGGGGGGGGACTTAGGGGTCATATTTCTGAGGGGGGGGGGGCGGCTCAATCCATTTTCAACTACAGTATTCCTTCTGATCTCCGTTTGCTATTTCCCAGGTTTGCAGCAAACTGTAGCATCGTGACTTAGGGCGTGTTCCCTGGCTACATGACATAGGCCTATACGGGTTTATGACTTCTGACTAGCGGCCTGGAACAAAGACTAGGGCTGCATCCGAATCAGTTGTCTAGAGCTAGGTCTAGGTCTGCGCCCATTGGAAATACGCGGGGACGCGCTGACAATAGACGTAGCCGTAGCTCTGGAAGCCCGTTTCGGACACGGCCTAATTGGGGAACCGCCAACGTGGGGCTGGATAGCTCAGTTTGTAGAGCACCGGAACTGCGATCGGGAGGTCAGAGGTTCAAACCCCGATCCCGTCAAGTTCTTTGTTAGTCAGTTTCCCCTGGGTGTTTTTTTTTGAGAAATAACAAAACCTCATTTTAGTCTTTCCCAAATTCTGAGGGGAGGGGCACAAACGGGAGTGTACGTGCCCCCGTTGACCCTATACCTCCCAAACACGCCACTGTGGTTGGGGTGGGCATGGGGCGACGTCTTCTGCTAATAATTTGGTGGGGAATTTATTAATTTGAAAGGGAGTATTCCCATACAAAGTGGTTCCAAATAGATTCCCAGGTAAGCCTAAAAGGCGGGCAAGGTGAAACAATTAGCCTACTTTTCCAACGGCTGCTGGAAGTTTTTTTTGGGAGCGTACACCAGGGAATTGGCAGGTTGATCCGTGCCAAGGGGCGCAGTTTTTGTAAAACTGTGCCCTGTTTAGTTTCATTGTTAGCCCTGGAAATTGCAATCAGTGCAGAAAATGATGCACCAAACCCAAGCAGCGTGAGTGAGCGTTTTGTCGAAATGTTAAAGGTTGTGGATCCGGAGTTTTCTTAGTTTTTACACTATAGTTTCTCTCTAATTTACAAAGCATAAAACAAGGGATAAGACGGAGTGAGTCACCTTAATTTTAGATTTTCTTTGGGAAAAAAATCACTTCTGTCGAAACTAGAGTGAAAACTCTTTTCGACTGAATTAATTCAGTCTACATCGTCTCTGATGGAGTGAATATTCACTAGCACTGAGTGAATTTTCACTTTTTTGAGAGTTGTAATGTCGGACAAAAAAAATGATGGCAGTGAATAAAGATTTTTTGAAAATTTTGAACTTGTTTCTTCGTGAGAAGTTATATTTATAAAAGTTTCCTCACTGCAGACCCATTTTTTTCCAAAGACTGAAAAATAGCACAGGTACCTTTTGGATGCAGGGTGAACCGACGCATGGACGACTTTGGCGAAAAGTGATAACTCGAATTTTCTATGTCATCAATCGATTTGTTTTGTGTTATTTCTTCGAATGTGCACAGGCACCGTAGCATCGGTGCATCACAGATGTATAAGAGGCGAGGAAAGTACAACTGCCACACCCTGACTAGTCCTGGATGTGAACCACAAGACGAGGCAAGCGTATAGTAAGCTGGCCCTAGAGCCGACGCAAAATCCTATTCAGTTGATTCAGAATGCCTATTCACTGGAAGTCTTTATAATGTTTCTGGTGCATGTACAAACAATGGGCCTGATTCAGCCTTATACGGCCGGGGTAATCCTACACGACAGCACTGCACCGTGTAACGGTTCAGCAATGCACCGTGTTCTCTTCGCCAGCAGTAATCAGTGACTCACAATCAACGAGTCAGTCAGTGAGTCAATGCAGTCAGATAAAGGACTTTAAATTTATAGGCTGGTCCAGCAAAAGTAGGCCTCTGACGTCAACAATATAAAATAAACCCTATATACATTATTCTTGCCTTTCCGCCTTAAAGGTTTAAAATAATTTAATTAAGAAATATTGACTTGCGTTCTGACAAAATCTGAACACAGACGCAAACACAAAACAGCCAGTAATGAGATATTGTAATAACGCGCTGGCGGCTCCGCGATCTGCTGACTGTTTTTTTAAAGGGTATGGCTGATTTGTCATAGGCGGAGCGTACCTGGGTGGTGTACAACATACGAGATTGCCCCTTTAATTAAAGCGGTCCTTGATCAGTTGTATATACACTTTTGTGTCAGTTATATTATATTAATAATGAAAAGTCCACTGTTGAGCGAGACTTTTATCAATAAACGGCGGCAGTATTCCATCTGCAATATAATTTTTTGACGAGGAATCGTTTGATTCTTTTCGTAACTGATATGTTTTAATATAACCATATAAATACAATCATTCCTAAAATTAGAAAACTTATGTTGACAGGTCAGTTACAAGTAGACCTGAACAATAACACTTGCTGTCGCCGCACCTAAAGAACTCGCACATTATGCACAATTATGTCATGAAGAGGCGACAGCTAATACACAATCATGCGGTGTAGTTGCTATACATGACATAAAATTGACTACACAACCTACACTCTAAAAACTGTATTGAGCAATTAAAGGGAATATACATCATTTGCTTTTGCTGTAATTTTCAGAAATGGATGGAATTGGGGGGTTGGAAATATATAGCAAATATAGTTACACTGACTTTTTTGAGGTTTTGGGTTCGAAAATGCTATAAAAACCAAGAAAAACAATCATTTTCCTGTAGTCTGGTTCCCTGACTTCATATAAGAAGAAACAGAGCAGTTTACATACATTGGGGAATTGTAAGGTCAGGGAACCAGTCTAGCTGGCTTGTACCCGTTCATAGGTGTGTAATCGATTGCAAACAAGTGCGATGGTCAATTGGGGCCAGTATTTGAAAAAAGCCAGTGTTTTCCAACGCTGGTCGGCCGACCAGCGTATACTGTCATTTTTCTTGAAAATGACAGTATACCAGGTGCCATGATTTTACAGGATGCTTTACACTGTCATTCACTAACAGTCCAGCAAGGTATTTCAAAATGATTTGGTAGTTTTATTTTTTGATGTTTGCAAATGTTGTATTTTCCCTTTAAACACAATCTTGTTCTCACTCAGTAAACATGTTTAGAAGCTAAACACTACGTGTCCAATTCCTAAACATCAGTGTTTAATCGCTAAACACTATCCATCAATACTCTAAAAATGTTTAGTATGTAAACATGTGTACAAATTTCCGAGAGCAAGAAATAATATTGTTTAGGAAAGTGTTTAATTGCTAAACACAGTTTTTGCAGTGAAGTAGTAACAAGGTTTTTAAGTGAAGTTATCCTTTGTTACATCATGACTTATATTTTTTTTAGGTTGATCTCTATTCCCACCATCAGTTGTGCATCCTTTACGGTATGCATTTCCCCTCAAAATGTAAAGATAATTACGGATAACAAGCTGTCTCCCAGTAGCCCTTCAAAGTAAAAATTCCCCGCGGCAACACCATTCATGCCAGCGTTAACTAAACGTCAACACCAAATTGCGCAGAAGGATAAACAACTATTTTATTTGGCGAGATTGATGGTTCACCTTGACAAGACAGAGGAGAGCTGTCAAACGAAGACAAGAAAAGATCTCTTACACAACAAAACAACAATACCTTCAAGTATTTTGTGTATGCGGCTGGACAACAATAAACTGACAAGCATTTAGCCTAGTCGGATCCGCACGTTCTATTTTGTGTCAGAGGGGATACCCCTCTTCACTTTCCTTACGTCTGAAGAAAAAAGAGATGTTTTCCCATGTATCAATGTCTCCTTAGTGACTGATTCAGATAAAAAACTGGATGGCCGCGAAATCATCAACACGCGTGGTGAGTCTTCCGTGCCAATATGAGCTAGAAATTTCGGTATGACGTGTGCTAGCATGATATTAGCCCACAGGGATACGCAACGAAGCAAGCAGTATCGTGGAACCCTTGTGACGTCAGCAGCTCGGGTACGGGTCACGCGCGGCTCAGTCTGTGGTCTGTTGGCGGACTATAAAGTGCGCCACCGGGTACTCATGCAGGCAGTTCACAGGCGCACTTCAACCAGAACAGAGCTCATGTCGCACTCTACCCGCACTTCCCAGCACGTGTAGACCGAACGCTGACAGCTGTACACATTGTCATGCAATAGGGAATTCCTATCCGCAACATCAACTCGTATACAACACATACCAAGATCAGCATCTTCGGTTTTGTTTTGGTTTGTTTGCGAGGATAGCATACTGAAGATGGAGGCTTTTCGATCGAACGGCTCCTGCCCAAAGCAGGCACTTCTCAGCTACGTCAACAACAATGTCATTGGAGGAGAGGCGAAGTTCCGTGGTCCGTTTGGACAGAGAAGGGGTGAGTCCATTATAAGTGTCCTTCGTGTGAGACTTTTGGGGGAGTTTACCAAAAGGGGAGGCAGCCGATGCATCCAATGTTGTGTTATGCTTGTGCAATTATTGGAAAACATTTCTCCTTGAGTTTATATGCGATGACCTGTGTGAAAAAGTGTTTTCGTTTTGTTGTTGTGTAACGATTGACTTCTATGTATACGTTACAGTAAGATAAATTTAGATTTCCGATATCAGTTCTTTTGTAATAAATAGCAGCCAAAAGTTGTGATTTCCATAAATATTAGCTTACATTTGGCCCAGGAATTGTAGAGAAATGACACTGCAAATTGGTAGTGGAAAATGTACACTGTATCGTATCAAATGAGCCACCCGTTTCCTTAACCCGCAAGTCATTCGTTCCACGCTCACAGTTTTTCAGTATAACTGTAAAGTCATGTAATGTGATTTGTACTTGAAGATTACAAGTCCTGTACAAATCCTAGTTTGTTTTAGGTTTCAAAACTCCAGATATTTAGGGCATAATAATAATATATCTCAGTATACACACCCGTATTTGTGACCTTCAGTTTTTCACTTAAACACGAAATGAAAAAAAAAACTATAGCAAAACACAACACGACTTGCGTATTTAAACAACGAGTTGTCGGACATGATACAGGCCCGAGGCCTACGCCTTTCCCAATTCGACACTTAAGCGTGCATGTGTTTGATAAAAAAAGTGCTCGGAAATATCAATCAGAACCTTAGCTTGTTTGCACGAATTAGGTCTGGGCATGGGGTAAAAAAGCACGGGGGGAAAAGACCGCCAAAAAGTCTTGAGCGAGGTTGACATAAGTCAGACCCGTCAAAACGATGAATCGACCGATGATGATACTTCCTGATCGTTTTATGGTGATTTCATCTTGATGTCTTCATCAGGAGACACGTTCGTGAAAGGACAGTTCTGAGTTCATAGAATACAAAAGTAGCGCAAAATTACACCAAATTAAAGGCAGGATTATTTGCATTTATCCCGAAAGTAACCTGCCGAAGTATTACTTTAAAAATTTTTTTACTTGTACTCAACACCCTGTTAAACTATTCCGTCTGGCTTGCTGTTATTTAGTAGTGATTTCCAACGATCAGCCAACTGATTTTTGGTAAAAAGGTTGTGCACAGTTTTTCACTGTTTTCTCTTAAAGTGTAATTCGCTGAGCTGAAGTGTTCTTTCGTATACATCAGCTAACCCATTGGCTTCATTGCTCGCAGCGTTGTTATACTGGCGCATCGTATTTGAACAATTTTAACGCCAGCGATGCACAGTTTTCGCGCCTTTGGCTCGTTGCATGTTAGACGGTCGTCTTAAAGGATTCAATTGATCACCAAGTCATGCAGTTCCCATATAAAAAGGTGACCAGGGAAACGGGGGCGTTCTTTGACGATCCCTTCCTCTGAAAAAAAAAAATACTCGTGTAAATTAAGTTCCTGAATCTTAGTACGGTGAATCAAACAAACTGTTGGCACGGGGAGCCTTTTAATCTCGGTAAGCTGGGCGGGAGATTTCCGTAAGAACTTGAGAAACCGCCCTGTCGCGAAGAAAAACAAAAATTTCCAAACACTTTTTTGTTTTTGAGCGTCGCTCTTTAGGGACTGGAAAAGTGGAAGGAGACTCCAAAATGTCCTCTGGGGTTTGCTTACACTAATAAAAACAAACACCACCCCGATAACGGACTTCAAGTTTGGGGCAGTCAGCCGAGCACTGGACGGATACTTTATGCTTATCAGATCAAGCGAAAGTTTTCTTATAAAAACTAAGGGACACAAGTTGTGGCGTAGACCGGACACTCCCTTCTTAAAGGGATTTACCACATCACGCAATAAATAGACTACGCGTGCGGTGATTGCAGGACCCCGACGCAATATGTTTTTTCCACATGTATATTGCGGCTTGCCATTTTTTTTTGACCCCGCACGAAGTTGGTGATGCACCGTGACCGCGATGATAAAATTCAGTCATCCTTATTAGTCATAATCGTTTTTTTTTGCCCCCCCCCCCCAAAAGGAAGGCACGCACGACATCGCAACACTGTAGAACATGCAAATACTGGTTTATGTTTGGGCCCTTAACTTATAATAGTACAGTATTAAAACCTTTTTTATTCACGCTCTAGAAATGAATCGAACAGCCACACTTAAACCTTGACAATGATTGTGCCCGTACAATAATGGGCTTGCGGTTTAGGGTGTCATTATTTGTAATCGCTCTGGCAAATTTACAAAACACATTTTTATTGATTGGCAGCGATTGGAGAAACATCCGTTCGGACAAACGAACACAAAAGTACGGCCTGTGTTGTTTGGTTAGTCGAGTAGTTTGGACCTTCCGGTCAAGGTTCTTTGTCCAGGAAAATAACAATAGGTATGAGGCTCTTCGCAATGATGGTGGTTTTTTTTTAAATTTTTATCAATTGGCTGAAAGAACTCGGGGCTAACAATTGACATTGTATTCGACCATGACGTTGTCTATTTAGAAACCAAATCGCTGTATCAATAAAATGTAATACAATGTGAGACGAGGACAAGGGGCGTGGAAAAGTCAATCGAGTGGGGGGGGGGGGCGCTTCTGATAATGTACCTGCTCTAAATAGAGTTCACGCGCAAACGATCTCGAATATTTTAGAAATGACATGTATATAGTGGTGATGACTTGTTTTTTCTGTGTTATTGTGCTGAGCGTGTGAATTACCACAAAAAGCCGTTTGTTTGGAAAGGATTAATGATCCATCGATTGTTAAATTGAATTGAACATAGGGGCCTATCAATCAATAATCGATCGGTTTTTATTGTATTTTTAATATAAATAGGCCTATATTTATTATATCTATTTTGTCTTTTGTTTGCAGTGATATATTGCGATTACACAGCTTCTGGAAGGTGAGTGAGATTATATATAACCTTTGGGGAAATAAATAATGTTTCAAATAACGTGCACCTTTATATAGTTATCTGATTGATGTGAGGATCTGAATTGACCAGCACAGTCGTATCCCTGAGAGGAAACCATGCCTTCGTGAGGTGCCTGGAGTCATCTTCTTTTGCGGATGTTACATTTCCCAACCAGATGGAATTAACCACAGCCCGCCATCGACTGTCAATCACGTTTATTTTGTACAACTTCGTGCGGTTAATAAATCCTCTAATGGGGATCTTGGGGTCGCGAAAGGGACCATTTACGAAAACGCGGTTCCGGTGTGGCGTTGAACGTTTTGATCAAATGAAACAAAAGGGCCTACGGGTCTTGGCTGTTCAACGAAAATATTGATGAAAGAAAGGGGTCCCCTTGGTACCAAAGAACTGAAAAAAGCAGACGACAGGCTTTAAAGCTGAAACTGGCGTGTCACAAAGTTGGGGAATGGCCTTTATTATCCTGCATAGAATAATCTCTCTGGGGTGATCTGATGATGAGTTGAGTTCAAAGGAAACTAAGTGTCATTTGTAAATGGGCAAATAAAACTTTCGGCCCCCCCCCCCAAAAAAAAATATGGGTGTGTCCTGTGTTGTTCAACAGCAGCGATTGTGCAAGACAAAAACCGTCAAAGTTGAGGACTTTCGGAAATGCTAATTGTCTCCCCTAAAATTAGTATAATCTGGGGGATTAGCCAGGTCGCTAAGCCGTGTGATCCGGCGTCTGTGCGCGGCCCGTCCGCGGCACCGATGGCAACACGACCTGGCACATTCACACCGAGATCCTTGCAAGCTGCCCACCCATTTCATTTCCCCGTCCCCGCTCCCACGTCAACCCCCATTTCTCGGGGCTCACGGTAACGCCAAGTAGCAACCACAGGTCCGCATGAGTCCGGGAAATGCCACTTTAGTTCTTAAATCCTTTCCAGGCCTACCCCGTTTATTATAACACTGAATATGATTGCAACAGGCGCGATAGAGGATCGTGTTCTGGCGTAAAAATTCTAATCAAATTTGAGCAGTGGAATTTCGGGTTGCGTGAGCGGGGTTAGTACGAGCTGTCAACGCCTTTAAGATCGGTCATCTCGAGTTGAGGCAAAGTGTGATATGATACAGGCTTGAATCATCTTAAGTTACTTAGATTTACCCAATAATCGTGATTATGCGCAAAACTTGCCTCGGCTTCTATTTCGAGATAGGGACTGCGTGTTTGAAGTATTTTGCTTTGGCTATCGTATATAATTTCCTTAATTCAGGACTTCCGATCGGGCAATGGTGTGTGCTGACTTGCAAGTTACCAAAAACAGTATAGCCGGGACAGGCCCGCGTGTTTTCATCCAATAACGCGAGGAAACCGTGTGTTTACGAGGAAGCCGCGTGCTCGTCTGGCATACGCCCTGTACTCGCGTTTGTCGTGAAAGTTGACCTGTCCTGGAAATATTATGAGTCCCTTGTAAACTTTATTGGAACCTTTAAAAAAATCAGTTAATATTCATGATTTGATGTCATATCATTTATTAGAATATTACATTATTACTTTAACTTCTTTCCACCTCAACCTCCGTTGTCACCACGTAATGGTTCGTAATGATCACGTGATAAGTTTTACTTATTATTTCATCTCTTACAAAGTCACACAATAGTGCCTTCAGTACGTTTTTCGATTAAAGAAAACTTGTTGGTTTTCTTTTAAACATATTTGAAAGAAAATTTCTGAAGGGTTTGACTTTCTAAATTTGCAATTGGCTTGTTTCCTTGAAAGGCCTCTTCGATGCATTGAGAACTACATCAGCGAGCACGTCTACACCATGTACGCCAACACTCACACCACAACTACTGTGACCTCCAAGCAAACTACGCAGTTCAGGCACGAAGCCAGGTAAACATAATTCCTCGAAAATGGTCAAAGTTTTGCGATCCAACTTGGCACTTTCTTTTCACTGTGTCCCCAAACTTTGCTGAGGAGATCCAAATACAAGATTCAAAAACAAATGCTCCAGTATTGGCGGTATAGCTCTGACATGGGAACATTGCCAATTTATGGAACAGTATTGAAGTGTATGGGTACCGCTCTCCAAGTTCATTCCAATTTCTAAGAACTCGGGGTCCCTTAGTTTCTATGTTGTGCCAATATTGCCCTGGTAAATACAATAGGCCTAGTACCGTAGTTTCCTACTTGGCATGCTCAACTCACCGCAGCGGCTGTAGCATTAAGGTCAAGCTCAATGTAGTCGGAGATGGTGCGGCGTTTAATTTTTTTCGCCGATTCACAAATAGATTGTAGAAGTTTTTATGCCTGTCTGCCACAGAGGCTAGGAGAGGACACCTGCGATTTGACCCCCAGGTTATGAATGACCTTGTTCAGTATCTGGGACACTTGTCCTTAATTCCCGCCTTGTTAGGGGCAGGAAAACCACACTGACTTTGCAGTTGATACCCCTCAAAACGGACTCTTCCTTTGAGACTAGACGGAATATCCCTTGTCACCGGGCGCGACGCGAGTCCGCGTGGGGGCCACGCCCGCCCAGTGAACTGCAGCACGCGCTTGGGACTTGTTTGAGGTCTACAACCCTTCAAGTTCAGGGACTATAGAGTCGATCTCTCTTGAGACTTCAGGCTCACCTGGGGTTCATAAGAAAACATCGGGGAGATGTGAACTTTACACAGGGGAAGGGGGGGGGGGTTGCTGCAAGTTCATTTTCTTGTTGTACATGACAGGAACTAGAGGGGAGATTGACCACGGGTGAAGGGGAGATAAGAGATATGGGCAGGGGCGGGTGTGTTGACGGGGCTGTGTTATGGGTGTGAACACCAGGCGAAGGCCTGGGGAAAAGTACGTGCTCGGGGGTTGACTTGATCAGAAATATCCCGGCCAGCGTCCCGGGGTGGGGCTCTGAGCAAGCCCGTTGCCCCGGCCCAGGTTGATGGGGGAAATCTGTGTAGCCACAAAACAGGTTGTTAAGAACAAGGAACAATTTGTTGCGAAACTCTGAGTGTTTTTTTATTTCATTTATGGGGCATATCCTTTGGTAGTGTACCGTGTTCCCTTTGGTAAAGCTGAATGGCAAAATTAATATGTTAACGATAAACTGTGATGTCATCATTATAATAAAAGTATTACCATCATGTTATAAACGAATGCATTGAAGCAAAACATATAATTAATAAAAGATAATGAACAACAAGGATTCAACTCATCACAATTCACGAAGTTTTTGTCCTAAATCAAATTTCATATTATTCCATTTTGGCGTCGGGGATATCCAACAAGAAGTACAATAACCTCAAGAAATGACAGGACTGGTTCAGATCACTCATCGTTACATATTGCGTGCATGTCGAGGTCAGGTCATCATAATGATGTGGCCTCGTTAAAACTTGTCTTGGTTTGTGTCTTCCCTTTCCTCCCAGGGAATTGATCCGAGGTTGCGTGAACGCGACCGAAGATGACGCAGTGATTTTCACGGGCAGCGGCTCCACTGGGGCCATACACAAACTCCTCAATGCTATGGAACTACACGGGGAAAAAGCAAAAAGGACGGTGAGTCAAAAACAATAGTTGCCAAAAAGAACTCTGAAATACATCCACAAGAGGGCGCGATTCTTAGTTCCAGACACAACGACATAGCCTCTTTAAGGAGGAAAAAAGCCGGTAACAACAACACGGCTATAAATCTATAAATAATCATTAAGCACTTTCTCGGTTCCCTTGGGTTTTCTTCAAAAATAGTTAATAAGTTTCAATTATGTCCAATTATGTCCATAACAAATCCCGGACACATAGACAGGTTGTTCACGCCCAGTCAAGTCAAGAACAGGTCTAAATTTAGTAAACTTGCCCTTTTCTCAAGCTTGCTGTGTTTTTGTTGAGGCAGGCAACATTAATTTGTTTTCAGATTTAAATTTTTTTTTTGACTCTCCACATGCCTTACAGATGGTGTTGGTGGGTCCGTTCGAACATCACTCCAACATCCTACCATGGCGAGAGAGCGGAGCTAGGGTAAGTGAAAGACCCTGGCTGACCCCATAAGAAGTTATAGGTCGGTAACCCACATTCCCCCAAGACGTTCCCCCTCCCCCTTTCCGCTGCAAAAACCGCACAACGAACCACATGGTTAGTACACATTGATTTTCTCCCTTGCTCATTCCAGCGGTGCAACCCTCCCCACCAAATGCCATGTGTCATAATTCCATGACTTTAATTTCCTTCTCCCCTATATTGCCACCCACGCTCTCTGCTTATCATCTGAACAGTTGATAAAGGGCATGCAAGAAATTAAAATCCCGTTTTGAACGCCATGCTCTCACAGATCATGGCGTCTTTCAAACAATCTGATTCGAAATGTAAGGGAAATTAACACTAGGGGCGGATCCGGAGGTCTGAAGGAGGGGGGCGGGCAGACGAGGAAGAAAATGAACCTTAGGGCCAGTTCTGACCTGTGGTATTACCCATTTGCACGCGGGGTCACTTTTCCAATTAATGGGATTAAACAGAATCATATTTCCGGCAGCATCCTGCTTAAAGAATATACTCGTATCTGGCTTCCATTAGTGTATCCTTTACACACAACCAATAATTTCCATTACTTGATCATGATAACCTATAAGCAAAAACGGAGAGAGACGTGTTTGCTTGTCAGAGGACGTGGGACAGACTTGGGCTCAAATTTTTAATTTTTCTGGGTTGTTTTGCTGGGATATCGACGTTCAGTACACGAGGCATGTTTGTTATTTTCCCCGGCCCAAGATTATCTGGCTGAGCTTATGGTCTAATTCACTTCAACAAAAATGACATCATCGACCCAAACAGTTTGTTCCTTCCCTCGTCGCTCGCAACGCAGTCAGCTCAGCGTGTCTAATTGAGACTTGCACGGGTGTTTCAATAGCCGTTTGTAATAATCGTGAGTGATACGACACTTGAAAAAACACGTCGCCAGACAAGTTGGCGACACTGCTTTTTGATACCGGTTATGGAAAGACATTTTCTTCATTAAGTAAAAAAAAAATCTATAGTTATTCTCGAATGTTTCCAGAATATAAACAATAAAAAATGGTGAGGGTGTAAGTGCAATGAAGCGAATATCCTTAAGCTGCGTGTTGCTAGTGAGCGCACTGAGCGATTGAAACTGCTCGGAAAATAGCAGTTATTTTGCCAAACGTCTCCAAAACATCTCGCGAGTTTTTGCGAGACAAGTTTTATAAAAAATAGTGCAGTCTAATGTTATATTACTATCTCTTGCTCAATTGATCTTGCTCCACGATCAAAAGGTTGTGCATGGTTTTTCACTGTTCTCGAAAAGTGTAACATCCACTGAGCTGAAACTTCAACAGGTTAGGTTGGGTACATTCTTTGGATTTTGAGTGGTGTTATTGAAAACGAACAAAATGTATGAGAAGCAAATGATAATTAATGCCTTGAAATTTCACCCTTATACACAGGTTGTGCGGATCCAACAGACGCCTCAGGGGCTGGTAGACCTGACTGACTTGGAGTCTAAGCTCCAGACGTACTGCCAAGAGTACGATCTGATCCTAGGCTGCTTCTCAGCCGCATCCAACGTCACCGGTATCATCACCGACACCAAGCCGGTGGCGGCGCTCTTGCATCACTACGGAGCTCTCTCCTTCTGGGACTACGCTACGGCAGGTTGGTTCAAACAAAATTTGTCGAGCAAAATTTGACAAAAGAAAAATAGCTGGCCTCAAGAAAGCCAAAAGGAATAATATTTGATTTTTTTTATAAACACGCTTTGGAAACTGTGGTGTTAATTTTGGAATTTAACACTGTGTTGTGTCTGGTTAATGACCCTCTCTCGATAAGAAGTTTCTTCAGAGCGTTAAATTTACACTGTACTTTTTGCAGTGTGCATATAGGCCTTAATTCTAAAAAAATCTGTGTTTGCAAAGCTTAATCTATTTTTTTATTCTTCAAATAATTTCGATTTTTCAACTCGTTCACACAACATTTTACTAAATGTGGCTTTTTGTGCAGATCATAAAGCAAATGCCAAAAGTTAAATAATATTTTTTAGCTATTTTTTATCGAGTTCGACATCAATAATTGATTTATGTTACTTTTCCGTTCTTTCTTTATCAGCGCCGTATTTGGACATTGATATGAATCCAGAAGAATCTAGGTGAGTTTTAATATTCTTAAATTTAGCACTGAACAAAATTCACCAACTGAACAAAATGGTACCAATTTACCAAGTGATTGAAAATACAAACAGACATGCAGTCACCAATAATGGCACAAACATTTAGCAATTGTGTAACGTTTGTTGTTCAAAAATTACCTTAATATGTATTTCATAATTTTTGTCCACAGACCAGACTGGGACTGCTCGAAGGATGCCGTATTCATATCCACACACAAATTCGTCGGAGGCGTCGGGACACCAGGTAAGATAATAATCTAAACCATAAAAAAATTGCAAAATCAGAAATTATTAAAATGGACATCGCTAATGTTCGGAAAACCACGCTCCAAAATGCTTGGCAATCGAAATTGCGACTCTCAACAGTGTTAGAGTTCAGACGTAATTTCGACCACACCCAACCGAAACAGGTTGTTTACTTTTTTACTAATCTGCTGAGATGTAGGCCCTAACGCTCCTCGGAAACTATTTCTAGTAAGGCTATATTTGTCATTTTGCGACACCTCCTCGCAATGTTGTTGTCTGATTGTCCTAATTTTCCAATTTCCCCTGGATTAACTCGTAAACACCGAATCATTTGCAAGAGGACTCATCGTTATATTTGTTTATATTTATAGGACTTCTGGTTGCTAAGAAACGCCTCTTTGTTAACAAAGTCCCTCACGGAGCTGGCGGGGGCACCGTTGCATATGTAAGTATTACTCAAAAACCTGCCACGTGTTGTTTGCTTTTTTTAGATGAGACCTTTTTGAAGAAAGGATTTTTTGGCACGGTTTTCTTTTGCGAGACACACCTTGTGATCGTTTAGTCATCATCCGGTACAGAAATAAAACAAAGCTGTCGCCACACCTATTTTGCCGTGTTTTCAATAGCAATTATACGAACTATTAAAGTGACCGAATTTGGAATTTTGAAGAAAGAAGAATAGAACAGAAACCGTCATGTTTATAATGAGAGTATAACGGCATATAGGCATGGAGATCTAGTTTTCAAAAACAGTAATACAAAGCCTTCTTGGCCATTTGGTGTCATCTTTAGAAAAGTTGCTTTCAGTTTATGCATACATTTTGGATATTTTCCCCCCTTACGTCATAACTTAAGGGGTATATGATTATTGTTATTTAGAGACGAAATGGTATTTTCAAAGACAATCTTATACATTCTCGTCAACCAGGTGTCACGTGACATGTACCACTATCTACGGGATATTGAGGCGAGGGAGGAAGGCGGCACTCCGGCTATCGTAGAATCCATCCGCGCTGGGCTGGCCTTCCAGATAAAACACGCCGTGGGCGTACACCACATCGAGGAGCGGGAGGAGCAGCTAGCAAGGTAAACAGACAAACACCTTTTGTCAATTCCATTCTTGATAGCAGTGTAACAGATCTCCGTCGGTCGGATAGTTCGTCAATTGTTGATCATCAGCTTTTTTATACCGACTTCAATCTAAGCCGTGAGGTATTGAAAAGTTTATTTTTACCGATTGCTTTTTGACTTTTTTTTCAAAAAAAAATAAAATATTCCTTTTTGAATGTTTAACAATTGTAATCTTTATGACCTTTCACTTTTTCTTCCAGATACGCGTTCGCGAGGTGGCAATCCAACGAGAACCTTCTCATCCTCGGCAACAAAGACGTGTCCCGTCTCCCCATCTTCTCCTTCTTGATCAGGCATCCGCAGACGGGCAAATTCCTGCATCACAACTTCGTCTCCGTCCTCCTCAACGACCTCTTTGGCATCCAGGCTCGAGGCGGGTGCGCATGCGCGGGTCCCTACGCCCACGTGAGTGTCTTCTCGTAACTAGGACCATTATTTGTTTCTCTGTCGTTACTTGGTTTATTCAATCTTTATGGTTTGATAACAGAATGATTTAGACCTTCGTTGGTCATTATTGAAATATTAGAGTTCGTTACAAAATTTTGTTAGGCCAGAATAAACCAATCACATTATAGCAGTGACACCTGAAAGGGGAAAATATTCCTTTGGTAAAATAGTATTATCTTCTCTTAAGTTATATAAGTATTTTTCTTCTCGTTGTATTTCAGGATCTTTTGGGCATTTCGGAAGACAGTGCCGTCAAGTTTTACGATCTCATCCGCGAGGACAGGTAATAATTACTTTAAGACCATGAACTGAAAATGTAAAAAATAAAATTTAATACAAAGATTTACCAACAATTACAAAAAAATGCCAAATTATCAGTATTAAAACAAACTTATATGTATTACTTGAAGACTTCGACATTTTTGTGATTATTGATTAGAATGTCCATTGGTATCTTATGTTAAATTCGTTTCTGTCGTTCTTATTGTATTAAATGAAATAGTTATATATTATGTATATGCTATGTATTATATACTGTATCAAGTTATAGTCATATTAGTTGTAGTTATATTCATGACAATTTCAATCTCGTTCTTCAGGAGAAACATGTGTAATGAGGAGCCGGCTGAGGCAGTCCGGCCGGGGTTCGTTCGCATCAATCTCCCGTACTTTGCCACTGAGGAGACTATCGATTACATCGTATCGGCAATCGACATGGTCGCTACTCACGGCTGGAAGCTACTACCACAGGTAAACATGCAATAACTACCTTGCGCAGAAATCGGTTCTTCCAAACCGTCATGATTTGATAATCGAGTTCGACATTCAATTTTTAGTTAAGTGAACCTGCATAACCAATTTGAATGTATTGACGATTTCCTCAAACTTTAAATTGATTTTCATTTTGTTTTAAATTAATGCAATCGAAATTTTATCTTAAACCCAACAGTACCGGTTCGATCTGAAGAGCGGTGCATGGACCCACCGCGTCGGTGTCAGGGGCAAGGGCCCCGGCTTATCGAGCCTGAATGACATCTGTTACGACCAGGGTTTCATGGAGATTGCCTCGGACGACTCCGAGGACCAGTGTCTCGGCCAGACCAGGCTAGCTCACTACCTGGAGGAAGTACGGGCGCTCTTTGAGCAAGCCGTGGAGGATAACTTGGTACGTTAGATCACATCTACTCCGAATATATTTGACACAAATCGTCTTCAATTATTTAAAGTTTAAGACACCACTCGAACCACTATACATTGGTGTAAACGTACCGTAATGGACGTCTACGTAAGAAATCGGGTGCTGTAACTGGCATTAAATTATTTATTTGCCTTCAAAGAATTTAATGGTAAACTAGAGGACAGTACAGTAAAATTTCATTTGGAACGAGGCAAACATTAGGCGACAATGTAGCGTCACTTTCATACTTTGTGCATATAAGCCGAAAGTGGTTTAGTGTGATATTAAAGCAGTTCTCACAGATATTTTCTTATTGTAACTTCATCGTGATACCGACAATTCATTATGTTATTTAAACTGTTTTCTATGTAGGTGTTTGACGCTCTACAAGATCCCGAGGTCCAACTCAGCGAACCTTACCAAGATTTCCTCTGGTTCGTCCAGCCGCGCGAGGCGGCCGTCTGCCTGAACGATGCCTGGCAGCAGCAGTTCCAACTGACCCTGAAGGGCGGCTACTTCTTCGTGATCGACGATGGCTTCTTGGAGACTGAGTCTGAGGAAGTCATGGGCGGTTACGAGGAGTCTCTGGTCCCGGAAATGGACCAAGAGGATGCCGCCACCGTTCCGTATCAGGAGCTGCCCCAGTACGGTTACTCCGAGAGTTTCCTCGCTGGCAGCGAAGATGTGGCGGTGGTGCCCGGGGACGACGCCGCGTCAGACCCGTTCAGTTTCAACGGCGACATGGAGATGTATACGGGGAATCTCACTTCCACTTACGACTTCATCAAACTGGGTCACGGTGGGGAATTCGAACCAGGTGAAAAGCCCAGATCCAGGCATCCGTCTCTATGTCGTGCCTTCTCGAACGAAAGTGGTTACACCAGCGATAGGGAGGAATTTCCATACGTGAACGCCGTTTGACAGCGCATGATACGAGACGGTAAAACCGATGAAGTATTTTCACGCATCACAGTGGACATGTGTTTTTCTGGTTTAGAACTGAAACATGACTTCGTAAGTTGAGCCTAAAAAATTCACTTTAAAGGAGGAGGGACTAATTCCTACTTAAGTGTATAGTCACATTAACATTTTGGGAAACAGTTGCACCGCAATATTAATCTCTTTGTATTTGTATAAATATATATATACATAAGTCATAATTCAGCTGTAACATTTGGTGATATTGCATGCTTTCAATACTTCTAACTTATTTTACTCTCAGTACTTCAACAGTAAATCCGTTCTGGTCAATAACTGACTGCGTGTTTGTTTATATTTACTATTCTCTGGTAAGTGAGTGAAGACTGTTTAAAGTAATTTAAGAATTCAGATGATAGATTTCGACTACAGATGATCTTAAAAAGTATTCAACGGAAGTTTTCTGGGAATGAAAAGTTTGGATGGAAAATGATGGAAATTAGTGATATTTCTTGTGAATTAAATTTGGATTTGGGGTCTTGTTGCATCTTAGCCAATGAAATACAATTTGTGAATTACTTTCTTGCCACAGGGATACTAAGAAATAAAACATGACTTATAATCAACTTATACTTCTTAGGCTAATATTTTCCTTTTTGTTGTGTTCGTGGTGATGTTTCGCACACCAGGTGGCAATAAAATTGCTACTATTGAGAATTTTATCTTGTATTCTGTCCAACTGCATCAAATGTGTGTACAAACTTGTAAATATAACTGATGAGTCCGCTTCAGCAATTGTATTTTGTAAATTAGTAGATTTGTATAAGACAGGTATCCCGACAAATAATGTAAATATAAGAAGGGTAAAGATCGCTCTGTGTGGACACATTTGAAAGCCTTGTATTATAAAATAAACATTTACATTAAAGCATTCTCTTATAATTATCGATATTCATAATTAGAATCAGTTTTTGACAACATCCGATGCAAAAAAAAGTGGGCTCTCTTTCAGTTTAATTGATCTAACAGCTAAAAAGTAAATAAAATATATAATGAAAATAATACCCAGTGTTTCGTTGACGTACACGTTCTATTCAGATAAAGATACTATTTTTGTAGATTAGTTGAGCGATACACAAATTGGCGAGATCGTCTTCAGATTTTTGTTCTATCGTATAGTTGACTTGACACATATATACAGTAAATATGTATAATATACAGCTAGAAACCACGAGCTATTCTTACGCAGGGTTGTTGTATATAATTGTGGTGTATTCAAATAACTGACTGATGAATATTTTGTTATTTACTATAACACGACTTGAGTTATGCGTTTGTCCGGATTTAATAAGGTGAACATTTTCCAATAAAGAACTCATCAAAAAAAGAAAATAAAGTTTCATATAGTCTGTTATTTTATTATGTGATCAGTGTTTCCATGCGAAGTTTAGATTTCTATTTTTCAGGAAAATGGGTTCCCAGCACCCCATAAAACAAAATTTTTTAAAATGATGTTATCCTTATAGGACATCTTACTAAAGAATGTTGACGTCAGCAGCGGGAAAAAGTCCCACGATGTCCTAATTTGCATATTTCCAAGATGGCTGCCATGCCATAATTAAAGTAACTTATGAACTGATTTTGATCATATACCGGTAGGTGTCAAAATGATGGTTTTCTGGGGTATTGAATCGATTTCTGAGGTTTTTAAAGTGATTGTTATGTTCAACATGTTTGGGCAGGTCTGACAGTAGTGGACTAACTTGAACGCTGGGGCAGACTGGGCCCGGGCCCAGGGCCTCCCACATTTTGAGGGCTTCCCACAAAACGCTCGCCTATTTTTTCCTTTATGGTATCACGGGATAAAGTTTCTACAATTTGAGAACGCACTATAAGCTGCAGGGCCAAAATGTGAAGTCCGGTAATCCACTGGTAGTTATCCAGATCTTTGTCCAAAGGAAGCAAAATGGAAAGGTTTTTGATTCTTCTAAAAATGTGGCCCAGTTTTCTTTTCAGCGGGGAAGGTGTTACCATATGGTAGAGGTTGTAAAACATATATACATAAAATTAAAAGAATAAAATCGGAGAACATCTGTAAAAAAAAAAATCGGACCACAGGCTAAATGTCATGGCTCTGAAATTGTTCACAATGTTTCCATACTAAATGTTATTGAAGTAACAGTTATAGTTCTTGTTCAATTGCATGAATTTGAGGCTGGCCTCCCACATTTCTTGTATCCTGGGACCCACTACCTTCTACAACCTTAAAGTCCCGTATGTGTTCATAACAAGAACATTACTAAAACGGATCGGAACCCATTGCATTAAGTATAAGAAGAAAGTCATCGGTCAGATCATCCTGGAGAAATGTGATTCAACACATCAAAACAAGTTTTTGCATTTTACACACGACTTATATATACATTTTTCAAACAAACCACAGAGTATTTAAATTGATGTATGAAGAAGATTTTTTTTTTAATATACCGTATAGTCTTACCATCTTGATGCTTAATATTCCAATAAATATCCAGAGAAAAAAACAGAGGGTAAATAGAAGCCAAAACGTATGTCTGCTACAAAGATCAACAGGTCGGGTGCCCGGAGCGTTCTGACGCGAAAATCGCTTTCAAGAAAATTGGATTGGAAGGCTCCAATGCTTCCCACGCGTATTATGAATCCAATGTTCTCCCACACGTATCAAAAATCGTACGAATTTGAAATTTGTCACACTTATGAATCATAATTTTTGGAACAACTTGTGCTAATTTCCGACGGATTGAACGTTTAGATTTCATTAAAATAGAGGCAGTGTTCTGCATATAACCAAGTTGATTACGCATAATGCCTTCTGCCGGGCACACATTATGGTTGTTGCCACGTCGTTCGGAACGACTAGCTCCACCATGTTAGTATGCCCCAACTATTGACCATAGTCCCAACTCCCAAATGATGAGCTTAGCTCAACTTTATATAATTGTTCCGGTGGGAACACTTACTTTGAACCGTTCCAACTAATGTTGGCTCTGCTATCATCATGGAACGGTACTGAGATGTGCACTGAAGTCCAGGAACGGGGTCGACCCCGGCAAGTCGCGCTACTTGGCGCCCGGCCGGGTTCTGGAATAGTTCCAGCCCCCTGATGAAACGGGCGCCTACAATGGCTGATCGAAGATTCTACATAAGGAATGACGATCAACGTTGAACCCGACCTCGTATAGGCAGCTATGATCGTATCATGGAGGTATCCATTACAAAAAAACACACACCCAACCCTCTGTAAGCCTACACTTGAAGAGCTTTTGTAAATCTTTCCAATGGTCGGAATTTCGGAAGCAGTAAAACAATGTACACAATTCATGATGAATTGGACCATAGACCAAGGAACAGATCCTTGCTCTATGAGTAGATTAGAGCTCCGTCATAATCATGGCATAGGCCTGTATAGTACGCATCACAAACAGAATTAAATTCACTTATCTTTTGAATCTACTAAAAAAAATCTCAAGTCAAAAATATTACCCCAACCTCAGGCCTATGCAACAAAAAGTAATGAATTGTTAATCAAATAAAACGAGTAACTCATCAAAAAATTTAAAAATAAATACCCCCCCCCCCAACCCCCCCCCCAAAAAAAAAACAATAAACAATGAGTATACAATTTAGAACCTGTCAAAATATAGGCCTACATCCTCTAAAACCCTAAAAACAGAAACTCATAATTTTATTAGAAGCTTCTAAAAACTCAGGAGAAAATCGTAAAGTCCAGATCGATATCGGAAAAGTTTTTTTGTTTGTGAGTCTGGCTCCTGCACTTCATTTCAAACACACCCACGCAAAAATGCAAACAATACAAAGTAGTCTGACTACCTCCCAAAAGGTCGCGGGGCGTTTTCCTTTACCTTTGTTATTTAAATTATTAGATGTGTCACTTTCTATAGTATCGATACCGGTGGGTGGCCAAATTGTGTCGACTCTATTAAAATGTGGTACTGATTTTATTTTACATCTGCAGTATGCACTGTGTAAAATCGACACTAGAATACAGCACGATTGTAATAAGGTATCGATACTATCTATCTGGCGACCACTGGTACGTGAAAATCCATGAAATCCGCGAGTCGGTGCTTTTACATATTTACACAGTGGACGCATTTATCTGCAAAATCTAAGAATCATGTCTTCAGCGAAGATCATTTTAGCAATAATTCTTGTCACATCATGGAAATCGGGTGCTTCAAAAGGTAACAATAAAGTCAGCGTCAGTGTTAGATTTAAAGTTTGTTTAAAATAACAATGTTCACGATTGTTTTCATTTGTGTTGCCGTGTGGCCTAGCCCAATTTCCGGACACTGTCACATCAACAACATCACATTTTTTTTTTAAAAAGAAGCCGAGTCTCAATGAAGCCACAATGGAAATAATCAGACGCCGACTTTGGTTGTGTACAAACTACAATGTCTTTGGAGAGTCGAAAGTATTTTCTAACGCAGATTCAACTTTCAAGTCTTTTCAACATTTTTGCAATGGAATGGCCAAGCGAATTCATGAAGAAAGTGGCATCAGGATGCGACATTCTTTCCACCACACTTTATTTTCTCTGAAACTGAAAGTTTTTTTTTTTTAAACTGAATTTGAAACTTCTTTGGGCATGAGAGCTTGCACTTAAAAATACCTGTAGATGAAAAATCAAACAACATTTTATGTTTTTGCCTTCTATTATTGATGTTATTTTTTTTGTCTCTAGCTCCAACGTTGAGTCCCTTCATCCGGCACTATGAGATGTTAAATTACAACTTAGATGCAGTACATCAACAGCATAGAAGAGCAGTAAGATCGCTAGGGCAACAAAACGTAGAATTGACATTTACAGCTCACAAAAGGTAAGAAAAAGATATTTTTTTTGCAAATATATGCGAAAAAGCAAAAAACTAACAGAGTCAGACTGACATTTGTTGCCCAGTCACAAATAAAATCGATTTCAAATATTTTTTTTTATTTTAAGAATTCATGTTTGCATGCTACTTGTGCAACTTGTAAGAAGCAAACTTTGAAAGATTCCTTAACTCAGGGAGTAGCCACAACTTTCTGATCCCGGGGTAGATTTTGATTGGATCTGCACTGCAGTTTGCGAATGTGGAATGTTAGCCCTCACCACTTCCGTTTCATGTATGCGGGCATTTCCTTGAAAGATTACCACGTTGGGTTTTGGTTAAAACCGGGTCGGGGAGGGGATAGTGTATATGGGGAGGTGGGGGGGGGGGTGAGAGAGATTGATTGCCTAGGGGACCAGAAGGAGGCAGGAACTCCCCCTCCCCCACCTTGCCTTTTGCTCTAGAACTCCTGGGGACCGGGACCCTAGAAGCTCTCAACACCAAACCCTGATTTCCTGGGGGTTTTCCAAACCGTACATGTTGCTGATTCATTATAGCACTCTCATACTTGTTATAAATCATTCCATAATACCATCTAGTCATTTTTTTCTTTTACAAATATGAAAAAAAAATGCCCGAAGACTTTGCTCTACATATTCTTAGTAGTTTGCTTTTCATTAAACTTGATATTTGTCTGATCTCATAGTTTCACACTGGACATTTCAAGACATTTAGAGTAAAAATGTTGTTCAAAAGAAGGCCATGTCATGAAGTCCCCAATGGAACACTCAGAATCTCATGGTACACCTTAAAACAGAAATAACTTTTTTCTTTTGATCCTTCTTGCTTGTGAGTAGCTCTCAGCTGCTTTTGCTCAGTTAAAAAAAAAATTGCAAAGAACGTTAATCTGCTGAAGTAGCTGAATCTATGGAAAACGTTTTAGAGACAAGGAATCTTCAAAAAGTTCTCATGACCCCATGTTGTCTGCCAATGCATGTCACTATATGAATTAATCTCGTAATACAGCTTGTCTTCCCCAGGGGACTTTAACCCAATAGTGTCCCTTGATTCCTTTAACTGTTGACCTTTGTGTAGGCAGGGCTCAGGGGGTAAGTCTATAGGGGTGGGGATCTGAAACCTCTAACTGATTTTCTCTAACAAGTAAATTCCCTTTGCTCAAATGAATCACAGCGTTTGACCCAACGTTAACATTTTGCTCAAAATTTGCTGACTTGGTTTGCATTACTCACATGTTGCATAAACTGCACCCACAAGTATTTCCTCTTGTAGCTTTAGCGGCATTAAAAAAAATATATGATTTGTGACTCGTAATCAGAGTGTCAGGGGTTTCAAATCCAGTTGCTGGTCATATGTTGTGTCTGTAGGCAAGCCACTTTATCCCCACTAGCCTCTCTCCCCACCCACAAGAATAAATGGGTACCGGCATTGCAGCTTGGAGAATAGAAATATTTTTACTTTTGTACATCAGCCTCCCCTCAGAATTCAGATATTGTGCTCCCAAATCTTAGTTCGCCACAAGTCCAGTCGGAAGTAAATCACAAGTCTTGCAAAAGTCTGTTCTCAAGCAGCAAGAGTTGAACAAAGGATTTCTTTTGACTCAGTTTGTTTGAATAGCTTAGGACTTGAATTGAGAGTTTGTGATGAACTTGGGAAGACTTGTGGTGGACTTGACAACAAGTACCGGTTCAACACTGACTTTGTGTTCCGGTGAAAATAACCGATAATCTCATTTTGGAGTATCAATTTTCCTCGCCGCACCCCAACTTGACTTGTAGAGTACACCGCCCAGGGCTGTCCTATACCCAGAAGCACGGACCATTGATTCCGTGGGAGCCCACGCCCACCGGGATAACAGGGTATTTCCCCTTGGACTATCCGATCATGAAACGACCCAAGCTGCCGGTGACAGTCCCCGGATTAGCCAAAAAGGAACTGCTGTGGATCGGGTTCTTAATGGGATTGAAAATTCACGTCAAGTTGTATAATAATGAAGCTCTTTCTTGATGATGGACGGGTTGGCTTGCATGGAAGAAGGCAATTTTTTTTCCAGTCCTTTGATTGTTTTTCTTTGTCTAGAAATAATTATCGTACATTTAATGGTTCAACAACAGATGAGGCTTGAATTCAGCTGATGTATAAGAAATTTTGAACTGAATGTAAAGTTAAAAATTTGCACAATAAATTTTTTGATTTCTTGCTTTCATTCATAGTAACATTACTGCAAGGCAAAAGTAAATTGAAATACATTTGATAATATATTCTGAGCTTGTAAGTTGAGATTATAGTACAGATTTCTGAGAAAAACAAAGCTCCCATTTCTTCTTTAATTTCAACAACTTTTCGAACCTGAACGGTGTCTGAAAAAAAAGGATTATTATGCCCCGCGGCGAAGCCGAAGGGGCATACTGTTTCCGCCTTGTCCTTCCGTGGGTGGGTGGGTGGGTGGGTGGGTGTGTGTGTGTGTGTGTGGGTGTGTGTGTCCGGACAAATCTTGTCAGCGCGATAACTTGAGAAATACTTTACATATGAACTTCAAATTTGGTTTGTGGATTGTCCTTGGTAATCCTAAGAAGCCTTTTGCATTTGGGGCCGAAAGGTCAAGGATCAAGGTCACAGTGGCTGAAACAATAGAAATTTTGTCAGCGCGATAACTTGAGAAATACTTTACATATCAACTTCAAATTTGGTTTGTGGATTGTCCTTGGCAATTCTAAGAAGCCTTTTGCATTTGGGGCCAAAAAGTCAAGGGTCAAGGTCACAGTGGCTGAAACAATAGAAATTTTGTCAGCGCGATAACTTGAGAAATACTTTACATATGAACTTCAAATTTGGTTTGTGGATTGTCCTTGGCAATTCTAAGAAGCTTTTTGCATTTGGGGCCAAAAGGTCAAGGGTCAAGGGTCAAGGTCACAGTGACTAAAACAAAAGAAATTTTGTCAGCGCGATAACTTGAGAAATACTTTACATATGAACTTCAAATTTGGTTTGTATATTGTTCTTGGTAATCCTAAGAAGCCTATTGCATTTGGGGCCGAAAGGTCAAGGGTCAAGGTCACAGTGGCTGAAACAATAGAAATTTTGTCAGCGCGATAACTTGAGAAATACTTTACATATGAACTTTAAATTTGGTTTGTGGATTGTCCTTGGCAATCCTAAGAAGCCTTTTGCATTTGGGGCCAAAAGGTCAAGGTTCAAGGTCACAGTGGCAAAAACAAAAGAAATTTTGTCAGCGTGATAACTTGAGATATACTTTACATATGAATTTCAAATTTGGTTTGTGGATTGTCCTTGGCAATCCTAAGAAGCCTATCGCATTGGGGGTCGAAAGGTCAAGGGTCAAGGTCACATTGGCTAAAACAATAGAAATCTTGTATTTATTCTGAGATCATAGGGATTAGGGATTAATTCATATAAAACCTACAGAAGACACTAATGCTGTCAATGAACGTTCCATTTGACCAAGGTACATGTAAGTTGATGTTAGAGTGGTGTTATGTCATGGAAACAGTCACGGTTGCGGGGCATTTGTGTTTGTAAACACACCTGACTTGTTTTTATATAAGCCTAGCCTATACAAACAAAAACCACAAATAATTTATGTGAGTATTAAACTTCTCTCGGGACATTTTTGCAGTTTTGTGCATGAATGTTCAAACTCGCACAGTCTGTTTATTTTTCTCATGGTGTAAACAAGCATAACTGACCATTCGCCCCCAAAATTCAACAATGAAGGTATTTTGCAACGTTTACGTAGGCCTAATCCTACAATACAATGTTGATTTTGTTGGTCCACTTCCAAAACATCACCATTAAGCCATAGTCTTCCCGAAAATGTCTTGAACACAGCCAAGACACTTAGCCAACTTTATTTTGATGACTTTTTTCGGTTCTTCTTCCTGTTTTATTGCAGAGATTTCCACCTGAGGTTAAGGCGAGACACGAGTGTCTTTTTGCCGAGTGTTACGTTGGAAACATCAAGTGGGAAGGAAGTTCCAGATGTCAGTTATTTTTATAACGGGGAACTTGCAGGTAAGAAATTCCTTCTTAATTCTGCGATTCAGTTAAGGAACTTTGCTATAAGCCTCAATATCCGATACAAATAGTTGCATTTAACCTTTGAACTTCAACAAAGTCAATTTTCTTTCTCTTAATACATTTTTAACACGTGTATGTTTTATTCCAATCCCAAAAAAACTCCTGTCTTTTTTTTGGGTGAAAAAGCCAGGTTAAAGGGAATATACAACATTTGCAAACATCGAAAAATAAAACTACCAAGTTTTTGCGAAATACCTTAATAGGACGTTGGTAAATGACAGTCTAAAGCATCCTGTAAAATTATGGCACCTGGTATACTGTCATTTTCAAGAAAAGTGGTATTTTTGTATCAATTTCCAACGCTGATCGGCCGATCAGCGTTGGAAACAACTGGCTTTTTTTTCAAATACTGGCCCCAATTGACTATTGCACTTGTTTGCAATCGATTACAAACCTATGAACGGGTACGAGCCAGCTAGACTGGTTCCCTGACCTTACAATTCCCCAATGTATGTAAACTGCTCTGTTTCTTCTTATATGGAGTCAGGGAACCAGACTACAGGTAAATGATCGTTTTTCTTGGTTTTTATAGCATTTTCGAACCCAAAACCTCCAAAAAGTCAGTGTAACTATATTTGCTTTATATTTCCAATCCCCCAATTCCATCCATTTCTGAAAATTACAGCAAAAGCAAATGATGTATATTCCCTTTAAAGTGGGCATAAACAGATACGAACAGACTGGTTCCGGTCCTTACATTATCGATACTGATCGTGGGGCAGGAACCGGCTTACCCTGCATTAACAGAATTATCAGACATGGAATATTTTTCTTGGATCAGCTGATTTCCTTGTTGTTGTACTTTACATTTAAATTTAAAAAAGTCTGTAAAGCTGGAAATTTCCTCTTTTTTTTGGTTACTTCCCTGTCGCATGCCTGAATTATTGTCGGGCTGCAACAATAAAAAAACTTGTAAAGTAACAATTCGATAACTAAATGTCAGCTGATTTTTATTTTTTTGGTTGATGTCTCAAATGTAACTTCTGTATTGCTAAAATAAATATCAATTTAGAAAAGGAACTAAACTTATTTACATGTATCTGAAACTCATGAACTATCCTACCTCTAAAAAAAAATTTGCTTGGTCTCTTATTTGCTAATTGAAAAGCAGGACTAAGACCTATTCTTGTATTTTATTGGCAGTGATATTTTTTACAATGATTTCAAGAGGGCATCTTAATCCTACATGGGGATTTTTTTTCTTCGACTAAATGGTTACGACCACCTGTACATTGTCTTCAGGCCAATTTTGCTTTTTTTTAGTGGGGGACCGGAGGAATTCCAAATCTTGCTTGGTTTTCCTAATCCCAAGGGAAATTGGGAAAGATTTTCTCAAAATAGAAAATGATTTCCATCTTCTGTGAGGAAGGGTGAGGTTGATGTGTGGTTTTGAGTTTGGAACGAACCCAACCCTGCGGGCATCTTAGATTTCTAATCAGAGACAGATGATGACAATCATTTCATTTATTATTTTAACATGCTTGTACCGGTACTCTGTGTGGAAACTGTGTCCTGCCAAAAGCAGGTCAACATGGCATGTATTCTTAGCGAAGAGACCATGTTACCTACATGTATGACATCATACTAACGCCCAACCAACAGGCTGCCCAAACATTAAACCACACATACTGGAATTTGTATCCTTGTGGAGTCACTTCTTTGTTCTCGTGTACTAACATTTTAGAGGTGGAAATCGTAGTTTCAAAATGCTCCCTTTTTAACCAGAATTAATTTCCTGGGCTGAAATTCGGACTTAATATCCCTTTAATCATAAAATACTTCAATTTGCGACAGGTCAACTCAACACACCTTGGGAATTCCTAGTGTTTGAGTAAAATCCATATTTCATGATAACCTTGTGGAGATGTATTCATCTATAGAGAGGTATACAATCTTTTGTTCCCTATTATGCACATGTCTCCACAGGGTACCGTGTACCAGATCATCTTTTTGCATGTTATTTGCACACACACATTAAATAGTTTTATGTCACCATTTTTAAACAAATCGTATTTCAAGAGAAATGCATGCAGTGCAGAAGAGAACTGCTTGCTGAAAGTTGGCATCATATGAACACAACATCCAATTTGTAAACAAATGTAATATGATCTGTACAACGAGAACTTCCTCAGGAAAATATATGGTTTTGAAAGAAAATATATGCCCTGTATACATATACCTGTATAGTACTTCTTTTTCCCCCAGCATTTGATATAAATACATGCATTTTATAATCATGTTCACAATTCCCATTCTTTTTCTGTTCATGAGCAAATTCTTGTTTTCACATGCAACAGCAATCTTTATTTACTCATGGGTAATTGTTAAAAAAAAATCAGTTCAATGAAAATTGATTAAATTTTACACATGAGTAATTTACTCGTGAGGCTTGACATTTCGGATTGCACGAAAAAGTGTTGCATAAACACGTCCAAATTGTCGTCACACTGCATTTTGCCGACCGTTACTTTTCACGCTCTGTATTAATTTTCTACCACTTCTTAATTTTAGCCGACACCCTTCCTTAAACAACTTTCCAGGCTTATGTACACATGAACAAAATCAACAGCTGCGTGAAATTCAACATGAATGCCCACGCAAACGTAGTCCCATACCTGTCTATCGCATACCTTTACAAGTTCCAGCGGCCGTGAAATGTAAACCTATAATGGCATATTTGTTCAGGGAATAAAAGTGAAATACCAGTGGGCAGAGTCAGTCAGGCGTGAAGGGCTTTACTTGGCTTGCATGTTGATCAGTTATTGGGGGTGGGGATTGAGTGTCAACAATCAGTCTTTTCATAACTGCCCAAGTTTCATTGCCCATGGAATGTGTCCATATTTAGTAAACAGAGTTTGCCCTTTACTGATTTAAAGAAGTGTTCCCTGTTATATTTTTTAGTTTCATCTTTTTTTTTTTTAGCAATATAAACGTTATTCACATTTTAATGAGATTGAATGGAAAAATTTACTGATGTTTAGTTTTAATTATTTTTTTCACAAAATTTGAATTAGCTGCCAGAACATAATTGGGCTCTCACATGGCGTGTTCATTTGTACACAACATGAAAGCCTTTTTTTCAGTATAAACACCTATGGTACATGTACGGTAGCTAATCATAATACTATGCACTTGTAAATTTAATCACTCATAACTACATGTAGGGCTGTGCAGTGCATCAGAACCAGGTACCCAAGTTGATGTCACGAACCGCTTACAGATCATGGAATCGGATACCCATAACCAACTTAATAAATAATGTAGTAACTTCTCAGACAATGAAAATGAAAGGTTTTGAATGTCATATGTTGGGGATTTTAAAAATGCAAACCAGGCTATGGGAAAAAATAACATATTTCATGTTTAGGACGCTCGCAAAAGTTTACATCTTAAAGCTATTAGCTCACTGTACACACTTGTATCTTGCTGTTACGATGCACAGATGTGGTAGAATTATTGTGCGTACCTTATAGTAATGAACAGTCTAAACAGCAACTCTCGAGATTTGAATTTTGGGGTGGGGTTTCTTTAACGGGTACCTAGTTTTTTCAGTCGGTTACCAGGTTCCCATACTACCTGTAAATGCACACCCCTACTCATAACTAGTTCTCAGCATGAGTTTACATTGTACATACACGTGTACTAAAAACACAAACAAATTGCCAAGCTATTTTATCAGTTTGTTCAGAGACCCATTGAAATTTACCCAAATATTTTTTTTTTTTTTTTTTTTTAGAGATTCCCTCACATGGCATGACCAAGTCAAAACTCATTCATTTTTCTGTAGGGGAGGAAGGAAGTTACTGCCATGGCTCCATTACAGACGGCCTCTTCCAAGGAAAGATTCATGTCGGGGAGGAGACTTACGCCATTGAGCCTGCCGCCAACTACTTGAAGGATCCTGAGTCCCACTCCGTCATCTACGAGGCCAAGGATCTGGACTACTCCTCCTTAGGGTCCAGCGGCTGCGGGATGGTCAGCGAAATGCAGAAACGCATGGAGGAGAAAATGAAAGAAATGCAGAAGGAGGAGCAAAAACAGGAGGAAGTACATGTAAGTATATTTATAAACATCTCCAAGATGCTTCGAAATCCTTAAGGAACTTTTAGAAATTTATTTTTGAAAATGTATTAATTGGATAACAGATTTTTTAGGTCCCGGGGGGAGGGGAGTGGTCAGCGAAAGAAAATATTATGTGTGGGGGGTACCCTTTATATCATTGATGGAATTAGGAAGATTCAAGAAAATTCTTGACATGCTTGAAAGCAACACTGTGCTGTAAACTGTTGGCCCTTTCTTTGTATGGAATGGGACACCAAACCCCTTTGGTAATTATTAGTGGCTGGGCTTTGCGATCCCAAATCCATTAAATTACCACAAAATCTGCAAGGATTTCGATGGGAAAGGGTGGAACAGAAACTGCCAGTTTTAAAAGAGCTGTTTACCATAAGTACATGTTGTTGCTTAGCACATAGACACACATATTGGTGACATCAGGTTTATATGCCCGAGGTTAACTGTCTGCTACCTTGGGCTATTTTTGGCTTGAACATTTGGAATCAGGAAGAAGGAAAAAGCAGTAGATGGAAAGAGAATTTCCTGCCTAAGTGTGGTATTTTGGGGTTCTTTTTTTTGGCCTTTTTATATACTTTGACCTTGTCTACACAAGAGTAAGTTGTCAGTTTGTAAGGAAGTCAGATATTATTAATAAGTTACTTTGTTTCCGTGTTGTTTCTCCTAGGACGATGGGTCATCGTACTTTTCCCGTCATAAACGCCAGGCTCCTCTTGCTCAGACCTGTACGCTGTACATCCAAACCGACATTGAATTTTATAAAAGGTATGCAAGCTCTAGGCAATTTTGCTAGGATGCAACCTCAATCCTGCAAAATCCTCCAACTGCCTGCATGTAAAAATTGCATTCAGCCTCAATCCTGCAAAATCCTTCCCTTTTTCTTGAATGTGGTCCTTGGAGGGGTGACCACTGCCTCAGTCCTGCCAAATCCTCTGGCAACCACTGTCAACATCATGAGGCAGCGCCAGTGACATCCTGGAGCAGTGATGAGGATACTGCTTGGCTGATCGTACACAATACAAGATCCGGCCCAAGACCTTGACACAGTACATCTTCCAAAATCAGCCACACCTTTTTGCCATATAGCCTCAATCCTGCATAATCCTCCATTTCGTAAAGAGGATTTTGGAGGATTTGGGAAGGTTGGGGTTCCTGATCTGTGTAAAAGGCATTTCCTTTGTTAGTGTTCATCCCCTGTGACTGGACTTGTTGAGTGACTTGTGATTTACTTGAGAACAGATTTAACTGCGACACTTCCACACACTGCATTTTTTTGGTACCTGAATCCATGCAATGCTCATCTGTTTGTGATTCACCATTTCAGATTTCAAAATGGTCTGCCATTTTCAAGGCCTTCAACATGACCAGTACAATTGCAACTGTAAACCAGTAAAATTTTTATGCAAATTCAAATTTCCATGTTCATTTCAAAGAAGTGACGTCAGCATAGACAAACCCTGAATTGTCTATCGGTGTGATTACAGAAGATTGCCATAATGTTTCATTTTAGTTTTTTGGCGTTTCTTTTTCATTTAGTACGGAAGATAGGCGATGGGATTGCGCCTTTGAAAATACAAACATGGCATTTGGCACACAGAGTATATCATGAGAAATATAATGGGCTATAGGGCCATCGCAGATTTGTCCTTTGCAAAAAAGACAGGTAGAATAACAAGCAATGGCCGCCATTTAGGACATTTTGAAATTGCTTTTATTTCTACCCATACTTTTTAAAGGACAAATCTGTAGTCAAATATCTTTGTCATGACATACCCTGATTGTGTGCCAAATGCCATGCTTGTATCATCAAAGGTACAATTCCCCCAACTATTTCCCCTATCTGCCCCATTAATTGGCAGTCTATCCGTTGTAGTCCGATTCTAAATACACTTCTTTTTTTGTGCTCAAAATTTAACTGAACAGGTTTGGCGAGAGTAAACAAGCTGTGGTACAGCAGATCGGGGAGCACGTACAGGCTGCCAGTGCCATCTACTCCAGAACCGACTTTGGAGAGTACAAGGATATTAACTTTGCGGTTGCCAAAATCAGGGTAATGTCCCCATATTGTGGTACTTTGCTTTGTATATATCTGCTGGAGTAACTTCTCTGTCGGTAATAAACAAATCCTATCTTCAGTTCAGTAGAGAGGTACATGTATGAGACTGGATTTATTATGGAACAAGCATTCAGAGTTTTATAAAGATAGCTCCTCGCAAAACGAAAAGGGAAGAAATATGAAATTATATCAAGGCATAATACACAAAGTCGATATAAAGGCTTTCTGGTTTTTACTTCAAGTGGATGCCATTTTCAAGCAATTTTTTTTGGCTAACTGTACAAAAGAATGCACCCTTTTGTATACAGGGTGATTGTTAGTAACTGCCCAAGAAATGTCATTATAATTTGTCCGAATTACCAAAGGGTTAAAGTAGTTGAACATTTGCTTTCCCGATTCTTCAGATCTTCACCGGACTATCTGATGACTATCCGTTCAGCAACCCAAATCTTGGGGTGGAGAAGTACCTTGACCTTGCTTCCAAAGGTGACTTTAGTGCCTACTGCCTGGCCTACACATTCACCAACAGGGATTTTGCCAACGGTATTCTTGGCCTGGCATGGATTGCTACTACCGTAGGTGAGTTGAGTTGTGTTGAACGTATTATTCCCTGTACTTCCCCAAGCGTCCCTGCCTATTACTCCCTTTTACATCATGTTTGTTCTTTTGTCGTCTTCAGCTGGAAGCACCGGTGGTCTCTGCGCTCCCGAACTCAGCAGGGGAGGCACGACCCTCAACACCGGCATTGTCACCACCAACAACTACGGAATGCCTGTACCGCCCCTGATGTCACACAACACCTTCGCTCATGAGATAGGGCACAGCTTTGGATCCAATGTAAGACACTTGAAAAGACGATAAAACAAAATCATAATTCACAAATTTGCCACAGTTTACCGGGATAAAGTCCAGTTTGAAAGTACAGTCATTGGGTGGTGTGTAGCTGTAAATACTCTTCATGGTGCTACTTTGAGAGTGCGTCTGAATCCTTTTTGGGTGTTTGTTTGAACATGAGACAAATGTTGATATTCTGATTTGCAAATTCATAATACTGTTGATAAAACACTTTAGTATTGCATGAAATTTGATTTGAGCTGAAGGTTTTTATTTCCTTATTTATGTTTTTTTTTGGGGGGGGGGGGTGTTCTTTCAGAGTTCCCAACCACTCTGGAATTCAGGGCAAACCTTAAAAACGAGTTTTCATTTTTCCAGTCAGGGAAAACTCGGGGTATTTGGGTAAAAAAAAAAGTCCACCAAATATCAGAGATAACAGAAGAGAAAGGTTTCTGCCAATTTGGCGTCTTGTGCCACGTGTCCGTGTTGTGTCCATTGACTGACTGGCTATGGTGGCTTTTTAGTGTTTATAAATGCAGGGTGAATATTACACACCTCTCCAGACAATTGGCTGTGCTACACCACCTCTTGACTTCCTAGTAACCTTGTCAAAGTGAAAATATTTCTCGTGGAATTTTTGGAAACTTCCCAGGGAAAGTATCAGGGAAAAGTCAGGGAACTTTGTTTTCATGAGCAGAAATTAACATCTAGCAAATTAATGTTATCCTGGATAGAATTTTGAGTTAGGAGATATAAATTGAGATTTTCAACAAAAGCAAGCTGGAAAGTGGAAACTATGCCATCACATGTCATTTTAGTTGGGAAACTTTTTTTTTTCCAAGCCCAAAACTTCACTCTTCGGCAATTCAGAAATTGGTCCCATTTCTCTTGTTGTCGCCAAACTGTGACACAATACACAAGTTTTAATACGATTTTGATAAGATTTTGTTCCAACATTTTATTTGGCAGCATGACCCCGCGACTGACCAGGTTTGTTCCCCGGGGGGCACCAGGGGTAACTACCTGATGTTTGCCTACGCCACGTCTGGCACTCTGGCCAACAATGACGATTTCTCCACGTGCAGCATCCGCGAGATCACCAATGTCTTAGGCTCTGTCTTCACAGGAACGAGCAAGAGGAACTGCTTCGTGTGTGAGTAGGGAATCAGCTCGCTTTGACTTGGGAAAAAGGCAAATTTCAGAATTATCTGTACTTGAACTCGGACGAAGTTGGCCTATGCGCTGCATACCCCACCGTTTCACCGGGGATCTGTTTCCGTTTGTCATGTGTTCTCATGCACAGGCCTGCACCAGTCGGAAATTACAATTAATATTAAAAGAACACTGTGTATGTATCGATTAATTTTTTCATGTAGCTGATTGTCGATCTTTTTTTCAAATATTTGAATCGGAAAAATGCAATTTGGCTTTTCGGTGGATTGAATATTCTAAAGTTGAATATATTGGTTCAGCCCTGTGTGTTATGTCAAAGAAAGGACTCTTTTTTTTTGTAGTTGTTTGAATTTAAGGTTTCTAAGATTGTCAGTGTATAGATCTTTCCCTGTACTTTGATGGTTTCAGTTTTTGAAAATGGACTTTTCTGAGCAAAATTATGTCTATTTTGAAATCTCTCAAGTCACAAAGGTGAAAGCAGAGATACCGATTCTTCAACTTTGGGTTATGCATTTCTTGAACAGAAAATCATTAAAAAACACATTTAGTGGCGAAATGGCAAAATTTTACACTACATATTGGGCATCTTTAGGATCACAATTTTGTAGGAAAAAAAATGGAAACCAACCTCACCAATTTTTGGTCATACCTCCATTTCAAGCTTCTGTTCTATTTCTCTTCCCTTTTCAAATGCATTTGTAGCTATGTCATCCGTGACACTGTGCGGGAATGAAGTTGTTGAAGATGGTGAGATGTGCGATTGTGGTTTTGAGGAGACGTGTGATGATCCATGTTGCATCGCTCAGAATGCTGACAATACCAGGACCAATGCGTGTCAGCTGAAGGTCACAGCCGAGTGCAGGTAGGTTCCTGTTAACTTCCACTCTGTGACATTTTGCAAAAAAGCCTACGGGCATAAGTAACCCCTCAAACGACTACGGAGAGAGTGTTAGGCAGACTCTCAAACGCATTTTTGCCAAATGTCTTGGCGCTCAATTGAAGACGATACATCAAGAGAACCAGTACACGCACGTAGTGTGTACCGCACACGGAGCTTTCAAAGTAATTGTGAAACTAGGGCAGTGGGGTAGTGCGCATGCGGTTACATCGCCCTAGCCGCTACATGAAAAGGTGGGGGCACGCGAACAGCAATGTTTTGCCGAGTTAGTACTAATGCAAACTTGATGAAATGTTGGTGAATATGTAGAAGGTAGAGTAGAACAAACGGAACATGGTTTATTTCGGGAAGATAGTCGATGTTATTAGCTCCCTTCGGTATTGGAAGTTGGCAAACTAGTTCCCTCAGAGTTTTTCACTTCCAATACCTCGGGGAGCTGAGATCGACTATCCAACTTCAGACTATTGTATAGTATCACTAGTTTGACATCCTAATGAATAGGGTATTTTTTTTTTGGGGGGGGAATGTTGATACACTCTTTTGCTTTCCATTGTGCTAAATTTGTTTATTACTCAAAAGTAGCTCTGGCAACTTGCGACTCCTTTTGTTGGGTTGGGTTCACAGTTTGGACGGCTGTTACATAAATTCGGTGTATTTTCCCTAGATAAATTGTATTTTTTATAACCGTACATTTAAACAAGTGTGTGTCATTTCTTTTTCCCTTCTTTTTTTCCCCTCTTTAGTTCTCAGCAAGGCAATTGCTGTGACCGTGAAACATGTACCTTCCTATCCACCAACGTTGTCTGTCAGATGGAAGACGAGTGCAGCCTCAGTGCAAACTGCTCATATCCTTTGGCAAAGCATACTCTTAGACATATTGCACTGTGGACGGGTTTTGTTATGGAAATTAAGTAATAATGAAAAGTACAAAGTGTATCCCCGAGCGTATCACAGATGAATCAAGACATGTCCACAGTAAGGGGTTTATTGTAACATTTATTAATTTTGTAGTCGAGTCTGTCACAAATCCATCACAAGTCTGGTCACAAGTACATCGCAAGCCCATCCACAAGGCCAGTTACAAGTGTCAGTGGGTGAACAATGCCTTTGTCATAGTCCAATGGAGTGGCTTGTAACTGGCTTGTGGTGACTTCTGAGGACTTTGGGGACTTGTGAGGACTCGGGGGACTTGTGAGGTCTTGTGAGGACTGTCGGGACTTGTGGAGTCTTGTGAAGACTTGTGAGGACTTTGGAGGACTTGTGAGACTTTTGAGAACTTGGGAGACTTGTAGGGCGTGTAGGACTTGTGATGATGTGTGGGGACTTGTGGTGACATGTGGTGACTTGTGAGGGATCGGGAGTCTTGGGAGACTTGTGAGGACTTGTGGGGACTTGTAATGACTTGTGATGACTTGCAGGGGTGTGATTTTTCCGGATTTTTAATCTAACGTCTGCGGAATTTTTTTGCGGATTCCGGATTTTTAACGTTTTCTGTTTCCGTAATAATATCGCCCAAAAACTTCTGGCGAAATATAGGCTCTAATTTACGATAATGGATGGACTGGTGACAAGTCTAATGCAGTGCGGTCAAGAACCTAGTAGACATTAATGCAGTATGCGCAGTGGAGTACTTGAGGACCAGACTAAAAATAATTTTCAATGGGTTTGCAGCACCTCGTGTTTGTATATCGCGTGTGGATGTGTGTGTGTATTGTGCATGTATACGTATTGTGAAGTGACGATCGTGTGCTAGCAATTCGCAAACACATTGGTGTCAATATTGCAGCGATTTTGTCAAGGAATTTAAGAGTATGGCTGGAAGAACTGGTAATAAAGTGTCACTGTGGATGGAAATCAGTTTGAGCTGCAGTAGTGCTTTGAAAAATAGCCACCACCAACACAAAATTTCAAAAATCCCAATGTGTAAATTTTGCGCATGCGTGGCTAGCAGACGCACTCATTTTTGCTCTTCTCTCGATGAGCTTTTTAACAAAATTGTTTAGGGATGCTGCTAGCCACCACGCGCCTGCAACCGTATATCCCATAGTGGAGTTTGCTTGCAGTACGCTACAGATACAGACTGGAGTTTAAAGTAAGATTAAACTTTTTCAGCACCGTTCATATTGTTTTGTGTGAATCGTTTCTCTCTGCAACATGCAAAAGTAATAACATCACACACAGAAAAAGCCTTTATGAATCAATCACATATGGATTATATTATTTAATGACCAGACGTTTTTTCTTAATTTTTCCCCCATTTGTTTTCTTTACTGAAGCGACAAAATTTGCTAACATTACAGAAATTACAGTACATAAAATGTACATGCCCTAGGCCTATATATGGACATACGTGCATGCATATGTATACATGTACATCTATACAAGTACATGTACAATAATACATGTACATGTACATGTACATGTATATTACATGTCAACCAAAGTTCGTGGATTTTTCATTTTTGTCCAATCACACCCCTGGACTTGGGAGGCTTAGGAGACTTGTGAGGACTTGTGGGGACTTGTGAGGACTTGTGAGGACTTGTGATGACTTGTAATGACTTGTGAGGGATTGGGAGTCTTCGGGGGACTTGAGGGTACTAATGAGGACTCAGTGGACTTGTGAGGACTCGGAAGACTTTTCTGATTTAGACTTGGGATAAACACACAAGGAGAATACGAACAAGTTATTGCAGAATGGAAACCAAATCTTTTCCAAGCAAGTCATTTCACAAATAGCAGATAACACTTTTATCTCAATCATTTTTCTTATAATGGTTTTAGCTGCTACATTTTCAGGAGATTTTGTTTTGAGACAAGTATTTGCTGGGTTTTTTTTTCATGTTAAAATTGTCCTTAACCACATCCTACTGGCAGCAGTTATATTTGTGGCACCGGAGCGGCAAAGCCGGATCGCACCACATGTGACGGGGGCAGGAAGTTTTGCAGAAGCGGGGTGAGTTGTTATTATTATTAGTTATTCCCTTGGTCTATGTGTGTGTTGTATTTGCTCTTTAGTTGTTGGGAGAAGTGTGCGCCAGTTTCTTCCCTTCATGTAATATGTTGCAAAAATCACAAATAAATGTGATGTTATAAGATTTTAGGCTTTGCATGATGGAGTATTGGTATTGTTTCGGTTTGCTTTAACACCATGTGGTAATAACTACTGCTTAGAAGATATTTAGTTCTGAAAAGAACTTGTCCTGCTTATAATCAACTTTCGCTAAGTAGTTTTTGTTCTGATAAGAACAGTCCTGCTTTTAAGTTCTAAAAGAACTTGTCTTTGGTGTCAACGTTTCAACTAGCTGCTCTAGTCATCGTCAGGAGACTGAGGAGAGTTGAAGATGCTGCTCCTTAAGTAGGCTGTGTTAGGATTGGGAGTGCTTGTATTGGTGGATTCTGATTGGTTGTCTGTTGGGCATTGTGTTACAGTGGGATGAGTAAAACAAATTTGAATTTGTAACATTTTGTGCATCCTAAGAAGATTCTTGTTTGCAGATTCCTTTTTTGAAATATCTCATCATGTTCAATTCCGATATTTGATTTGCAGGGTTGTTCTGAGTCTGTCTGCATTATTAGCAATCTGGAGGAGTGTCAGTGCAAGTCAGACAATGAGAAGTGCCAAGTGTGCTGCCAAAATATAGGTAAAGAAATCGCATTGTTTGGGCAGTCTTGAGTTACTTCCTGTAATAAGTTCAGCGGCCAGTGAAATTTAATAGCATATAGAATGATTATACAGTTGAACTGAGAAATTGACTGGAGCGGGGTTTGAACCTGTGACCTCCGGATTGCCGTTCCGGTGCTCTACTCATCTGAGCTATCCAGCCCTATGCTGGCGGTTCCCCAGTTTGTCAATATCTTTGTTCAAGGGGTGCTAGTCAGAAGCCATAAACCTGTATGTACAGAGTGAGTCAAATAAAGCGGAACCCAAACCCCCAAAAATATATTTCATATTTAATAAAATTTGTAGCACCAAACATAATAATGATTGGAAAGCCAATTTCATAAGCTACCTTTAGATGAAAAAAATTACTGAAATTGCTAAATCCATTCAAAGAAAATCACCTTTTAAACGCAATGACCCCAAACCTGTTTCGTCCAAAAAACGCAGTTTATTGTGTATTCTGACTGTTTGGAACAACAAAGAAAATGACACAGAATACTTGTTCCAAAACTGTCAACAACTGTACCGGTAGTACACAATAGCTTTATTAACGACCCTGGTAAGGCAAACAATATGATTTATGAAATCCATTTTTTTTTTTAAAGACGGGCCTTCCAAAGGACTTTGTTGAATATTCTTAACTTTTAAACTGAGGTTTTATCGCTGGTGATGTTTGAAGACAATTCTTGAAATCGCATTTTTAAATGAAAGAATTTTTAGCGTCCTTGTGTTTAAATAATGATATTGTGTGAACCGATTGACCAATTTCAGTATTTGTTTCATCTAAAAGTAGCTTGTGAAATTGGCTTTCCAGTCATTATTATGTTTGGTGCAACATATTTTTTAAAATATGAAATATAACTTTTGGGGTTTGGGTTCCGCTTTTTTTTACTCATCCTGTATGTGTCATGTAGCCAGGGATCACGCCCAAAATCACGATGCTAGCAACATTAGCAATGCTGCAAACCTGGAAAATAGCAAACTTGGATCATTCTAGAGAGGATACTGTTTTTTATTGCCAATTTAGTTCATTAATTACAGATATGATATGATTTAAGAACAGGTGGAACAGACTGGTATGACTGACAATCAGTTCCTTAACATCCAACAAAGAAAGAGTTTTGCAACAGTTACCTATTCCTACAGCACAAGATCTTAATTTTGATTTATCGGTCCACTTTAGCAAAGCTTGGAAATAGTAAACGGGGATCACTCAGAGGATACGACTTTTTTAATTACAAATTACCTTCAGTTGTGACAACCTTGACCTTTGACCCCACCATCCAGGTCAGCCTCAGTCCTGCGTTGCGGCCTCACGTATCAACATCGTTGGTCCAGGCAATACGGTCTTGAACAAGGTCCATGGATCCCCGTGTGACGACTACATGGGTTACTGTGACGTCTTTGACATCTGTCGTTTAGCCAATGAGGACGGGCCGCTGGCGGGCATCATACGTAAGATCTTCTACAATGAGGAGGACCAACTGACTGATGTCATTTGGACGTGGATCAAGGTAAGGAGCCAATGCCTCTTCTTCCTTTGCAAGTTTATTTAAAGATGTGTTCCCTGTGTTATTTTTTTAGTTTTACATTGAAAAATGGATTGTTTTGTTTTTTTCAGTTGCTTTTTTTTCCTGGAAATATAAAAACAATTCCCTTGAGATATGAGGTATCGAATGAAAAAAATCCACTGACATTTAGTTTGTATTCGTGAATACCTAAGACAGTTTACCCATTCCTACTGGTGGAGAGCCCGTCACGTGGCCGGTCTTAAACAGTTGATAAAACACCAACTGCCTGGTTTTAAACCCTTTTCTGGTGTGACATGAAATTTGGACTGCTATGAAATCTGGTCCCAATTCAACCTTTTATTGTTTAAACGTTTATGATCTTCACTTTTTAGGCATGCCCAGTACTATCAATGAGTCCGTATTTCGAGAGTCCTAAATTCACACTACACCGTCATCACCGCGTACTGTGCCACATCGTGCAGTACTTGCCACGCTCGCGCCAATCTCCTATATAAGGAAATGTTTACGACTACTGGCGAGAGGCACATTCCATAACATACCTAGAGGGGTATTTACAAAACGTGAAGTAAACTTGTTGAACAAAATCGTTTGAAATTTATCATTTTTGACTTGTTTTGACTTTTTGACTCAAAGGTATTTGTGAATGGGAATAAATATGTGCTTGGATGGTATTAAACAAGTACGTTAAAGACCGGCTCAGGGGGCCTGGACGTGAATTTTCTTTTCCCAAACGACATCCACATACATGGTTGTCTGGCGCCCTCTACGATACTTTTGTGATACGTACGCAGATATAGTATTATTATTTTCCCCACATTTTGTCCAAAACGCCATAGCGTAAACCCATATGTGGATGTCGTTTGGGAGAAAACAATTTGGGGCTTGGATGCCGATAACATCCCTCAACCTCCGGCTTAGGCCATTAGTTGTGTCCAGCCCCCTGAGGCAGTTAAATGTACTTGTTGAAAACCGGCCAAGCACATATTTTACTCCTTATTAGCTGCCAGACAATAATCGTCTCTCGCAGAGGGACTTCATGTGAATGGGACAGATTTAGCCCATTACGGGGTAATTCATTTCACCAGTCAACAACCAGGCTTAGTGACCAGTGACAGTCATTCACTGAATCAGTCAGTCGGTTTGTTGAAAGTGCTCCAGGTTTTCTCAACGTCTTTTCTTGTTGATTTATGAATCAAAGTCACAAATTAATTAAAATGCCTTCCAAAAAATTACTCTGAATTTTCTGCGTTTATCCTCCCCCCCCCACATACAGACTAACTGGTGGGTGATTGTCATCGTCATTGTCATCATGATCATCGTCATGTTCCTTGTGGTTTTCATCTGCGAGCGCCTCATCCCGACCACCAACCCCTGGCACAAGGAGAGGGAGGAGATGAGCCGCCGGTCCAGTGTCAACGTCAGACTCCAGAAGAAGCGTAACCGCGGCAGCCGTTACTACGGCGACCAGCCCAACCAACCCTCCTTTGACCAGCATCCTGATAACGCCGAGAGCAGGGCTACAAGGTTCTAAGATGATCCATTAGGCCCCGCCCACTGCGCACATGCACATTACCTATTGCTCACTGTGCTGACACTCCATTTGATGCAACAATAGACTGATCCATTTGGCCCCGCCCACTGCGCACATGTACATTACTTATTGCTCACTGTGCTGACACTCCATTCGCTGTAACAATAGACTGATCCATTTGGCCCCGCCCACTGCGCACATGTACATTACCTATTGCTCACTGTGCTGACACTCCCTTTGATGTAACAATAGACTGATCCATTTGGCCCCGCCCACTGCGCACATGTACATTACTTATTGCTCACTGTGCTGACACTCCATTTGATGTAAGAATAGACTGATCCATTTGGCCCCGCCCACTGCGCACATGTACATTACTTATTGCTCACTGTGCTGACACTCCATTTGATGTAAGAATAGACTGATCCATTTGGCCCCGCCCACTGCGCGCTTGCACATTACTTATTGCTCACTGTGCTGACACTCCATTTGATGTAAGAATAGACTGATCCATTTGGCCCCGCCCACTGCGCGCTTGCACATTACCTATTGCTCACTGTGCTGACACTCCCTTTGATGTAACAATAGACTGATCCATTTGGCCCCGCCCACTGCGCACATGTACATTACTTATTGCTCACTGTGCTGACACTCCCTTTGATGTAACAATAGACTGATCCATTTGGCCCCGCCCACTGCGCACATGTACATTACCTATTGCTCACTGTGCTGACACTCCATTTGATGTAAGAATAGACTGATCCATTTGGCCCCGCCCACTGCGCGCTTGCACATTACCTATTGCTCACTGTGCTGACACTCCCTTTGATGTAAGAATAGACTGATCCATTTGGCCCCGCCCACTGCGCGCTTGCACATTACCTATTGCTCACTGTGCTGACACTCCCTTTGATGTAACAATAGACTGATCCATTTGGCCCCGCCCACTGCGCACATGTACATTACTTATTGCTCACTGTGCTGACACTCCCTTTGATGTAACAATAGACTGATCCATTTGGCCCCGCCCACTGCGCACATGTACATTACCTATTGCTCACTGTGCTGACACTCCATTTGATGTAAGAATAGACTGATCCATTTGGCCCCGCCCACTGCGCGCTTGCACATTACCTATTGCTCACTGTGCTGACACTCCCTTTGATGTAACAATAGACTGATCCATTTGGCCCCGCCCACTGCGCACATGTACATTACTTATTGCTCACTGTGCTGACACTCCCTTTGATGTAACAATAGACTGATCCATTTGGCCCCGCCCACTGCGCACATGTACATTACCTATTGCTCACTGTGCTGACACTCCCTTTGATGTAACAATAGACTGATCCATTTGGCCCCGCCCATTGCGCACATGTACATTACCTATTGCTCACTGTGCTGACACTCCCTTTGATGTAACAATAGACTGATCCATTTGGCCCCGCCCACTGCGCACATGTACATTACTTATTGGTCACTGAGCTGACACTCCCTTTGATGTAACAATAGACTGATCCATTTGGCCCCGCCCATTGCGCGCATGCACATTACTTATTGCTCACTGTGCTGACACTCCCTTTGATGTAACAATAGACTGATCCATTTGGCCCCGCCTACTGCGCACATGTGCATAACTTATTGCTCACCGCTCTGACATCAGAGGGCTTTCAGATGTATTGAATTTTTTAATAGGTTCAGTTCTGGATCATCTTAATACACATAGACGATTTGGACAAATTTTCATCGACGCCCTTTTCATGTAATGAATTAAAAAGAAGCAATTATCCAATGTTGGACAATGCAAGGGCCTCGTTTTGGATGCTAACTTGACATTCATCTATTGTTTCCGTTAAGTTAGGAAAGAGGCGAAGACAGTGTTCCGTCAGCTCATACTTGAGTGAACATGAAAGTGTGACATCACAGCAGAGTGAGCAGACACTCGTGCTGCAAATTAGTAAAAGTTGTAACATTCAACTCGGAAAAAATTGCCTGCAAACATTTCTTGATGCCAAATTTCCTTCCCATTTGTCTGAAGTTTGAACCAGCCTTTAAATGAACAGTACATAGTGGTAAAAATATATATGACTCATGAAATGAACAGTACCAGTCATGTACATGTATTATTCCAAGTTTTGTTATCTTTAAATTCAAATGTTATGATCGGGTGAGGAGTTGGATTCCCTTTTTTTGTATTCTTCTAGCTGCTGTAATCATTTGATACAACTAGTTTAACTGAAATGCCTTCAGAATGTACATGTACATGTACCCTTCAGTCTTTCACATGCGTAGTGCCTATTGAAGTTTTTCTATATTGGATTTTTTAGAAGGTGTATACGAAGCAATTAATATTATTGAAATTTTTCTTTAAGAATATGCAATATGTTACTTCAGGGTTCTTTCTTCTTGTAAACATCTAGTTCATATATACAGATTTTTTACTTGGTAAATATGGGATTTTAAGGCTTTTTTAAAGAAATAATTGTGTATTCATTTGTAAGAATTTTCGAGGTTTTTGGGCTAGAGCTGAAGTTGAAAGCAATTTTAAGAACACTTACGTAGAATTTGTTTATTTTAAAATGTGTGTATGTACGGTGTTCACAGGTTTTGTCAATGTAGTTATACAGTAACGTGTGGCTGTATAATTCAAAAAGAGTCACATGCCATCAACAGAATATGTAATATTTTTATATACTCCAATTTCAAAAATGGGTTTGATTATGACTATTAATTGAACATTTTGGAACCATCGAAATGCTATTGTTTCCTTTTGTTTATTAAAAAAAAATGCACCTAATAAATCGAAACGTAGATTTACATGTGGTCTGTGAAATGTGAAATAAGTTATGAAAAGCGTCCTTAGACTAGCGGTGCATTTTGCTTACATACTTCAACCCTGACAATTTTAAAAGTATTTTTTTCTAAATAAAAAAAAATATACATTGTTTGTCAAAGTTTCCCCATTGAACTAAATTAAAAAATTAACTTTGTTGAAAGTGGAACATGAATAAGTTTTCTAGCTTGTAATGCCGAAATCTGATTTTGATAATTTTTGCGTGTTCAATGTATTGCAGGCTGTATCTCAAAATTCTTCCGACTGGTTGTCTGCTGGAGGGTCACAAATATGTTTTGAATGGAATTTTAATTTTGAAAAAAATGCAACAGGGTAAGATAAAAACGAAGTACTAGTTAATATGAAGAATCTGATGATCTGATGTATTGTAAACATGCTTTTTCAGAAGGTACTTAAAGCTATATAGTTATTATACTTGGATATGTTCATTTAAAAAAATATATATATTGAGGCTTTTATAAATATTGAGCTACTTACGATTTTATCGACCAACTGTGCTTTCACTTTTTTATATCCTAGTAGCATATGAAACACTTTCATGGTTGTATTCATCTATTTTGATTGACAAGTTCTTTAAGTCTAAAATTATGTTGTTTGTCTCTTGTAAGTTGCTGGCAGTGATGTTAATCTGCTTGGTAAGTTTGCACTCCGGTGGAATTTGTAAATATTTCTGTTAAAAGTACTGAGTACATTTGCTCTTTGTGGTGTGTTGTTTTTGTTTTAAGTGACCAAAATTGCTGAAAATCTCTAGTAGGGTGCATAAAAAGTAACCTAGTTTTAGCTCAGGGGCTGTTTTACTTTTTGAGAAAATACAGAAACTTTTTCGCAATTTTGTTTTTGGATTTGTGATTTGGGTTTCGTCGCTTTCTATGAATTTTTACTTTCGAGAGATAACCATTTCAGACGGAATAATTTCACAGGGTATTTGGGAGATCCCTATCGTCACTTCTAGCAAGCTTTCTTCTTATAGGTTTGTTTCTGGATAATGAACATGTTCCTAGGTGTTTTTAAAGGAGGGCACTTTGTGCCATTTCTGATATAATCCACTAATGTGTGTTCCATTGGCCACCTGAACAATGTATGTTTTTTTTTAATACATCAGTGAATGAACACAATGTAATAGAGTGTAGTACAGGGGCTATGGGCTATAAAATTATTCAGAACTCTAACATTTAAATTTCTCAGGATTTGAATTATTCAAATTTCACATTGCAGAAGTCTTTTACAAGCCATTGACTTAGTTTCTGTTTACAAAAACTACCGGAAACTTTCCAACATTTGTCAGGAGTATATTAAGCCTTTTATTTTTAGTTTAATGCTTGCTGTTCTACTTCATTTTTACTTCTTGTAGGCATTATAATACAAGGTGATATGTGTATATATTTGCTTTCTCATGAACTATTTTGATAATAAAGGCTTTGCCAAACCAAGGTACAAGGAAAAGATGTCAGAAATTATTTTGCTGATCTTTCTTAAGGTTATGGCTGAATCTCACAAATGTTTTTATCAGTTAACAAAGCTGTAATAAGTCAATCACAAGTCGGTCAAATTCAGTCACTAGTAGCAATGACTTTTCACGCTTTATTTAAACAAGTGGGAGTGCACAATAAGCTTTGGCCGTCTTGCATTAAAGTCTTTATGAATCAATCAAAATTATCCCTGCCAGACCTTACAAATGCAACACCCGAAATGCGACGCCGATGGCACATATGAAACACCATACTTCAGATGTATACATATGCCTAGATTTATAGCGATTTGTGACTTACATAATTACCATTAATGCACATTTTGCCTCCATTTACAAACTTTTTCATAAACATCCTTCCGAATTGTTACAAACAATTTTTGAATGCAAAATAAACATGCATCGATCAAAACAAAATCGGTGTTCTGAAAACCGTCTTCAAGAGTGCATTTTATGACCACGGCACGGCATTTGGTCAATTAGTCAAATAGTTGTGGTCAATTTTCCAGGGACAGACAGACAGAAAGAACGAACGACCAAAACAGTTAATTTTTTCATTTTATTTTATTAGAAACCGTAATGTAGTTTAGTACAGCAAAACAAATGAAATGTGCTATTGTGTTATTCATCAGGTCACTGGGCTCAATATTCTACCTTTATCATTTTTCTTTGTAGAACCGAAAATTATCTCTTTGTGTGGCAACAGCAATCAACCTGGATTCACAATGTATCATATTTGTCATGCAACATACACTACTACATGCAACTGATTTGTCACACTACTTAAAACAAAATTGCGAAGATATTTTGTGTACAGTTTTCTTTATCTCGGATCAACAACTGTTCTGTGTTCACACTGATAGATTAGCAATTGAAGACATGAAACAGCCACAGCAAAAACGTAAATTGCCAGTTTTCTTAAAATCGATGTTGGAGATACAGGTTGGGCAAAATTCAAGTTTTTCAAAAAAATATAAAAATTAAAGGTCTACTTTTCACAGGCAACCGCAATCAATCAATATTTTTTTTAATAGATTTGCTGAAAACATTTAAGTCTATTTGTATACATTTTTTTAATACGTATGTACACTACATTTTTGTTTTGTTTCTACATATATAAATTGAACATTTGTATTTTGCCATTCGGTAAAAAGCGAACTTTCAATTCTTTACACATTTTCCTAAGTACAATGCAGATATATAAGCATTACTATTATTTAAATGTGGTGTTGTTTTTTTTACGTAAGTATATAATCTTACCCAAAAATATTTAAAACAAAACCTAAAAATTCCCAGAACTTACAGCACATAATTTCATCACATGGAATTTACTCAAGACTATAGAGATACCATATTGAAACTTTTGAATTCCCTCATCACAAAAACAGCACAAATATACCCCAAATGAAAGACAGGAAAAAATAAGATGAAAAATACCCCCAAAAAACCCACCCAAAAGGTTCCCAATCTCCTTTTTATGGTTAGACCATTAAAAACTGACAAATTATACAATCTCATGTAATATAAAAAATGGAATCGCCCGCAAAGTATGAAGCAATGAACCGCATATTTTTTTAGGCTTCGGTAAAAAAGAACAATCAATAACTATGCTTTGCATATTTTTTCAACTTGTTACCCATCCCCCCAAAATATCATGCAACCCTTATAGTATTAATATGGCATGCACCATGCAACGTACTTGATAGGGGAATGGCCCATTCATTGAAATGGAAGTTATATTCATTGTAACCTGTATAACAAATGCAAGTCTAAACATAGCAATGTACATATACAAATAACATACTTTGTTCTAACACAGCAATGGATAAAATCAATCATTTTGGTATCAGGACCAGCAACTTGCAATATTTAAGATGAACAATACTATAATAAAATAATTCAAAAGGCACAAACTCAAACTTAAATCACTCCAATGCGATCCACAAAACAAATGCTTTTTTTAAAGAATAAAAAACATCACTAATGTACAATCAATCAATTTACCCTTTTTATCTTTTCTGTTATTGCTTATGTGCATCTACCATGTAACATTATTATATAATTGTAAGAAGATATGAAGATATATTTATGCTAATATACATACATGTATGTGAAAGGTACGGTACATGTAAGCATTTTGCCGAGCTTTCGCAAAGCTGGCAAAGTTGATATGCAGGAATACAGAGAGAGGTAACGTTGGAATCATTCACAAAAAAGAATAATCATTTAACCTTGCCAGACTAAATGCTGATTCAAAAACAAATATGAGAATTACATTATAAGTTGAGTTTGCCTCTTTGGCTTTCCATACGGGTCATTCTATAAATTTGGGGTCAATTTTTTCCTGTCCCTGTTACATCTGACATCTGAGATTTTGTAATTCTGATGCGCTACTTAATGTAGCCGTCCTACTCAACAATAAAAAAAATTGTTCTTAATGATCCTGTTATGGCAAATAATAAAGTTCAGATGAAACAGAGACAGCGAAAATGGATCCTAAATTTAGTGACCTATACAAGGCAGTGAAAGCAGTGGTTAGATTTGCATCAGTCCTCTGTGTATGGAAAGTTTTGGCGAGAGGGTAAACTTCACACAGTCACACACACGTCCTTGGAGTATAAAAGAAAATTGTATTTTGGAAAAGTTGTTCATGGAGTCATTAGGGTTCAGGCTAAAGCATTTTGATTATGTTGTAAAAAAAACCCAGAATTTAAAATTGGACAAGCTGTGTTTGTGTAGTTTAAAGTTTTTAACTGTTTTTTTTCCTTCTAATCATTTGATTTGCTGTAATATGTGACCTGCCACCATGACACGAGCATCAAGTCCAAAACTGCCATTTGCAGTAGTTAAAGGGGTGGTCGACTTTTGTTTTGTTTTCAGGTGAACCTGTAAGTCTTGTCCTACCTTTCCAAATGTTTTGCAAGTTATAAAAATGTACATATATGGAAATTTTTGGAATGAAAAAAGACCAACAAATATAAAAAAGACACTTAAACAGTAACGGTTACACAACTCTGGTTTTTCCACTAACACATGTTTTCAATGTTCAAATGAGTATGACACAAATTTTCTTGATGAATTTACAACAAATAATACTAAGTTTTCATTTCAGGCAAATTAGTTTTCTAAAACTTCATTAACCGACCAATTTCTATCTTAAATTTACATTCAATATTGGCAAAAAAACTGATTTTAAACTCCTATGCCTTAACAAATTACAAAGTGTGGATCAAAACTGTGTAGATACACATTGACATATATTTATATACATGTAACTTGTAATTTGCCAAAACGACTTTATACATACATGTGTAAAAGACAAATGTTAATTTAAAAAAAACCAGACTGACATTAAGGTTTTAGTCTTTAATCATGATATTACCTTACAGGCAATTTTTTTCACGCTTGCCAGCATCAAGTGAAACATGGTTCTTTTAGAAACTGTAGCAATTGAGTATTTTCACTGCAAAAGTGTATACACCAAAATTGTAATATGTTTTGTAAGTTTAACTTTGTAGTAATAATATTGTCCCTCGGAAAAAACAAAGGAAAAAAAATGGATGGATACAAGGTTAGATATTGTGATATTTTATTTAGCATTTTGTGTATGTGTGTAAAAAGACCAATTCATCAATCAAAAAAAATACCCCCCAAACCCCCCCCCCCAAAAAAAAATCTTCCCAAAAATTCAATCAATCCTAATTAAACAAGGAAAAAACAAAGCTTTTTAGTAAGTCGTTTCACTTTTGGTGGGCATGCAAACGATTTTTCCCCCTCCTCTTTGGGTGAAGATGATTTCTATTTGCAACACACATGTATATAAAAAAATATGAAATGTTTGTAAAGCTGTATTCTCAAGGGAATCGTTCCATGGATCATTTTGTTATTCCAATTACATAATTCTTCTGATATTCATTTTAAAAGATTGATTGATACTTTACATTCAAAACCCATGCAGTCTTTTTGAAAATTTTTGCAACAAGCACATTTAAGAAAATTTCTGTCTTTCACAAGTCATCAACTGACCAATAAAACGACCAGAATCACCTGACACTTTGATACACAAAAATCCCACATTGACAAAAAGTGACAACAAACGCTCAGACTCTAGAAATAACAAGGCATAATTTAGAAAGTTGTATCCTCAAAACAATGTTTCTGTGATGAAACTGGAAAAGTAAGTTCTGAATCCTTCCTGAATCCTTCAAATTTGAATATTTCTCATATACTTTATGGAGTTAGGGTAATTAACCATTTTTTGTCATGCTGCGCAATATTTGATCGTTACCTTGCCTCGTTTACTTCCACAATATTTAAACTATTGACTAATCTTCGCATTTAAATCTTTAATTTCATTTTTTCAGCCCAATATCTGCCAATGTGAAATGATACCAAGAATTCTCCCGGGATATGTGAGACTGTATGAATGTAAGAATCACCTTCAAATTTATCCAAATCTTGAACTTGTGGATTAAAACAAATTGAAGAAGTAACAGTTGTAATTAAAGTTGCATTCCCTTTGCTCTTCAACAAATAAAACAAATTCTACTATGAACATCTGCAACCCTTTAAAGAGAAAGCTTTTTGTTTTGGACACAAACAGATCTGCTCTGCGAGCAGACTGGCTCCCGATCTGTACATTATCGATACTGATTGTGGGGCAGGAACCAGTCTATTTCGTGAGAATAGAATTATTGTCTGGCAGCCAATAATTTGAAATTGCGAAGTAATCACTAAACATGGTCGGATTCGTTTGGTTGATGTCTCATTCAAAGTAAATAACCTCTGTATTGATAGAAATTTAGAAAATGAATATATTTTTCGGGATGAATCTCGAAAAATAGCACGGGGAATGCAACTTTAACATACCATTAAGCATTTTACTGTGCTCTCTTCGCTATGAGGGGAACAACACAAGTTCACACTTCCAAACCTTATTGAGCCCTCCAATAACAGACAGGCTAAGCCATCTCGATGGGGCGACCGCCGCCCCGCTGGCGTGAATTGGGTCGCCTCGGCAGGGTCAGCTGGCGATGCTTGGGCAGCTTAGGGTTACTGCTTGGGGTGTGCACGCTGCAAATCTTGATGAATATAGCCATGAAGAGGATGACAGCTAGGCCAATCAGGACAGCCGCCCACCAGTTGACCTGAAAGGAGAACCAATCAAAAGGCAAACATTAGGTTGGAGTTGAACCTGCAACCACTGAGAACACATTACCGGTCCTCTACCTGAGATATCCAGCCCTAATGTTGGCAGTTTCAAAATTTGTCAATGTCTTGGCAAATACAAGGTTATGGCTCCTGACTAAGATTACATTGACTGGGGCAGGATTTGAACCAATGACCACCGGAAAACATTACTGGTACTCTACCAACTGAGTTATCATGCCCTTCTGTTGGCAGTTTCCAAAATACACGTTTTGGTTCCTGACTAAGATAAGGTTGACTGGGGAAGGATTCGAACCCATGACCACAGAAACACGCTTATTTACTGGAGCTCTACAGATTGGGATATCTTGCTCTAATGTTGGCAGTCTCCAAATCTGACAATGTCTCAGCATTTACAAGTTATGTTGCTTCGGACAAACATTAGGTCGACTTGGGCAGGATGCGATCCCATGACCACCGGAACTAATTATCGGTCCTCTACCTGAGATATCCAGCCCTAATGCTGACATTCTCCAAATCTTGTCAATGTTTCGGCACACCTAGGTTTAAGCTCCTGACACACGTAGTCCATCCCCCACCCACAATGCTTTCACAACTGGTCATTTTTTGTGTATACTGGGATTTCATACCTTGAGCCATTCTGCGATATCCTTGTAGAGTTGAGGGTTCAGGATGGCATCTCGGAGCCTGGACAGGGGGCCGTTGGAGTCCACATTGCGACACTTGTAGAAGACGTCGCAGTACCCCTGCAACTGGTTACAGGGTGCGCCCGGTACTTGATACAAGACCTTGTCGGTCAAGTCGCTGCCTGGGGGGATCTCACCGAAGGTGGCAGTGAAATTATCCATGACACCGATGTTCATACTACTCTTGCATGTATTTTCATCATCTACAAATTAAAATAAATTGGGGCAGGGGGAATTTTACAGAATGAATGGTAATCAATATTTAAAGCTTGCAGGGAGTTAGGAGAGTGTGGAGTGGTGCGAAGAGTCTTCTTTCAGTAGATAATCCCAAGAAAAGGCAGGGAGCAGCTCTGGTCCAAGAGGACTCTTGACAAAGGAAGTGCGACTAGGAGAGTGATTTATGAGATCCAGCTTGTTGATGAAGCTCTTGAAAGATTGTGGGTCGTTTGGCAGAAAATAACACAGGTTTCAGGCTGGCTTTCCAAAGTCTTGCCGATTTAAATAACGTCAGAGATTTGAATTACATACATAACAAATTTGATCTTTAGTGTCTATATTGAAAGATTGTCCGTTAAACTTGTATAAACACTGTGACTAGACAAATTCCATCAACAGACAACAGAGGTAGGGCTGGACTATCAATCACCTCCAGTCAAAGCGTGGCTAAATCAAATTAACACGGGAATTCTTAACTGCTAAAAACAGTCACTTGATTGATTTGGACTGCTGTGATGGCGTAGCTAAATTTGCCAGCCAGAGAGGAAGGGTTTTAATTAATTAATCCCTACACCACCTAAATGCATCCTGCCTATCACTCATTGCGCCACCAAAACTGCCCGAGCACTCTATATGGTTTTATGGATCCTTCAGGAAATAAATACAATGTAATACAACATAATACAATGTAATACAATGTAATACAATGTAATACAATGTAATACAATGTAATACAATGTGGTACAGGTGCCAATGGCTTAAAGAGGGACTCACTTCCTTCCTGACAGCATAAATGGCATGAATGGTCCGGCTCTCCGTCTAGGGTTATGCAGTAACACTCAGTCAGGCCAAACCTCTCACATATGGAACCGCTGCATTCCTTCAGGATTCAAACACACAATATGTGACATAAGCCGTTGCCTGAATTCACTAGCTATGACTGGCACTAATACACATGTCAATGGAAAGTGGCTGCAGCCGCTTCTATAGGTGCATGTGTAATCGCAAGCCGTAGCCATGCACTGTCGGACATGGCTTTGCTCTCACCTTATAAATATTTCCCCACAATGGTTATGGACACTTTTGGGTGTTAGTTGAGAACTCTAAACCTGTTACTCAGGAGATTGTCTAACTTGTCGGCTTTGTCTACAACATAAGACTCATAAGGATCCAGCTACGTTTAAATCAATAAAAATACATTTTCTTTGTAGTTGTGTTCCCCATGGTCTTCAACACATTCAATTTATTTTCTTGATAAATGTTCAAATTGCATACTTCTTTTCTAACCAAAAACTCTTTCCCTCCCCCTTTTTTTGGAAGTCTGCATCACTCTGAAAAAAGTTTTGTTTTGTTTTGTTTTGGGCACAAACAGATCTGCTTTTGAGCAGACTGGCTCCCAGTCCATACATTATTGATACCGATTGTGGGGTGGGAATCAGCCTACCTCACTAGAACGGAATTATTGTCTCTGGCAGCCAATAGTTCAAAGTTGTAAAATAAGAATGGAGAATGGATTTGTATAGCAATGGAGTTTGTCAAGTCTGAGAACAAAAGTCTAGGAGCCGGAGCCTGGAGCTGAAGTCTAGATTTCATAAATGTCTGATGAGCCTGGAGCTGAAGTCTAGATTTCATAAATGCCTGAAGAGCCTGGAGTTGAAGTCTAGATTTCATAAATGCCTGATGAGCCTGGAGCTAAAGTCTAGATTTCATAAATGCCTGATGAGCCTGGAGCTGAAGTCTAGATTTCATAAATGCCTGATATTTCATTACTGGGAATTTATGCATGTAGCTTAAGCCGTTTGTTGGCCGACGATACATCATACTTATTGCAATTTTTTTTTTTTTTTAACTGTAAATGCCAAAACTTACCCCACTTCGGCAGACCTGTTTGTTGCTATTGCAGAGAGTCAGATTTTCCTTGTGGACAGGTTCTGGGCAAGTGGCACTTATTCCAGTACAAAGGAAGTTAAAGAAAGTATCCAATAAAAAAGGGCATCATTTAACAACCACATCATACAAAGTACAATGAAACAAAAACACACACACAAAAAGGACATTTTTGTTCTTTTGTGTGATCAACAAGTATACAAATATTATTGGGTGCTTTAGTCTTCTTTGTTGAAAAATCTTCAGAAACCAGGATGTGTTATCTGTGTGGTGTCGTATCGAGTAAAAATAATGCCGTGTACGGAATAATAAAGTGCGCTTATTATTGAGTCCAGCCTGGGGTTGTGGTGCGTGTGCCCTTGGGCAAGGCATTTTGTCACTCATTGCTTTTCCCCACCCAGGAGTAAATGGGTAGCTGTGAGGGCAGAGATGGTTATTGTGATTGATTTTAACTGCTTTGCGCCGAAATGGCGGCTCGAACGCTTTACTCCCCAGGGAGCTGAGATTGTCTTTGGAATGTTTCATTGGCCCAATGAGCAGGGTAATAATGATGTAGCGCCTTGAGTACCAATACTGGTGGATGCGTGTGCTTTATAAATACACAAATATTATTGATGTCGGATCAAATGATATGTAATTGACTGGCGATGATCTTGTGAGGACATGTGATGGACTCAACACCCGACACTGCCTAACGGGTCAGGGTTGACATCAACTACACGCTTCAAAAAGGATATTTGCATTTAGACTCCTGACTACAGTCGGTAACCGGCTTGCAAGTCTTGGCATTCACAGCCGTGTAATCACAGGTGTCTCCATCACAGCAGGGTCCTTGGGATTTGCTGCCGAGTGAAGCAACACAATACAAAATGGGCATCGGAACAAATAATTATGCACAGGTGCATGTAAGGTCTCATGAACAGGTGTATGGGCTCAGTGTGTGAACAAGAGAGGGTGCGTTCTGTTAGTGCGTTTAGCATGAAGTATGCACGATTGAGTTTACTCTGAATGTGCAAAAAGTCACAGTGCCTTCACACGAGTGTCGCGCACTGTCGGCAATGCCCTTGGAATGTCTCTTCCCCCAACACTCCATTTCTTACCCTTGAGGGGGTACTTGTGCACGGAGCCCCTAGCAACCAATAAGATTTCAGTAGAGAAGGTGTTGCCTGTCCTGATATGCATACACATACATGATGACCAGTCTCCAGTCTATTTCTGCAAATGATTACGACATAATTGTCCCAGTGTCCACCCACCGACAGGGACACGCCCCCTTTTTACCACTAAAGATGTCCAACGAGTGAAACATGCCTTAAATGACCTTTGACACTAAAAGGTCAGATTCAGCCTCATTACAGGTCACCTACCTGCATTTGGCCTTGACACCATTGACAAATGCCAGTTTGCAAGCGTTGACGTCCTCGCTCATAGATTTGTCTGACTGACGGGCGTTGCAGCATTTATCCGTGCACTGGTCGTCATAACCGCAATCGCATTCTTCGTCCACGTTCAGGATGTGGTTGCCGCACACTGGTCGGTCAGAGGCTGTAACGAAGACAAGGTGGGCGACGGGTTAGGGCCAAAGCCAAACTTGAATTGCGTCTTAACGACCCTTACTGATTCAGTATTGGAACTGTGGATGATGCACCGTGAGGACAACTCACCAGTGCTGGATTCGAGTCCATCACAAGTCCATCTTGGTCCCATCAAAAGTTATAAAGTCCTGTTACAAGTAACACGGGGTGAACGATGCTTTTGGCACAGTTCATCTGAATAGCTTGTGACTTGACTTGAGACTGGAGGTCTTGTGATGGACTTGTGGGGACTCCTGAGGACTTGCGATGGGCTCTCTGCAACTTACACTGCTACTCATACTGGCAGTGGTGCCTTAAAGTGTCTGTCAATACCAAAGTTCATGTTTGTTCTGAATGTACTGTGCCCTGGAAGACAATTCTCACGGACATTGTTGAATTCATCATTATTTGTGACCTGTTCTGTCAAAATCAGACTTTTCTGGGCATAAGGTCGAAAATGATATTTTTACATCTTGTTAACATATGTTCTTTTTCCTTTTAATAGGTGGTTTAATTTTTGAAACCGGTCATTCCTGGGCAGAGTTATGCTATTTTGAAGTTCATTGTGTCGAAAAGTAGAAAACGGAGAAAATGGCCACGAACGTCACAAAACAGTTATTTCTTTAACTGCTATACCTTATCAAAATCATCAAAAATAGTATTTGTAGAGTTCAAATTAGGGTTTCAAACTTTTATAATATAGTTTAGACATGTTCAGGATTACAAATATGCAAAAATTTGAAAATCGATAAAAATCACTCCCACAGCGTTTTTTGGCCCTATCTCAATTTCAACCTCTGCCCAGAAGCGTCTGCTTTTGACAGAACAGGTCACATTTTCTCTTGATCATCATCTTGACGATTAGGCCGCATCCGAATTGCTCAACTACGGTTGGCAAAAACACATGAATCCATGAAAGTGGCTTTAGCGGATTCCCATAGATGCATGTGTGAACACAAGCCGTAGCCGAGTAATTCCGACGCGGTTTTTAGCCGACTTACAGACGAAGCATTTGCTGGCCTTGGCATTCACGACCAGGGACATGTTATTGACGCTGCAGTCCGAGAACTGCTTGTTGTTGGGTTTGTCGCCCGAGGTGGCACTGGGATACATGATGTAGTTGCCTTGACTACGGGTGGCGGAGCTGTCACCGGGTCTACAAGTCGCAGGGTAGTCATGCTGGACAGGTGAAACAAATCGGGAAGAGAAAAAAAGTCGCTTCATAAGATGGGCACCTTCCCTGCAATGGCAGGTCTGGAGTACTGCTTTATGATTGACTTGTGTCATTTTCTAATACTAGTGTAAACTTAACTGCCAGAACATCAGGCCTTTCTGAAGTTTTAGTTCAAATAATAAGACTCTTACAGGCGATCCAAAGTTGTGACCGATCTCGTGAGCGAAGGTGATTTCCGTGACTTTAGTAGGGACCTGGGAACCGTAGTTCTTGACGGTGACGATGCCGGTGTTCAGACTCTGGTAACCACTGCTGAACAGCTTGTATCTCTCGCAGATTCCACCTGACGTACCTGAAAAACAAGACAAATACAAAGCAATATTGAGATCAACCTAACATGATTTGGGCAGTGCATGTGGTGTAAGATAGATCAGTGTGTTGTTACATGTATTTGTAACATGGACTTTACGTCATAAATATCCGCAAAGTCCATCTTATGGATAGTTTGGTTGCGATACCCCTGCTATTACCAGATTCCAAACAGCCAGCTGACCCCAGCAACCTTGGTGGTCGAGTGGTAAGGCGTCTGCACTAGTAAGCAGCAGGCAATGGCAACCAATAAGATTTCAGAAGCACAGAGGGTGTTGCCTGTCCTGATTGACATGCATGACATTTTTTCTCCCAATCAGTGTTTATAAAATACGTTGGTGAAGGGTAAAGCCCAGTGTCTTGTGGATGACATATGTAGCCTCCATGGATGCATCAACAGTACATGGCCATTTGTGACAACTTTCTCGAAAAAGTATGTAGTTTCAGAATCTCTGATAGAAGCTTGGTATGCGGTTAAAGGGAATATACAACATTTGCAAACATCGAAAAATAAAACTACCAAGTTTTTAAGAAATACCTTACTAGGATGTTGGTAAATGACAGTCTAAAGCATCCTGTAAACTTATGGCACCTGGTGTGAAGTCATTTTCAAGAAAATGGTATTTTTGTATACATTTCCAACGGTGGTCGGCCGACCACCGTTGGAAAAACCTAACTATATTTCAATTACTGCTCCAAATTTACCTTTTTTCAGTCCAAATTTTGTTTGGTATTGGTTCCTTTTTTATGAACGGGTGCAGGCCAGCTAGACTGGTTCCCTTACCTTACAATTTTCTGGCAACTATAAATTGATCCATTTCATCTTTAGTGGAGTCAGGGAACCAGACTACTTGAACAATTTAGTTTTTCTTGGTTTTTCCCGCATTTTCGAACATAAAACTTCAAACATGTCAGTGTAACAATATTTGATATATTATACTAACCCCTCAAATACTCCATTTCTGAAAATTACAGCAAAAGCCAATGATGTACATTCCCTTTAAGAGGCTTGTTTAATTAATCATCATCTTTTCTCAGAAATGTATGTCTCTAGAGAGTTAGGTGTATAGTGCAAAGTTAAGACTTTCTTCTGTGCAAACATCATATCTGGAATAGTTAACACCTTAAAAAAAATCTTTGACCAAGGACTTCAAAATATCTAATTTGTGTAAAAAAATGCCTGTTTTATTTAACATGAAAGTATTTGAATTTGGAAAGAAAATAGGACTAATTGAAATAAAACAGCCCCCCCCCCCAAAAAAAAGACTGGATATCATACATGTACTACATGATTATACAAATAGTAAAAATGGTATTCTTGAAATTAGAAAAAAAATCTTATTTCAGGAACAATTGTTTGTCTTAGACAAGGAAACAGTTCCTCAAAAAAAGAAAATTATTTTCAGCAGTGCAATTATTACTATTAACATGTACATGTACAACATATAAATCAGATACATTAATCGCATTAGCAATGAACATGTAACAATATTATTCTTCAAACCAATCCCACTATTTTACTGTACAATTATTTACATGTCACAGACACAATGAGGCTGATTTTCTGCCCTCCAGTGATATTGAATACATGCAAATGGAATTTGCCAAGGACAGCTAGCGATGACAATAATTGACTTCAATCAGACACTCACGCTGTGCGGCTGATTAGGCCTGCATTCACACTGTCTACAATATAGAGGTCAAAGGTCATGGCTCTAATTCAATGCACTAAAGCGATACAGTCATGACAGTAGGCTGTGGACGTGCATAAGAATTCGTGAGCGGAATTTGCACTTAAATCAAATGCAGATTCGTTGAGGCATGGCAGAGGCAATGAGCATTGAAAAGGAAACAATTTCAAAATATAATCCTGCTTTCTAAATTCAACAGTTTTTAAAGTCAGAAAAAGGATAAATTTAGAAAAGAATGTACAGTCAGTTCCTGCACATACAGATAGCAAATATATTGTTTATTCAATTATGTTTTTTTGTACCATTAGTTCTAAGAACACATGACACTTGATTAGAGCTTGTTTTTTCTTTGAGGAAAAGTCATCTGCGTAAAGCGAAATTAGGAGTGTGAAAAACATGGAGCTCCGTGGTTTGCATTAGAACATATTCGGAGGAATACATGTAGTAAATAATGCTTTAGCAATGGGAAAAAGTGAAATACTACACAATGTATAGACATTAAAACTGGCTTCAGTCACTGTCGCGCCCAAAACCAACCAAGCACTCTATGGCTATATTGATTCTTCAGTGAATAAACACAACGTAATACAATGTAGTGCTAAAAGATTTGTTTTGTTTAATCTTTATTGTTGTTTTAATTTCTAATTTTGTGTGTGTGTAAAGATGACTGTGAGTTATATTGATTACAGGGGCCATGTAAAGGATATTTTTATATGCAATTCTTGAAATGTACATGTTCCATTTAACTTTATTTGTAATCTTCATCTGGCCATTTTAAGGGCGTTTTGATGCATTTTTGGGTTTAGTGCTAATACAAATTTCCAAATTCATGACCAAAACTGTGATGTCATTTAATTCATGCAGAAATTCCGTTTCACAGCTGCTTCGTATTACAGGTGGCTTTTACTTACAATGCTTCTGGCCACATTATATGTTTTACATAAACAATGAGTGAAATTGCAAAGTTGGCTTTCGGTAAAAAAAAACCAGAGTGAAGTTGCAAAGTTGGCTTTCTGAGAGAAAGGCTTAGCGGTACACTGTATCGTGAATGTCTCCAATTGTTTGAAAGAAAACAAAAGATAGTTTGGACTCACTTCCTGGCGATCCGACCCAGGCAAGGCCCAGGACGCCATCGTTGAAGTCACGGTTGGCGAAGACGTAGGCCAGGCAGAAGTCGTTGTGATTCTGCAGGGAATTCAGATCCAGGAATTTCTCCACACCGATGTTACTGAAACGGAAAGGGTTGGTGTTGTCAGCCTCCTCGGCAGTGCCGTTGATCTGGAGTTGAGTTGAACAAAACAAAAGTTATCAATCATTCAGATTTAAATTAGATTATATTTGATCAGTTATTTATCATGCAATCATAAATTAAAGTCAACTTCAGGGTGTCTTTACGACAAAAGTAGTTATAAAATAAAAAAATATCACAATTCACAAATCAATTAACCAGTAAAATAAATCACAAGAAGAATACTAAATAGACTTGTACCCGAATTCAAGAAAAAAAGAGCAACAATTGCAATTAAAAGCACAGCAGTAAAGATGCAATGGTAAAAAACTGATGTAAATAAAAGAAAACCTCAGTAATTAAGAAAAAGATGACAAAGCCTTTTTTTTTTTAGTAAGTCCTATTCAAAACTGTTGTTTTGAAATTAATTCAACAAGCCAGAATAAAGACAGTGATTCATTAGACGTATGTCAACATAGAGTTGGACAACTCAGATGGTAGAGAGTCAGTATAGTATTTATGAGGTTTTGGGTTTGAATCCTGCTTCAGGGTGTAATTTATTTTCATATATTTATTTACTTTGTGAGTTTTGTTCTTTCTTTTAATGAAAACCAACGATTCTTTAAAAGTGCACAGGAAAGACGATGCAAGAATGAAGAAATGTTCAGCTTTTGAGTGTGAAGGAAAACCCTGGGAAAATATTCCAAAGAAAACCCACGGAATAAGGTGGGGACAGAAAGTGCAATCCACATCTCACCTGGATGGGAATCGAACCCGGGGTCACAGAGGTGGAAGTAGAGGCAGGTACCACGTTGCCTATCAGACTCCCCTAGTCACTTTTCTTTACTCTCACCAAATGGGGGATTAAAAAAAAAAATCCCAAAACTTGTAACTTTCCCTACCCTGATTCGGTCCACCATGAACCCAACGTTCATGTAAGTCCCAAATTTGTTGTCGCCGTAAATGGCATTGACGGCGGCCACGAAGTTATTGAACTGGGCAATGACCTCTGAGTCCTCGTTGTTGAAGTACGCAGAGTACGTGTGGTCTGCCTGCAGGTATAGATTACAGGTGTTCTTGTCGGTGCTCTGTCGCCGCGATCGCGATCGACTACTCTGGGGGTCCGAGTACAGGTTCTCGTTGGGACCGTGATTATGCTGAGCCAAATCCTGCCAAAACATCGAAGAAACAATATCGTGAAGGAAGAAAATAAGCATACTCTGTAAAAGGCTTTCTTAAGTTACTTTCGCAGAAGAACTTGTACACAGGCTGTTCAGCTTTGTATGAAAGACACATCTGTGGCTATAGCTAAGATGTATCTAAAATCTGGGCAATTTTGAGTACAGTTTGACAAATACTAGGGACCATTAGAAATGGTGCGGGTGCAGGATACATATGTGGCTAGGAAACAATACTGGTAGCTGTTTATGTCACTATTTGAGTGGTCATTTTGCCAAACCCACATAAATACATCTTAACATTTTGATTCGAAATGCACATTGCACAAACAAAATAAGGATTTAAGGTCAGTTTCGAAAATCGAACCAAATAGTGGAATTCTAACTGAATTAAAAAAGATCCGGAATTTTAATCTCACCACCAGTTTGCATCCTAAGAGAATACTGGCATCTGTGGCAGACTGTCAAACTTTACAACTAACGAGCAAAGGATTAAATTAATCACGGACACAGACCTGATTCACGTCGTTTGTTTCCTCATCAACCCCCGACTCCTGGACTTTCTTCATCCATCTCATAGTCTCGCTGGTCAAACCGCAGCCTCCAGCGGGCTCCACGTCCGTGCCCTTGTAGACGATGGAGTGGAACTTTGTGGGCGTGTCAAAGTGCCTGTGGGCGGGCTCCACGTGGTAGGTGTCGCCGTCTGCATAGATGGTTCCTGAGAAGAGGCCTTTGAGGATTGAGCCGTGGCACTTGGTGTCGGGTTCACCTGCGGGGAAGAGGAGACGGAATGTTACAGAAACCGTACAGGAACTTAAGGTTGCCCTTGTTGATTTTGTTCCCCTCCTGCAGCCAGGCCAGCAGTCACTGGCAAGCCCGGTCAAGCATTTGCTGAGGCAGGGATGTGGTCAAGTCAATCACAAGTCCCTGCAAGTCCATCACAAGTCCTCCAGTCCCAAAACAACTCACAAGCTTTTCAAATGAGCTTTGACTAAGACATTCCTTTGTTGTTGTTCATCCACTGCTACTAGTGGTTGGACTTGTGACTGGACCTGTGATGGACTCGTGATGGACTTTACTACATCCTTGTGCAGTGGTAGAGGAGGCTGTCAACAATTTGGAGCGTGTACGTGTACAGTGGACATGAGGTATGCTAGGAATTATGAATTTAAAAGCAATTTTTTTTTATAAGTGTGCTATGGACTAATTTGGCGAACAAAATTTGAAGCCAGTTTTGAGGTTGGACCACGTTTGCATGCATGCCACACACATTCTAAAAGACGAGTTGCGGACGCATTTGGACCCTATTGGCGGAAGGAGCTCAGAATGCGTGTGTACTACCTGAGTGCGACTCGAGTGAGCCTAGTGCCACCTCAGAAACTGGCTGTCGGCGAATTAGTCTGCAGTGAACCAGTGCAGATTGGATAATAAGACTGCTGAATGCATACTGTGCGTACCTTCGAGATTTCCAACGTACAGGTAGTCTGGTTGATGGTATCTGGCGCCCTCTGTTGTCTCAAGGATCAGGTTGGGAGACAGGTGGGGTGCTCCGGGATTAAGCCGAAGCTTGAAATCCCTGAGGAGAAAAAAAAAATCAGCTGTCACACACAGCAATTGTACATTATACCGTTCTGTTTTAGCAAGTGCACATACATGTAGCTTGAGGTGCCAAATACGTGCTAGAATTTGGTTTTTTTTGTAAAATCTGTTTAAAAAAAAAGAAAACAAATAGTGGGACAGTGAGGCAGCACTAAAAACACTGTTCTAAAGTAGCTTTGGTTCATTTTGTTGAGCAATGTGAATACGAAGCACGACTTTTTTCCCCATGACAATCTGACAAATGAGAATCACATTATAACAGCCAAGATTGGGAACATTTAACACATTGTGGATGTGTTCAATTAAGTGTAAGAATCTAGTAAAAGTTTTTTTTTTCCCCACAAAATTTGGAGATGTGGAACTGGGTAAGGGGCATGTCAAGCACAAAATGCAAGACAAAAATATTGAAAAAGTATGAAAATGATGTACATGTACACTTTAATATGTACATGTACATTTACATATACATGTTTATATCACATGTAGGTAGCCAAATGAATTTTCTAAGAAATACTATATACATTGTGTATAATGTAGGTGAATGGCTGTTTACATACATGTAAATAAACTGGACAAAGAACCAAGCTTGGTGTCCAATGATGCATCCTTTGTACATATACACAAAGTGTTTCTATATTCCGGGATCACTGAACTTTTGGCTGAATGGGTTTCAAAGTGAATTTACAATGTTCACTGTAAATAAACGAAACGTACAGAGTGTTCAATTAACATACCAGCAGATTTATGCGAGAACACAGAAATTAAAGTGTTATAAACTGTGTTTGCCTAGTCGATGTACATGTGTATTATTTACAAACTTGTATTTCACAATGAAAAATGGAAACAACTCCAAATTCATCAATATTAACTACAAGGTTTCAGAGTGTTTCTGTGGGATTTGGGACATGTAAAGCCCAATTACATGTTAGTTAGTATGTGTACTACATGTACACGTACATGTATGTACAGTACATTGTGTTAACCTGACAGTCATTTTAAAAATCTTTGTTGATGTTACAAGGTTCTGTTCTGCAGATTTGTGCTTACACCCCTGTAGAAACTTGTTGCATCTTGCACATTGTAAGGTAAAGCCAGTTTATAACCCAAACACAAGATGTACGCCTTATCCATGTACATGAATACACACAAAAAATACATCCTGTTCAATAATCCGTAAGTAAATAAAGAGTACAAAGGGCAGTATTGATTAAACCTTTTCAACAATTCCATATAGTTACAACAGGCTGATGTATGTATACTGATTGTATGTTGGCCTATTAAATCACAGCCAGACATATTTATTAACTGGCTTTTGCACAAAGTATGGGTGTGGTACATGTACATCCTGTAGTGATGCACTAGAGCACGTACATGAACATGTGACAGGTCTATATTGATATGTTATATTGCGCTTAATAACTGGGGCTGACACCAAATAAGACAGGTTCCCACAATTTGTGATTTTTTTTTAGTCACTAGCAGTATTATACACTATTTACTACTCGAAAGCTCCTTTTCAGCTCTATTAGGCCCAATAAAAAAACAAAAATATGTTTAGCGTCCTGCCTTTTTGAAAAAAAAGGACTATTTCTCAAGATGGCTGCCAGCTATTTTTTTTAAATGGCCGCCACTTGGTCTCAGGAAATGACATACCAGCTTTATATGGGGTAGATGTAACAGAAAAAAGGCCAAAATGATGTCACTGTTTAAAATTTATCATTTTTCCGTTTTTTTTTTTCTCCCAAAAAAAAAGAAGAAAAAAAAGGAGGCGGCCTCCAAAAAGGAAGCGGGCGGGGATGCTAAACATGTTTTTTTTTTATTTGGCCTTATACTAACACTTGAACAATTTCTATTGGATTTTGTTTACCAGTGAAATAAACAAAACAAAAAAACATTTTGCAAACTTTTCTGCTGAATTGAGCAGGCTATAAACTTAAAGGTTACTTGAGAAAAATGCAGGGAACTACATTTGTAATAGAGTCAGTTTTTAGTAGATCGTCCTTTGCGACAACTTTGTCGAGTATTCGGTAAAAACAGGTCAAATATAAAAATAATAATAATAAAAAAAAAAAAAACTAAACATAAAAAACAAAAACTTTTACGAAAGTTTTTAAAAGGCTGGCAAATTTCACAAAGCCATTCTAGTAGTCAAAAGCAATCAAGGCTACCTTCAGACCCTGTTTCAAATTCGCTTATATAGCACTAGTTGAACTTGATTCGGTGTAACTTTCCTGCTAAAACGGTGTCTGAATGGTTTTAAATTTACACCGAATCTGTTTTATCTCGCCGTTAAGGTTTTGTGGTATTCGGAACGGATGTCTGATAAACACGCATCGAGCGAGGCTGGAAATATCTGTCAGCGACCCGCTCGCAGGGAGCGAGGCTGAAAATATCAGGGTGGGCTACACGCAGATTATGGTCTGAACCCATCTGCCATCGATCTCGTGAAAATTAATCCAGCGCCTGAGTCTGGTCACTGTCAAAATATACCCGGCTTGAACTTGTTAAGGTCGACGTACGATACTTGTATGCGGTACAACAAGCGTGGCCGCAGTGGACTGCCATGTTTACCGCTAGGGCTACAGCAATGTCAACCACAGTGATGGAGAAAGGGGAACGAATTCCATACATAGACATCACTCATTTTCCTTTCAGTGACAAATCAGACATCAGAAAGCGATAACATGTCCTAAGAAGTCAAATTTTGCAGAGAAAATATTGAAGCATTTACTGAAAAACACTTAAAATTTTCAGACCAGTCTCATAGGGTTTGAGCACAGGCTGTCAAGAGATGTCCAGGTATGAAATTCTTTCCAGGAAAGGCTCCAGACCATGTGCAGCAAACTAGTCAAACTGGACGAAGTGAAGGCTCTTGCAGCGCGCGGTTTGGGCCGAGGCGGAAGTTCTACGTAACCTCAGAAACTGATCTAAACCACTTTCGAGTTGAACTCGCTGTATTTCAAATGATTAATTTTCAATACAATAGAAAGACCTTTAGTTGTGTTCCAAGGCAAATTCCCAAAATTTCCCCAGGGTTGATGATTTGTGTGCAAGTCTTACCTTCCATGAGCAGTGAAATCCAGATGAACACTTCTGTCATCTGAAGTTGATCTTCTGGCTCTCTCATGCTTCAAATGGAGCGTGTTGGAATCGTAATTTAGCGTGTCATAATGCTTGATGAACTTCCCTAGACGTTCAGCATCTGTGGGAATTTTCAAATATTAACAAACTCTGAGTTAAGGGAGCACAATGTTTTTTTTCTAATTTGCCGACTGATTTTTTTTCAGCAATGAAATATCCACAGCCAGTCTCTATCCTGCCAATTTATAATTTATTTATATATAGGATATATACGAAAAGACACTTCATGTTTTGGGAATGTTGTGCCCATTCTTGAAAATCGCGCATTCTCGAGAATGGGTATGCACATTCTTGGGAATGTGCAACTGGATCCTTGCTCAATCTTGGCAAAAAATAACTCTTCCAGATTGAGCGCACATTCTTGAGAATGCGCGACAAGATAACGGTCTTGTCGATGCCGAGCACCGGCTGCGCTTGGCAAGTCTAGCTGAATCCCTCGTTCACTGATTCTTAATAATTATACTGTTGCAACGCAAGGCGCTGAAAAGTAGAGTGGATATGAAAAGTATACGCGTATTGGGCCTATGGGGGAGGGGACCGGGGGAAAAAATAAGAATAAATAAGAAAGAATTCAGATTTTTGGGATAATAAAAGAGGGGGGGGGGGGGACGTAAGAATGAAGAATGTGAAGAATGAGAATGAATACTGCGACATCCCATAGTGCTAATGCTATTTCCCATTTAAATTGCCACCAATTTATTGTTCACACCCCACCATAACGTCGCAGAGCTGGATTCTATCTAGTCAAAAGAGCAATTTTGGCAGCTTCTGGACATCGTTTTTTTTTCGTGGCACGCATATGATACATACAGGGACTTGTACTTGTCTAGCCTAAACAAAGCACTTTCCAGACTCGTTCCCAGTCCTCCGTTATTACAAAACTTCCCATAAGTAGGCAGGAAAAGCAATAATAACAGGTTTAATATGATTCAAATTATCGTAGTTATACGAGTACAGAAGCATAGAACATTTTCTTTCCTCTTTATATGAATTGTTTCCCTTTTAACCGCTATACAATTCATTTAACATAATTATGTCGTGCAATGTTTGTTAAGATTGGGCAAAATTCATAAATTGTGCACGTGATATTCCCACCCAATCTTAAGAATGAGCGCTCATTCTTAAGAACGCGTGCTCGTTCTTAAGAATGGGCGCTCATTCTTAAGAATGCGCGCCCATTCTCGAGAATGCGTGATTTCCAAGAATGGGCACAACAGGAATAATAAATAGGGCCTACCTAGCTAAACATTTGGTAATGATACAAGTAGGAAAAGTCACTTTGTCATGTTTATGTGTTCAGTTTAGAATCATCTAAATAGTTTGCTAAATGGTTAAACCCATGTTGAATATCATCTAACTTAATTTTGTGGAAAGCGGGCCGGGTTTTGATATTTGAACATGTTGAATGGAACTTGTAAAACTACATTTGATTACCTAAAACTGCATTGATTTGTGCGGCATAAACTAGAAAAAGAGAAGAAAAAACCCCAGGTAGGCTTAAAAATAGCAGGGGAATAATTTAAATTTGTTTTGGTCGAAATACTGACTGCAAATCTTGACAACCAGGGCAAGGTATGATTCATGCTAGAGGTTACAATAATCATTTATGGAGCGATCAAAACTGACTTGTAAGTGTAACTAAAGAGAAAAAGGGGTACGCAAAAGACTGTCCACTTTTTGCCATTATTTTGAACTGTCAAACTGTAGAATCATGGTTGAATGTATTCTATTTCTAGACACAATGCAGGGAAAGAATGTTGCATGAGGTGCATTATTTAACTTAACAACTGATGGGGCTACCCAGGTAAAATAAAACGAAATAAATAAAAAATAAATAAAATAAATAAATAAATAAAAAAGGGGTCGCCTTGAAAGTTTCGAACACATGTACACCACATAAATTTAAAATAACTGATGCTGCAAGGATAGTCGTAGGACATACTACCTAGTACTCATACTACTTGACTATCATGTAATATAGCCAAATTCTTCCTGTTAAAACGAAGCAACGAAACTATGCCTATGCTGGTAACAGGTCATCTCGTACCTTGGGCAACTCGTACCTTGGACAACTCGTACCTTCAACTCGACGTCATTATACCGAGTCGTACCTTGGACAACTCGTACCTTCGGCAAGTCGTACCTTCAGTTAAGACGACTCGTACCATCACGCGTAAGACAAGTCGTACTGTCAATCAGGATAATGATCCGAGGCTGAAATAAGTGGACCGTAACTCATTGGAAGTGGACTGCTTATTAAAATAAAGGTGAATCTCTTTTTGGTAAGGGGTCTCTTTCCCCGGGCCCCCAAAAAGAGGAATTTATTTAGCGCGAAGCCGGCCGCGGCAGCTTACACGCACTGTGTGCGCGGCATGCACCGGCCCACGCGGCATCCGTGCAAAGTGACACGGTTCTTGCGCCGCGCTGACCGGTCAATATGGACGTCTGTGCACGGTGACATTGATGCAGTCTGCAGTTACGTTTAGAGACTTAGGCTACGTGAAAATATTATGGAACTGATGTTTTTATCCAAGATCCACGTCTTACCATCATTTCTACAATGAATGACCATCATTGAGATGATATATATATATGAAGAAAAAAGTGGCCAAACCCCCGCCCCCAATTTGTAAATGTTTCGAATAAACCAGTTGATGAATAAACCAACTGTGAATTTTTTTTTTTACATTTTAGACTTTCAGACTTATATAGCTAGGAAAGGACTGAATCATTTAAAAGTACTGACTGCTCTTGTATACTTTGGTTATTAGACTTCACAAGAAAACGCAGAAATTACTTTATTTAGACACATTAAATGTTTAAATTTGATTTTTATAAATTTTGTCGGTTGGTTTTAATAGAGTTTAATAAAGCTCGCTCTGGAAACAGGATGTTACGGTGGTTAGGCTGTATTGCATAATTAAACCACACCAAATCCGCATCTGAAGTTTCTCCACTATAAAATTCAATAGATGAGTGACACTTCTATCTAGATGAGTGACACTTCTATAGATGAGCGACGCTTCAATAGATGAGCGACACTTTGGGTGTACTTGTTAAACCGCCGGCCGCTTCCGAGTCACCGGCATCGGTACCGCGCACGACCGACCGCTGCTCGCGCCCTCGGAGGCCGGCCCGCCAGGCCCAATGCGTAAACTAATGCTGCCTGGCAAAGCCATTAGATCTTGAATGTGGTTCTGTGAGAAGGAAATTAACTTTGACTTGAAAAGAATCGTATCGTTTGGGAGTCAAGGAACCACACACTAAGTCGCGCACGTACAGTGTACATGTACTCTACTTTTTATTCTGATGGTACGAGTCGTCTTAATTGAAGGTACGAGTTGTCCAAGGTACGAGTTATCCAAGGTACGAGATGTCCAAGGTACGAGTTGTCCAAGGTACGAGTTGTCCAAGGTACGAGTCGCCCAAGGTACGAGTTGACTCGAAAGCCCTATGCTGCTATGGAGACGTTTAGCGAGTAACACAATTTTCACGAAAAGGATGCTATTCAAAAACGAGCAACAGGAAAGCAAAATTAGTTTTTTTGTGAAGATCAGAAGCGAGAAAATGGGACGAATTACTTACATATAACGGTGGGGATACCAACAGCAAGTAAAAGGCACCGTAGCAACATGATTTTCTTTACAAAACAGCTATAAAAAAATAATTTAAAATAAAAGTTGTGTACAAAGAAATGAAAAACCCGAGACGCCTGTCAACGAAGTTCGCAACATTCAAGGCGTAGGCATAATAATATGACACAGATGACTCAGTCATATTCAAAGTAAACATACGTCAAGGGGTGCTCGCCATATATATCAAACGGCCAGAGTTTATTTCCAATTGAACGTTTATTATACGATTTATCTCATTTTTCAAAAGAAGATAATGTATCAAACTATTTATATGTGTTTATCTATTTATATGTAGCTATGTACTTATCTGATTTTTCCCCTCTTATATTGATTTGGACATTTTTTTTGGACGGTTCGATTTGGGGCTGTGCCCTTTTTCTTTTTTTTTGACCTGCTGGGGAGTTCAAAGTTCCGGGTACGTTGTTGTTCAGAGGGGGCGGGACGAAGAGTGGGGTGGGGTTGTGAGGGGGGGGGGATTGATGTCATCTTTGGATAGGGACGGTCTAATAAAAAAAGTCATGGATGATAAATACAGTCTCTTTTTTGTTTCGAAGGCGCATTACGACCATTTCAGTGAGGTGGCACCGAACAATAAATGGAACATTTTATGGGGGGGGGGGGGGTTCTTACTTGATACCTAGGCTTCGGTTGGATGAAAGCCTCAGTAGTCGATTAAAATTGAAGGCCATATATCTTCGCTTTATTCTGAAAGGAAAGAAGTTACTAAGTGCATTCTGCTAATGGCCTCAACCAAAAAAACCCCTCAAAACAAAACAAAATAAATCTCTTTTTTTCCTCACAAAAATAACCTTTTTTCTCCATTGCTGATTTAAAGTTTTGAGAACTTTTGAGAAAAAGTCCGGGGACCTGCAAGCAGGCAGACATCAGTGAATTTAAAACCGGTAGCGGTATGATCACAACCTCTTTAACTGGAACTAATTATATGTTTGGCTCACTAATTTGGGCCCACGTCGTATGATTGCGCAACAGTTAAGCATTAATGCATTAATTAATTATTTTACATAACATTTTTTTTTTTTTCATGACATGTAATGTACAATTGCTGATGTGTAACGTATTCTCTGTTTTCCACTGTATATAGTATCCACTGACGTACTGAAACTTCAACAAGTTGTATATGCACCGCTCTTAAAATTTTGAGCAATTTTGTTGATTAAAAAAATCAAAAATGCAATGGAACCCATTTACCTTTAAGATATCAGTCACATCCACGTTTTGGTGGTTCAAATCCCGATTTATTTGTTGATGTAAATTATTAACCAAATGAATATTATCAGTTTACCGTTCAAAATTGAACAAATGATACGTTTTCAATATCAAGGTCCCTTTCATTTCGTTTTCTCTGTTTGAAGAATAACGAACTTTTTCAAGCAAAATATTCAGAATATTTACAGGAATCACAGAAGTGCCAAAAAAGTAGAAAAGTTTTCTTCAAATGGGCCAACAGGGGGCGGGCTGTAAGTTTAACGGTGATGAAGACCGCGGCGAACGAGCGAGCTGATACCCAGGCGTTCCATTTGCGAAATGATACAGATGTTTATTTAGGCAGTGCACCTGTTACGCACTTGTGCAGCACCATTTGAGCATGTGTGAATGGTGCACACACGGCCTTGAATGAGTTAGGTTAGCGGACGTGGCATTAACTTTCCTTCCCCCGTGCGTTTGGAACCTGGAATCCAGCATGGAACTCCTAAGGAAATACTCTTGGCTGACCCTTCTGGTAGGGCTGTGTTTCTTTACGGTGAGTGAATGGATGGAGTATTTCAATTGATTTAACTTGACTTGAAGTTGGGCTGGATCTTGGAGTGTTTTGGGCGAAGTGGGATGGGACAGCAACTGGACCAGTTTCCGGACATACAGGGGGTCCACCCGTTGGGCGTCGATCCGATCATCCGATGGCCGCGCCTAGCCTAGCGCCAACATGGCCAAGACGTGAAAAGTGGGTGGGGGAAGTTTAGTTGATGGGTGGGGGTAATTTTTGTCATGGCATCGTTTTGATAAGTTGGTCCGATAACCTTAAAATGGATTTCTGTTATTATTTTACAAGTTCAACAAGATTTTTACAAGATTAGTCAATTTCAAAATTAAACATGTTATAAAATATGAATGATAACTTAAAAAGAAAAAAAACAAAACAAAATCGCGACATTTGTCTCAATACTATTGTGCACAGATTTCATTTGTTTTTTTGCAATTAATATATCCTCGACCCTCCATAATCTGCGCAGGTAACGCTTGCAACGCGCGTGCGTTGTCAGTGAGTGCGTAGAAACAGGACTGCGTAGCTAGCTTTAGGGGGTCTGACGATATATTACCGATTAATTCCAATATTTTCTCACATATGGTTCATTACAAATTCAATATTGCCCCACATGCATGACATGGCTGGCTCAAATGTTTGCATTTGCATCTGATATGAATTTGCAATGTATACATTCATGGAAGCTTGCCAAAAGACTACTGTTTTCAGGATGATGAAGAACATATTGACTTGAATATTGATAAAAGAAAAATGATTGATATTGTGTTAACTGTAAGTTTGAGCAGCTGGTTAAGGGTTTTTGTTTTATATTACAGTCATAAAAAGTAGTACAAATATGGCTTTCCTAGTGTGTTTAAAAGTTACAATCATGTACACATTAACGTGATACGACCGCAGTTAAATTTACATGGTTTGCTGCGGGCAGCTGTGTGTGGTTGCACTTTAAACCTTTATCTCCTAAATTTTTATTGCATTGTTTTACAAAATTATTTATTCACTGAAGAGCCCATAAAACCATAAAGTGATATGGCAGGTTTTGGGCGGTACATTGAGTGATAGGGAGGGGCAGTTTTGGTGGTACAGTTTGCAATGGTTTAACTAGGAACCATACCCATTATGATTCAGGCAAATTCCAACACCCACATGAGAAATTGTACACACACACTGTTGGACTTAGTTTCTGGAGGTATGCCAACCCCAGTGTAAAAGACCATCTGTTTAGGGGAACTGTAGGCCTACCTATCCCAACAGATTTAAACACAAACCTGCTGTTGAACTTTGATGGGTTGTGTTCGGTTAGGGTTAATGACCAACTAAAAAAAGCGTGCTTTTAATTAGTTTGCAGCAGTCCTATTCAGTTTCATTACATTAATTAAACAGCTACATTGTACATATAAGTTGGACTATTGTAACATTAAACATGTTAACCTCAACTTCCATTCAATTGATCACGCACATACATGTAACATTGGATAAATTCAAAACATGGGAGTCTTTGACTAGACTGGTCAGTGTTTGGTACCAAAACGTTCACAGAAAAAGTGAGCATGGACTGGCGAGACTTGATACACGCTCTATTCTGTGTCTTATTTCCAACATACATGTATGCAAATTACATACTCCTATGCATTAAAGCTATAGTCCATCACTTGCAGCCATCCGAAAAAGTAACTGGCGTAATTACTGTTGAAAAACAAACTTGGTTGAAAGATAGTAAGGGGACTAAACTCCCTGTGAAATTATTCTTTCTGGCAAGCTGTGATTTTGAAGTAATCAATGAAAGAAGGCCTTTCCAACATAAGACGCACCATAGGAAAATTTAAATTTTGTTATTCGGCGCAGCGCGCGCAAACATTGGCACGACGCACTGGTTGCTATAATTCGTCGGATCAGTGCGCGACATCGCGTATAGCTGCAATTCAAAACAATTCAAAACATGATTCAGCAAATTTTGATTTAAAATTGAGATCCTAGAATGCTGTTTTTCTCGAAATATACAGCTGAAGCTGAGCTGAAACTTCATCAGGTTAGTTGTTCAGTATCCTTCATTAGATTTTGAACACTTTTGTTGCTTCAAACGAACAAAATGCACAAATTACAAATGATGGACTATATCTTTAACTTGGTGTTATGAGCCTTGGCAATATATCATGTGTCAAGTGAGTAAGATTATAATGTATGTGGTTCAATAAGGGGCACATTATGCCAGATGTGTTGACAGATAATAGATGACAGCGCCACATCACACAGCTGCGGTACACTGTGATGTCAGAGAGCGTACTAGTGAATAACCCTGACCACAACTTCCACAAGGAATTAGACAAGATTAGAAAATTTGAAGAAGTTTTAAAAATAGATTTGTATGCACCTGCGATTCTTGAAAATTGACAAAGAACTCATTAAGATAAGAATAAAGAATATTATGCATGTATCAGTATATTTTTCGAGGTAGCGGAATGGCTGATAGTTGACAGCTTTTAAAGAAGAAAGTTGAGTTAATATTTCTAACAGAGGCTCTCATCGTGTGTATAAAGCCAAAGAAAAACCATAATACAGTTTTTCATTCGCGCCTGCTTCCTTTTTTCCCTGTAGCTTTTTTTTTTTTTTTAATTCATATATTTGTAAGCTATTTTGCACATTGTCAATATATTGTTTATCTGATTGTTTTCAACAAAATTGTAGCTGTGTTGAAATGGTTCATGGCTCCTTCGGACACAATTTTGTATCTGCTAAAGAGTCCAGAAAATTAAAGAATCCATCTGCCTTCTTGGAAAATCCGCCATCTTGGGAAAAACGAAGGAAAAAAGCACTCTTTTTAAAAAAAAAAGCTGGACAAGAAACTACTTATTTTTTTTTACTGGGCCTTATGTGGCTTTCAACAAAAGTATGGAAATTGACAAACAATAAAACCATGCAACTTGTACGAGTACAATAAAATTTGATTTGTTTTTTTTTTAGATATTCGGATAATGGGATATTGGGTGGGTAATCGTATATTTGAATATTTCATATATTCGGTGCAACTCTATTGAAAAGATCAAGAGTGAATATGTTAGTTTGGAAGGAAATGAACTAAAATGCTGTGTGATTTGTTTCTTTTCTCAAGGCATTCCTGGCAGTGTCTGAAGCCAAGAAGCCCAAGAGCCAGAACATCCTCGCTGTCGATGACATGAAAGAATTCAAGAAACTTCTCCGGACGCGGAATAATGTAATGGTTTTGTTTTCAAAAACCGGTAAGTAAAGTTACAGGACTGTTCCTATAAACCTTTGCTTTACTGACTTTAAATACATCAGTGTTTATTAAAATAAAATGTTAAGCAAATGTACGAAGAGTATTTAGGCTTTTCCTTCCATGTTTTTCTCTCCACAGCTCCATTTCTAGTAAGGCGAAGTAAAAAAACAAACAAGTTTCTCGTCCCCGCCCGCTTCCTTTTTGGAGGCCGCCTGGATTTTTTATTATTTTTTATTTTTGAAAAATGTAGTAGAAAAACACCGAAAAAGTCTACAAATTCACCGGAAAATAAATACCAATACCAATACAACTCTAAATGACACTGTAAATATGTTCAGTTCTCTTGTCCAACTTGTCTTTCATCTTTAAAAGTGTCTTTGAACAGTGGAACACCAACGGTTGCAGGATATTTTGAAAAGGTGGTCATCTTGAAAAAATAAAAAATAAAAAGCCCCGCTTCCTCCCTTTTTAAAAAAACCCTGGACGAGAAACTATTTTTTTTTTTACTCGGCCTAATAGTTCAGATATTAAGTTTACTGTTCGGGACGAATGAAAATATAAATTGATTTGTACTTTCAACCTGCATATGTTAACAGTCAATTGAGTTTGTAAATGAATAATAAGACCCAATACTTTGACAGCAAAGTTTATGATATATTCCAGTTCTGCAGTTTGTGTACCAATAAGTTTGTGTGTTTAGATATTAACATATTCTTGCAAATCCAACAAATAGAATTCATTGATTGTTGCACCACTTGCACGTGCTGCATATTGATTGACCACCAGTTATTGATAAACTCAGTTGTTATCCGCAACAAAAAACTGAATAAATTGTGACCCAATCCAGCAAAATGAATTTGGATTTTTCAAAGCAACTTTGAGTCGACATTTTCATCCACACAATATCTGCATAATTATGATTTAAAAGAAAATGATTTAAAGAGATCCCCCAATAAAAATACACCCATGGGATTAGGGTAAATTAAACCTACCGAGTGTTGGTTTTCAATTTCAATATTTTGGTGTTTTTTTTTATCCCAGCTAAAGATGCCAATTCCTGGATGGATGTTTACGGTGAAGTTGCCACGGAGATGAAGGGACTGGCCACACTTTTAACTGTTGATTGCAGGTGAAGTTGACATTTATAATTTTTATGACATTTTATGAATGTTTATGTTCTCCAAACGTCACCCCAAAATATTTGGACTGGAGATTTGGACCAACTGATTCAGACATTGTTCTTTTATGGTTATTTATATATAAATTCTGTGGTAGTAATTCTCTCTTGTGCTAATAGACTTCATTTAATCCTTAAATTGTTTTGTAATGTCAATTTTCCGTTTTGTAAAAAAATCTCAAATATCACTTAAACAAATTTTGTTTCATCATATTTGTCTTGTGCACTTGTATAATCATGGAATCATTTTTTTTTGTTCAGGAGGAGGGGGTTCAATAAGGGAAATACACACATTTCTAGTATCACAGTTTGTACATGCTTCAGTTTAATTTCCAAAGTGTTGACTAAAATATTTGAACTTTTGGTATGTTTCATCAAAATCAGTTTTTAAATTTTTTTTTTACTTCTCACAGTGATGCCAAAAAGCTCTGCAAGAAAGTGAAAGTCTCTCCCAGCAACGTAGTCCTTAAGCACTACCAGTAAGTACATTGCTTTTGTTGTTCTGTTGTAAAGAATATCATTAAAGAAATTATAATTTCAAAATATGCTAATTTTATCCATGAATGCACTAAACCAGACAAAATCCAACAACTTGTGAAAGGATTTAATGGATTTGCTTTGAAGCACCTCGATTTCCAATTTAATTTGTTTAACTTGTGCAAAGTGGATACTGTTGGTAACTGCACAGCATTGGAATTTTTTTTCCATTACTGCTATGCTGTAAAGCGCAAAGGACGTGTGTGTGTTCAAGAGCTGTTCACATGTTTATCATACGCGAAGCAGGCATTTGCCAATGGAGCCACCGCCCCAACAAAACGGGCAAGGCGATGCCTCGTTATAGAAACTTATAGTTCTCAAACAGGTTTCCTTTGTTGTTTTTTTGCAGGGAAGGTGAATTCAACAGAGACTATGACAGAAGGAAGAATAAAAAGGTACTAATTTAATTCTTTTACTGTGATTTACACTTTCTGTAGTGTGCTTTGAACTACCCCAATGGTATATTTTTAATGGTGTAACACTCTATTACACGTAAACTGAAATTTTGACAGATTTTGACCATCGATTTGCATTCTGAAATGTATTGAATACGTTTTCATGAATAATGAATAAATTGGTAGATAATGGAAAAGTGTTTAAGTAGGCCTAATGTTTTTAATGTAAAAATGGTGGCAAAAATATGGCTTGAATCAAAGAACAGAAGATGAAGCAAAGAACATTGTACATTGTTTCTAAGAAAAATGATGGACAAATTTATACTTATTTCGTATTCAAATGATTCTTTCTTTGCTGTATATTTCCCGACTCTAGTCCATGATATATTTCTTGAACAATCCTACGGATGACGCACCTTGGATGGAAGATCCTACAGCAAGCAGCGTACGACACATAGAATCTGGAAAGGTGGGTCACGATACACAGACAAACAGACAGTCCAACAGTATAGACAAACAAATAGGTTCCGATCATGTGATGTCAAAGTATCACCTGACCTTCAGGTTTCTGTGTGATTGGTCACCACTGCAGTTGGCAAGCGTTTTGGTTGGCAACCACATCATGCTTTGCAAACCAGACATTAGTTTCAAAGGCGTACATGGGTTGTTATCCCCCTCCCCCAAGTGCGCATTTGGTACGCTTTTAAAAATGTTGATAATTATGGGTGACCCCAAGTATGGCAAGAAAAGAAATCGAGTCCCGCAAATCACTACATTACTGAATATTCCACAGTGTAAGGACCATGGGCCTGCTACAACTAGGGCACAAGAAATGCATAGTGTATTCAGAGTATCGTATGTACATTTATGCGTTGACTCGGGAATATAAAATGCTCACCTACATCTAATGAGCTGCATTTATGCATATCAATTATGGAAATGCAGCGGTAGTTTGATATCACAGCGGTTGAAGTGAGAGAAGAAATCATTTAATTATGCCCAGGTCAGTATCCCAAACGGGCAGTCGTTGGGACTTTGAATGCTGTGTGCATTTTACCAAGTCGCAGCAGGGCTGTGACTTTAATTCACACTTGGCAATTATAATTGATCACATCTTGAATTAACTTCTGTGGTTTTTCCATCTCCAGTTCTACACCTTCTCTTGATGTTAAGGGGAAAAGAATCAAAGATTTTTGATAATTTTTGTTCCTTTTGCATTCTTTGCATGGTGAAATGTGAGGTTGAATCAATTTTAAAACTTTCAGTGGCTTGAGGGCCTGTATTATGGGGTTTTTGTTCAAATAATTTTAGAAATAATTATTGCAATTTTTTTTCTGCATTTCAATGGATTTTTTAAGTGATTTTTTTCTCCTATTAATTATACTTTTCTAATGTATTTTGATCCTTGTATATCAACTTACTTTTTTTATGGTCTATTGAAAGTCATCCTTGAGGTGATGTGGCTATCATCAATAAATTAAGTTATTATTTTTGGACCAAATACATGAAAACAGAAAAGACCCTCTGGAAATTGACCCCATTTCATTTGACCTCAACATTCCCCATATTTTGCACCTCAGACTGTGCGCCACTTGACAGAATTGTTTCTGTAACTGAAGTATCACTTCAGAAACCCCTTTCTGTTGGGTTTTACTCATCTGACTTGCTGATCTGTGTTTTTCCGACTCCCAGGAGCTGCAGAGAATGTTAGCCAAGGAGAAGAAACCAATCCTGCTGATGTTCTACGCTCCGTGTAAGTCCCCTGCAAGCCCTCTTCCTTTGCATATTTCTCCTGCTGTAGCAAGGTTTGAACCTGCAACCTTCAGGTTCAAACACCGCTCACTTGTAAATGATCATGATGCATCGAGTCAGTTTTCCTCTGTTGGCTGAAAATTTCTTCGTTAGAGTCTTCATGGAAGAAAAATTCTTTGATTTTGAAGAAAAATGCTGAGTGTTATGGACTTTGCCACATTTTTGTTTCTAGTTGAATTATAGACCAATCGGGGCACGCTGTCACTTCTATCACGAAGGCCCCCTTCAATGGCGAAAGCATTGTGCTAGCTATTGTTCAGATAATCCATCATGGGGCAGTAGCTTTGTACAATAGCTAGCACAATGTTCTCACCATTGGAGGGGGCCTCATGTGTGTACATGTACAGGAATCCCATGCCCAGATTTGTCTTTAACAGGAAAAGATTCCCTTCACCCCCCCCCCCCAAGAAATAAAATATAAATTTCTGTGCTTGAAACGTGCTTTGAAATCATCCTTATTTATTTTTGTAAGTGACACTACGGATTTATTTAACATGTTTGTATCGTGACATTTTAAAGTATGCTTTCTTTAGTGTGTATATTTTCTTGCCAATTTCATGCCAGTTTTTAGGGTAGTTTTGCCGCCAACAGAGGTTAGCTGAGGTATCTAAATTGATTGTCTGTAATTTTGTCACTGAATCTATGACTATTTTGGATTTTGTTTTTATCTGCAGGGTGTGGACATTGCAAGAAGATGAAGCCAGAGTTTGCTGGGGCAGCCAAGGAACTCAAAGACTCAGCGGTAAGACACAGATCCTCCTTTTAAATTTCTAATTAAGTGTTCAATCAAGTGTTAATTTTGTTCTTTTTTGAATATTATATACCTGTATTATATATTGCTGTTGTGTTATAGCTGTTGTTTTATTGAGTCAACACTGCTAAAAAACTTTTGGCTAGCTAGTGAAGGGGGGGGGAGTGTTCTTAAAAACAACACCCCCTATTACAAAAACAACTCCCCCCCAAAAAAAAAGGGGGGGGGGGAGGGGATTTAAGGGAAGGGTAGACACGCATCTGACCACCACTGAACGCACTTGCTGCACACGGCTGCTTGCGCGTGTCTTAAACCATTTGTCTTTAAGGCCGTTTTAAAAAGTATTTACGGCCGTCAGGCAAATTGAAATTTTTGGGGAAAAAATATGGTAAACCACCCAAAGAAACATTTCTGGCTACGCCACTGCTATGAATCTATACTAGGAAGTATACAAAGAATCCTCTAGAATTCATAGTTGGGGCAGTATTAAACCTAATGCCACATTCAATTGTGATACGGTACATCAAGTACCATGTTGCCAGCTGTATGCAGCTGAACATGCCAAAATGCTTCCAATCCAGGATACTGGAAGATTTAGGGTTGTTAGGGTTGAATGAATAGTGCAGTGAACCACTCTGTAGTAGACTGGGAAGGGTGTGGTGGGTATTCGGTCCGTTCAGTTCCATGCACAAATACTGCTTACAAATCCCATGTACTCGGAAGATTCAAAGCCAGTTTGTTATAATATTTGTAAATATGTGATGTCTGGTTCCCTGTGCTCTCCAACAGATTCAATTATATTTCTATTTATCAATTTTCAACTTGTATATATATTTTTGTTCAACCAAAAAGCCTTCAAATTAGGTTTTGCCCTTCATCGACGTATAAACACTGTATACAAGGCAGAAGGGCAAAACCTGATTTGATTTACATCACCCCGACGCAAAAATTCGATCTAATGAACAAAAAGCTGTCTTTTTTTGCCTTTTTTGGACCACTGCAACCTTCTGAAATTTTGTTTTCGTTTTTGGTCTGTGCATTATTGATACTGATTGGGGGGTGGGAACCAGCCTACCCGCGAGAACAGATTTATTGTCTGGCCGAAAATATTTCAAAATTGTAAATTTATAATTCAATAACTAAAAAATGATATCTCACTCAAAAGTGAAAATTTTTTGTATTGCTAGAAAAATAGCAATTTAGAATAGGAATCTATTTTTTATAGTACTGGGAACACGACTTTCAGTTTTTGCGCTGTGAATTTACAGAACTTTATAACACATTTTAACTCCGGGGGAATTTGATTGTCAAGTTCGCTTCACCTTTGCATTCCTGTGAAGTACACATAATGTATGAGCTGACCCTTACATGTACATACAAACAGATAGCATGGCTGTAAGATTTGATGGTGTGTGATACAACTTTTATTAAAATAAAATTAAATAAACATACACCCATTCTTATAAACAAAATCCCCCGTTCACAAACATTTAAAATTGAAGTTTTGTTGAGTGGCTCTCCTTAAAATATTTAAAAGTGTCACCTGACAGATATGGAGAGACATATTAGTTTTGCAGTTGTAGTTAAAAAAAAAAATGATTTCTACATTTTATTTTCTGACATTTTTAATTTTTTTTATTTTAGATGAGTAAAACAATAATTCACTAATGAGCTATGTGTACATGTTCATGAACTACAACCAAAATGCAAAATTAAATCTGTTGAGGTCAGAGCACTTGAAGATAACTTAATCCGGGATTTTGATGTAAGAATCTTAGAAAAATCGGTCAAGCGCAGTCAAGTTAAGATCAGTCATACGATGTGAGGATCTTAGAAAAATCAGTCAAGCGCAGGACACTTCCTCAAAAACGTCTGCTTTTTCAATTTCCTCCCACACAACTAAATAGAGAAAAGTGATCTCGCTCTTCCAGATCGTCTGTTTTAATTATGGCCTCATCAGTCGCAGTCTCGGAGTCATTGGACTCAAAACCACATGCAGCCAACTGCTGTTTGGGTTAAGCTGGGATGGTGCCCTTGCACAGTCTGGTTACCAGACTTTGTATTCATTAATTGAAAAGTTGCGGTGGTTGGTTTTGTCTTATGGTTCACTTGAAATCCCACGACGATATTAAATTTAAAAGGGGGAAGATGTATAGGCTGTTAGCCTTGCACAGTCTGGTTACCAGACTTTGTATAAAATTAATTGAAAAGTTGCGGTGGTTGGTTTTATCTTATGGTTCACTTGAAATCCCACGACGATATTAAATTTAAAATGGGGAAGATGAATAGGCTGTTACCCTTGCACAGTCTGGTTACCAGACTTTGTATTCATTAATTGAAAGGATGCGGTGGTTCATCTTATGGTTCACTTGAATTCCCACAACGATATTAAATTTAAAAGGGGGCAGATGAATTAGTGAGTTAGGCTTGTACCCTTACAAAGTCTGGTATCAATTAATTGAAAAGATGCGGCGGTTGGTTTTATCTTACGGTTTACTTGAAATCCTACAATGATATTAAATTTAAAATGGTGAGGATGAATTAATGCAGAATGCCATTTTTTATGATAACATTGAAAAGTGATCTCTAGGGTAGTTGAAAGACTAGACTAGGCATGTCCTATTTTCATAACTTAATTTGTCAAGGGGAAAACAAAACGTGTCCTTAACCAAAGAAGTCTCAGTGCACAACTCCATGTGATGTATTTCGAATTGCTGTATTTTAAAGTCTTTCCAAAGTGGTATTTTGGGTTAATCTCGCGTTGAACACAGTTATCCAGATTAAATAAAAGAAAAGGTTATTTCAGTATTTTTGTCCCAAAATATGTATTCCATGAAATGCTTAATGTAAGTCTGAATACTAGTGTACTTATGTTTCCAGAAGATCCTTCTCAGAATAACACTTTTTAACCCCCCCCCCAAAAAAAAAAGTAATTAAAGAAAATAACAGTCAAACTCTATCTTTGTGAAGAATTAATTTTTTGATGAAAGATCAAAATATCACTTACTATGATAAATAACTTCCAGGTGATATGTTACAAGGCACTGAGAAAATCTACAGATGTGTGCGTCCGTCAATAAACAGCACAACGATTTGCCGGTCTTTTGATTATTTTAATATAGGTGCAAATCTTACAAATGACAAAAGTGAACTCTATTAAAAATAAACAAAATTGAATCAAAGCCTTAAATGTTCCAGAAATCTGTAACAGATGTTGCAAAACCATTGTATTTAAATTAAACTATTGTATTGAATATACATCCGTGTATACCCATCTGTTTGAAAGTATTAGGATGTAAATGACACAGTGTTATTTAACTCCCGCGCACTTCTCAAATTTCCCATGGCGATGGATTATCATAATTCCCATCTAAGCCGGAGCAAGCCACGCTCAGGTAATTCAATCATTACTCCCTGTGTATTAGTTACCAGGTGATCTGAAAGGCCTCGTTGAAATCCGATTGACTCTTAACGAAAACTTGACATTAAAGGTAATACATGTGTGGGCAGGGGAGGTCAGGCTTGGTGATTAGGATTAATCAGTGTGCGTGTATTGACACTGCCCCTTTAAAGGTAAAAACATGTGAAATTTTGTAAACATGTAAATAGTTTTGAAATTTTGGTTGATTCCTGTTGATATGTATGTAATAGATATAAGGCCAAGAAATAAATACCTCAGTCGCCTAATATCCCACCAAACTAGAAATCATGCAGAACATAAATCTTTTTATGAAAAAACTCCACAACTTATGGTGCTTCCCCAACCTAGTTATGGGGACGTTGATTGGCAGTGCAGTCTTGCCGCACCGTGCAGCGAAGTCTATAGTATAAAGTTTACAGCAAATGCATAATGAACAGTGGATTCCCATATTAACTGTTACAAATGCATGCCAAAAAAAAAAATAAAGAAAAACAATTCTTGTCTGGTTTGTTTGATTTGTTTTCTCGCTCTTTAGGTCCTAGCTGGTCTTGATGTTGATATACCTACCAACTATGAGGTTCGCACAGCATACAATATTACTGGCTTCCCAACAATATTATATTTTGAGTGAGTACATGTAACATACCAAATTTCAATGTTGGGTTTTTGTCCGCCGCTGACATAATTTTCTGAACATTGTATACTCAGTACTGTCCAAAAGATTGTGACAAGTGTACAATTAGTATACAGAGTGAGTTAAAAAAAAAAACGCAACCCAAATGGCAGGACCAATTTTTGAATGAAGTTTTGCCTGTAGCACTTTCAAATCTAGGATATGAAAGCCCAATCAGTGAGCTTTCTTTTAGTACAAGAATCATTAAAATCACTCAAGCACTTTTCAAGTTACAGAGTTTTGAACACAAACACTGTTTTAAAGTTTTGTCCACGAATCACAAAAAAGTAAGTGTTCTTTCAGCAAAACGAAAACAATTCTCATGGGGATGCATGTGAAGTGTTTTCGTTTTGCTGAAAGAACACTTACTTTTTTTGTGATCCGTGGACAGAACTTTAAAACGGTGTTTGTGTTCGAGCTACTACATGTATTCCTTGACAATGCACGAAATACACTTCTCTCCAAAGTGGATGAAGTCGGTTTGTAAGGAACATCTTTAAGACATTCTAGTTTTTTTTGTTTTCCAGGGATGGGCAACGAAAGTATGACTACGGAGGTGAAAGGGACCAAAATGGCATCATTGAATGGATGAAAAAGTAAGAATCTTTAACTGCATTTAAAATTTGTATCTTAATTTTACTTTACGAATCTTTTGACCTTTGAAATTGCTGGTAGCATGTTAGTGACCACTCTGGTTTGAAAAAAAGAAGAAGATAAAACCAGTCCATGTTGTAGTTGAATCAATCACAAGTTCGGTCACAAGTAAATCACAAAGTCCAGTCACTGATAAGGAACGACAAACAACAAAGAAGTGATTTTGTCGCGGTTCATTTGAATAGCTTGTGACTTGACTCGAGACTGGATGACTTTGTGATGGGCTTGTGATGGGCTTGTGATGGGCTTGTGATGGGCTTGTGATGGGCTTGTGATGGGCTTGCGATGGACTTGTGATGGACTTGTGATGGGCTTGTGATGGGCTTGTGATGGGCTTGTGATGGACTTGTGATGACTTGTAATAGACTCGACTAAACACTGATCGACCCAAACCATGTTACATACATGTCGATGACATCAATCATGGCTGCTCACTATAATTACTTCCTCTGTCATTCTCTTTTCCACCAGCCCGCAGCCGCCTAAGGAACCGGAACCGGAAGCCCAATGGAGCGACGAAGAGTCTGAGGTTGTTCACCTCACCGACGACACCTTTGACAGTTACCTAGAGGGACATGAGTCAGTCCTGGTCATGTTCTATGCACCATGTAAGTCCAATATTAAAGGATGGTATGTTCTTATGGACATTGGTGCACTTTGTCAAGTCTCTGTGTTAGACATGTTATATTCCCTGAAGCCTGGTTCATACTCAACGCGAAAGTGAACGCAAATTTGTGACGTCATGGCAAGTCTTCGCGCTGCGAATTTGTAAAAGTTAAACACATTTCAACTCGGGCGAATTTTGCAGCGAATGTTTCAAGATGTCAAATAAGTATGAACCGGGCTTAAGACTTCGATTCTTTTTCTGCTCGCAACAGATTAAAAACCCTCAACAAGATTTTGAGAAGCATTACCAAGATTGGTTTAAAAAAACATGTAAGGAGACCTTTTTTAAAGATTCCATATTAAATTTCATAAGTCTGGAGTTTATGTAAATCTGAAATACGCTTTTATATCTGCTTTTTGCTGGTCCCAGAGGGCCAGCCGAGTTTCGTTATTGCACCTCACTGACTGACTCACTGACTCGCTTTCACTTGTGACCTGGGCAGTGCTATTGTATAGGATAACCCCTTAACGCCAATGAATAGGCCAAATCTGGCCGATTGTGTACACTGATGCATGGAAAGACTTGCAGTGAATAGCCATTCTGAATTTTGTGTTCTCTGAGACCAGCTTTAACTTAGGCTTTCCTTGTCTCGGTTTTCTTTATTAGGGTGTGGTCATTGCAAGAAAATGAAGCCAGAATACACGGACTCAGCTCAACAATTAACGGAGGAAGGGGTGAGTACCATTGATTTGTGACGGACTTTTGATATGACTTGTGGACATAAAGTGATACTACGTCCTGAAAAGTGCCCAAAACATGTTTTAAATGAAATTATATTATTAGGAAAGAACATTTAAAAGCAGAATATAAACGCCCACACAAACGGCCTTTAAAAAATTTACTGTTTTGTGTTATTTTTGCGAGAGTGAATATTGGGGGTGACAATTTTGACTCGCACTAATTGAGGTGTTTTTGGTGCTAGGCGTGATTCCAGTTGCACATGTTCCACCGGAAACAAGTCATGGAATTTTGTTGGTTATCCTGGCTTTGAACCAAATAATAATAATTAATAAGTGATGTGGTATAGTGTCTAAAATGTCTTCCCTTTCTCGTCCACAGCTTTCAGGAGTGTTGGCTGCAGTGGATGCTACAAAAGAAAAGGCTGTAGCCCAACGTTTTGAAATCAAAGGCTTTCCTACTCTCAAATATTTCAAGTATGTGACTTTTTTCTTCTGACAAATTTGTCATTTTGTCTTTATTGTAGAGCACCAAGGCATGTTAACAAAAGTGAGAACAATTCGGGCAATTCACAATGTAGTGCGCCACCAAGAGTTTTCCATGGAGAGTCAATTTTTCAAGTTTACGGTCGACAAAACACAAAAACACAGCCCAGTTCAATGAGTGTCAGTAGACAACTTGAGCTAGTTTGTTATACATGTAGATTGGGGCATAACATTCTTAACATTCTCTTGGTTTTCCGAATACAGGCAAAACAGAATTATGAGACTATTTTTATGATCACTTGATTTTTTTTTCAATTTTGCATGATGATGTTGGAAAGAAAGGACACTCAAATTTGTGAATTGACAATTTTCAAGTTGAACAAAGAAATTGACCGAAGCAAGGTTTGAACCTGTGACCTCCGGATTGCCGTTCCGGTGATCTACCAACTGAGCTATCCAGCCCTATGTTGGCAATTCCCCAATAAGTCAATGTCTTTGTTCAAGGGCGCTAGTCAGAAGCCATAAACCAGTATATGCCATGTAGCCAGGGATCACACCCAAAGTCACGATGAAACATTAGCGATGCCGCAAACCTGGGATAATAGCTAACGAGGATCACTCGGCTTTCTACTACAAATTTTCAAATTAACCTAGCCAGTTTCCCTTTACGGTTTATTTTAAATTTGTGAAATGAAATTAATTCAAACTAGCATGCAAGTGGTTGGTCTAAAGGCTGGTTTAGTCGACTTTTGCTTTGCCATTTTTCAAATTGTATACATTTTGGAAACTAACATATTCTGCTATAAACCATCTCTTTAAATTATTTTGTTTTTTTCTTTAACCGCAGGAGTGGAGAGTTTGCTTGGGATTTGAATGAAAGAACAGGAGAAAAAATCCAGGAGTTTATGAGAGAGTAAGCTCAACTTAAAAGTTTTCACTTTAATGTGTTTAAAATAAAGGTCGCCCCAAAAAACCACAGATTTTTCATTTTTCCAGTAGCACCTACACTACATTGCATTACATTGTATATACTCACTGGAAAAAAACTAGTCAGTTCATTTGGTATGCCTAATATTGCAGTTCAAAGTGCTATATATGATTTGAACCTGTCATCATTCCCTGTTTAACACTTTTCTTTTACAAGCTTTTAAGCAGCAAGTATACAGTGTGTCTAAAATGATATCAGTGAAGACCAAAACTCAATATTAAAATAAACCTAGTCAATTATTCCCCCCCCCAAAAAAAAATTCCAATCTAAAATATGGATGATTTGTAACAGCGTTTTTTCGTTGTGTCCTCTGACAGTCCTTCGGAACCTCCTGCTCCACCCCCTCCTGAACCCAGCTGGAGTGACCAGGAGTCAGCCGTCCTGCACCTAACAGGAGACAACTTCAAGACGGTCACGAAGAAGAAGAAGCACAGTCTGGTCATGTTCTATGCACCCTGTAAGTCTCACTGTAGCCTTGATCCAAGACTGAAATGTAGATTTGTATTCCCCTTGGATACAAGTAGACCAATCTAGGATTGGAAGCATTGGCAGCTGACTGCTGTTTTCAGGCCAATGGGTGCGCATGAGGCATGTTTGGAATTTCTTGGGTAGTGCTGCCAAAGTTCCCAAGACTGGATTTGAGTCACCGTGCTGATAGCGCCCTCTACTAACGTGGTGGCATGACGGCTCTTGCCAACCCTTGGAACACTTCTGCTTGCAGATTTTGCCAAAAAATTGTGATAGTCCACCACCAACTAGCCGTAAATTTGTAAAATCTTTCACTTTTTTTCCAGTGCAATATTGGGGAAAAGTGCAGCTTCTGCTACTTTCCTAAGTTATGCTTTTCAAAATCAATCAACTACAAGCATGCTTTGATCAGCTGATTACACTTTTTTAAAACTTCTCTTGTATACCACTAAATATAAAAAAATATATAAAAAAATGACGGGGAGTCTTGTGAGGTTTGGAATTTCTTTTTTTGTGTGACTTTTCAGTTGCATGCCTGCACATATCTATATGAACAGGCTTTAAAGTTGAACCTATGAAATTCGCTATTTTTCGGAAATGTCAATCATTCCTATTATAAACTATTTAATTCTGTCTCAGTTTTTCAACTGATTGATTGAGCTTTTCTTGTCAAGAGGCAAAATCTTTAATTGAGCTTCAGCTTGTTGGCAATGATCAATCACAATGAAATACACGTAATCATCAATGATGGACTACTTTTATTGTGGTAGAGTCTAATTCAAGGTTTGTCTCTCTTGAAAGCACTGAACTCATTGTGCTCAAAATGTTGCATCATTTTACTTAAAAAAGTCAAAAATGAATTGTGTTAATATCCATAATCCGTACTGAAGGTTTTATAACTTTCCATTTCCAGGGTGTGGACACTGCAAGAAGGCCAAGCCGGAATTCACGGCCGCTGCTGACCAGCTTAAAGATGAACTGAAGGTTGCCTACATTGCCGTTGATTGCACCGACGACAAGAGCAAGGAAATGTGCTCGACGTATGGTGTAACTGGCTACCCAACGTTGAAGTACTTTGTGTACGGCAAAGACCCTGTGCCTTATAGTGGAGGAAGAGAGGTGCAATATTTTCTCATTTGAAGATTTTCTTGTTCATCTGTGTAATCTTGAAAAAAGGCCAATTTTGAAGTTTCAGGCATTAAATTACAACCTATTTGCCATTTCTTTGTATGAAGCCAGTCAGATTCTTTGATTTGTCAATGCATAATCAACTTCAACATCTGATTGGTGCAGGTCCGTTTAGTAGGCCCTGCCCAGTGCTCATTTGGGTGACACCATGTACATTCAAAGTCTTTACTTTAAATTGGGTTAAAAGTATTAAATTAATACTTTAGTGGCCTTTAAATGAAGAACCAACATTTTACCATTGGTTGTTTCTTGTGTTTGTAGTTATTTAATTCCTGTTTAGCAAGGAATTAAATGTATTCAGTTCTTGTGCATTGAGTTCAATACCAATATATATATTTTTCAAATGAACAGGAGATTGACTTTGTGCGTTTCATGATGTTGCTGGTGAACCCCGACGCGGCGCCCCCTCTTCCGGAGCCGGTAGTGGAGGACTTCTTTGCAGAGCTGGACGGAGGGGAGAACGTCTTACAACTCACCGACAGCACCTTTGATGATGTCATCAACAAGGAAGAATCAGTCTTGGTCATGTTCTATGCTCCCTGTAAGTGAGACATTGTAGTTGTGCGGTGACGGGGTACCAGATCTTCATTTCTCAATGTTTTTTTGTTTAATGAGATTTCTCGAAATGATCAACCTCTAAGGAGAATTGCATTTCAATATTGATTTTAGAGCAGCATGCCGGGAAATTTGAATAAGCCATACTTTTCTCCATGTGGGTCATTCAATAAATTTAGGGTCCAAAGCGTGACTTTTTCCTTTCTTCATTGCTCTGAACTTAATTTTCCATGCTGGTATTCAGTGAATTTTTATGTAGCTGGGTAGATAGTTTGCTATTCATAATCACTCTTGGAGGACAACTCTCAGTGTTGTAGTCGAGACCCTGCTAGACCATCACAAGACTTTCACAAGACCTCCAGTCTCAATTCGAGTCGCAAGCTATTCAAATGAACTGCAACAAAGGCATTCCTATGTCATTGTTCATGCCCTGTTACTTGTGGCTGGTCTTGTAGCTGGTCTCATGATGGTCTCGACTACAACACTGACGACTGCAGTAAGCAGTGCATCAGAAATTTATAATCATAGATGTCAGATGTAACAGGGGCAGGGAAAAAAGTGGACCCCAAATTTATGGAATGACCCATGTACAACTCTTGAAGACATTGCTGCCGTACGCCTGACACATAAGTGTTAATTGTGCGCATTCATAAAATAGTTGTGAGTAATTTGGTCCTCACACTGATGTACCAGTGAATGCAATGTGAGCTGTCAAGAGTTGTTATGAAGTGCCGTGCTCCGTTCATTCAGAGGGTTGCTTGTCACCTTTTAAATTTCTTGCCTGGAGCCCATATACTTGGTGGTATCTCATTGGTTCTTATTTCTTGCTCTGCAGGGTGTGGTCACTGCAAGATGATGAAGCCTGCCTTCTCAGAGGCTGCAACTCTCCTCAAGGAGGCAGAAGTAAGATGCCTCTTTAATAATCCTCCCCTGTTCAACATTAAGATGTTTCTTTGATTAGATGCTGTCTTAAAGCAAGGCCTCATTTTCTGTGTCTGTATTATTTTGATGAGTTTCTTTAGTTCGGCACTTACAATAAAAGTCCTCCAAATGTAGGCATCTTGTATGCATCTTGTTGACAAGGCAAGCCAGAAAAGCTGGGCCCAGAGCACATCTTCTTTTCCATCGATTTCGAATGGTTAGTCACTGGAAGGGACTGTAGACTGGCCCTCTGCTACCAGCAAAAACAGTACCAAGTAGGACAGACGTAGGTTTGTGCATAAATCTTGACTCTGTCGACTGTTTGTAAGTTTGGGAGCAGATTCCCATTAATGAGTCTTAGGCCAAAAAAAAAAAGTCTCCGGTTTCTGGTATGCGCGCGCGTCGCTGTAGCCATGCGCGTCGGCAAAATGAAAAATTTTTTTTTTCAATGAAAGATGATGTCCCAAAACCGCCAAACTCACTGGTTTGACTGGAATCCTGCTGCTGCACAATTTTAACGTGTTTTTAGATGGAGTTATGGTCGAGCATAAGCTTTATGTGGCCTCTCTGGACTCCCAATCCCATATAGGCCTATTTGTACTAAGTTTAGTCGGGCACCATTTGCAGTCATCACACGGCATTTGAAGCAAAAAAGTCAGGTAAAAAAAAAAAAAAAGCCGCGTCGCCGCACCACTTTTTGGGCAAGCTCCATACCAGAAACCGGAGACTTTTTTTTTTTGGCCTTAAGGACATTTTTTTTTTCGCCTTCCATATTTTTCTTCGCGTTAATTTAATTTTGGCATCCTGCTGAATGTGGACATAATGTACTGTCGTTGACAAAAGTGACCACAGATTTCCATAGTGCTAGATTTGTTCAAGGGCCTGTAATCTGACAAGTAGCTCTGGTGACCTTTTGACCTTTGGGTTTTACAAATCAGGCGAACAGTTACTAGATACTGTCACTGACCTCACACTTACAAATTTTGTTTGGTATTTCAGGAATGACATACATTTTTTTAAATTCTTTTTTTATTGTACTATTTTGCAGACACCAGGCGTGCTAGCCGCAGTGGATGCAACTGTCAACAAGGCCCTGGCGGCTAAATACGAGATCCGAGGTTACCCACTATGTGAGTAGGTCAGACTGGCTTGAAGAGTGTGGGTACCAGACCTAGAATATGAGTTAGGCAACGTATTAGTAACTTGACATCCCAAATTCTGTAAGCAGCCTAACTGAGCCTTTTCCAAACATCGGCTTGTCTTCAGCATTGGCCATGTCACTGGTTCCCAACAGAAGCAGCTGGTGCCACTTCCGGCATTCTTATGCACACAGCCTAATTTGAGCAATTTCCAAAATATTGGCTTTTTCTTCAGCATTGGCTGCGTCTCTGATTCCAGACATGGGCCTTGCAAGTTGGGGGGGGGGTTCTGTTTGTGAAAAATATATACAAATAATAGCAAGAAAGACGCTGAAGTGGAGCACTTTTGCAAATCCTTGGATAGTTTTGACCAAATACTGAGATACCATTATCAAAAGCCCAAGTGCTCATAAAATTCACTGATAATTTCATTTCAGTTTGCTGGTCAGGTTCGGAAAAAAGACTATGACTACAATCCTGCATTGAACGCATTAAGTTCCAAGGATTTGGTGTTTCTGTACACATAGCGGAATCCGGTGACCAGAATTAGAAGCCATTACTGCAGCGGTGCCAGGCTCACGCGCATGCTGCACACGTTCTTAAAGATGAGGCGTGCGTGCATTTTGGTAACCCTATTGGTGGAAGGAACCCGGGGTGGGTGCGTATTACTTGAGCGTGACTCGCGCAAGCCTGGCGCCACCGCAGAGAATGGCTGTCGCCGAGTTAGTCTATATCACAGCAAACAAATTGTAGCCCAGTCTTACAGACGTCAATTGTTTTGAGGACAATTATGTGACTTGTTGCCGCTTTTTATTTGAATTGCCTCATGTAATTATTCGTTTTGATTTTTGTTTCTTATTGTTTTCCTGCAACTGCCCTGCTCCGCACCCGCAACATGATGTCTGCTCAGTAAAATATTTTAAGTAAGTGAAAGTGTAGATTGTAGATTCGTCTGTCCTTGTGTTACAAATGTTTTGCATGTACATGTAATAGCTGTTCATCAGTAAAAGCCAAACTTTCAATGTTCAGCTGTACTCAGTGCAGAACATATCGAACCACTCTAAGATGTCAGTCGGGGAGTGTGGCCTAGTGGTTAGGGTTTGTGACTCATGATCAGAGGGTCAGGGGGTTCAAATCCAGCTGCTGGCCATATTTTGTGTCCTTGGGCAAGCTACTTCACCCCAACTTGCCTGTGTCCACCAGGGAGTATATTTGGGTACCGATATTAGCTGGGGAGTAACTTGCAGTGGAATGGCATGCCATCAGGGGTGGGGGAATAGAAATATTCTCATTCATTTCATGCCGAGGCAACCAGAGATGAACGTCTGCTTGATGAACCAGACTTTACTTTTACTCAAAGATGTCGCAAGGGGTGTCCCTAGAGGGTGGATATGGGGGAAGGGGGGGGGGCGGGGGTAGTCACCTCCACTGGCAAATTTGTTATGTTGGCAAAAGTGTGAGTCTGTTGGCAATTATGCTACATCAAATGGCGCCACCTATTGTTCGATAGTGTCCTGAAGGGTTCGAATTGAACGGCACCCTAATCAATCACGTGGTGTCCAGCTCCCCCCCCCTTCCAGCATGGAGGGTCATCTCCAGAAACCTATTGTCGCATCCTTTTATTCACTTGGTCTGCCAACGACCGTATATATAAGTAGTTTAACCACAGACTAAAACCCAGCACTCCAACCTGCAAAGCTTCTAGTTATATAAAGTCATGATTTGTCTATGTATCTCTCTCCTATTACCAATGTTAACAGAAATGGAGAAGCAAATGATTACGTGTCGGGACGGTCTACAGAAAACATTGTCGACTTTATGAACAAGTAAGTTCATTCTTTTATAACTTTGCATGTATGTCAGGCTCCATGGCAATCACATTTGTCTGTAAACCATCCATTTGCTGATGAAATATACTATTTCTTACGTCACCAAAATTGAACGTGTAAAACCACACATACTGAAATTTGTATCCTTGTGGAGACATTTCTTTGTTCTCGTGTGGTGAAGTTTTCGAGTTTGAAAGTGTAATTTCAAAATGCTCTTATTTTAAACAGAATTAATTTCCTTGGCTGAAATTCTGACTTAATAGCCCTTTTCTAAAACTCTTCCATTTTGTGACAGATCAACATTCCTTTGAAATTCCTAGTTTTTTTAGTAAAATACATATATCTATTTCTTGATAACCTTGTGGAGATGTATTCATCTATAGAAATTGCCCTGTTGAGACGTATACATTCTTTTGTTCCCTATTGTGTGCATGTCTCCAGAGGGCACGGTGTATCAGATCATTATTTTATGCATAAAGTGTGGACTCGTACACACAGCATGAAATGTGATGTATCTTGCAGGGAAACCTGCACAATAAAATGTGGAGCGAGTGGACTTATGCTATTTGCCTGAAGTCTGTTAAGTTGGCTGCTCGTGTTCTGAGGCTGTTCCCTCTGGGAATAGTTCGCCTCCTTCATATGAATACACATTCTGGAGTTTTCGACATCGCAGCCGATTTCACGAAAGAGTTCGTAGGATTTACTCAACAATTTACAGTTGTTTTCACGAAACTTGGCGTAGCTGCGCCATGTTTTAAATCATTTAAACATCTCGGACGAGGATAATAACAGCATTTACGACCGCTGTTTGTGTATAAATTCTGTTCAGACAAAAATAGTCATTGAATAACATCTGCCCGCCATTGTTTTGTCCAATTTCCTGTGGAATTGTGGGGCAACTCTAAAAATTCTGTCAAAGGTAAAAGAGCGAGTCATTTACTACAAGCACAAAGCTGTGAGTGTCTTGTGTCGACATTATGTTGAGCAAAAACAGGTTCCACAAAGACGGGCAGCATGAAACGTAGAGTAACGCCATTGCCTAAATTTCGTGAAATCGGCTGTCGTTCTAAAACCTTTGAATTCTTTAAAACTCTCTTTTCGAATCAGTCCAAGTGAAGCGGCCACGCCAATCCCCCCTACCCCGGAACCCAAGTGGAGCGACGTGCCCAGCGCCGTCAACCATCTCACCCAGGCAAACTTCAAGTCTTTTACGGAGACCAACCGGTACGTCTTGACGATGTTCTACGCTCCGTGGTGCGGTCACTGCAAGGCCGCAAAGCCAGCGTTCCAGGACGCGGCCCAGGTAGTCAAAGACGAGGAAGGGATGGAGCTGGCTGCTGTGGACTGTACTGTGGAAAGAGGTAAGGTCTGGCCATGGACTCTCGCCACCTCAAGGAAGAAAGGATGAAGATGACCAATCCCTAATTTTTCTTGTCCCTGTTACATCCAACATCTATGATTTCATAATTCTGGATACCATCCTTATTCAGGCATGCAACTTCTCCTCGGATCAGTGGATTTCCTTGTTTGCAACTTTCCATGTGTGCCATTAAAAACTTTATAAACACTGTACAAACTCTCGTGCCGCTTTGAATTTCCTCGTTTTTTGTGGGATTTCTAGTTGCATGTCTGCTTATTGTATTCTTCCTGCAAGAGAGATTATGTGAAGCAAATAACCTACCTAACAAATAAAAATTAACTTGAAGTCATTGTTTATGATGACACATGTATGGCAAATTACAAAGTTCCGAAGTAACATGGATGGGAAAAATGTCACACTTTGTGCTATAAATTTATAGAATGACCCATATCCCGTATGCACATCATTTATAATGGTTCTTATTGAATAGGGGTTTTATGCATTGGATTGTAAAATTATGAAGAAAAAAAACCCATAAGGGTACTGTGGAATATGGTAACTATTAGTTCAGAATAATCTGTTATAATTAGCAGAAATTCTTTGCTTTGATTCATTGAAAAGAACAGCTGCGAATCATTTGAGAGGATGAACTTTGTGAGAAAAGTATTTTTTATTAAATTTGATCAGTCATTGTTCAACTGGCTACAGACAATTGTTAAAGACTTAAGATTGGTTTTGGATTCTTACTTTTCATCCTAGATCTGTGCAGCGACTTCGAAGTCCAAGGGTTCCCTACTTTCAAACTTTTTACGGAGGGCTCCCCCACGGAATACCAGGGCGGCCGGACGAAAAGCGATTTTTACAACTTTATGCAAAGCCTGAAAAGCGGAGCCGGGGACCAGCCAAAAGAAGAGCTCTGATGACAGCTACCGGGCAAAGTGGTGTTCGTAGCAACCATTTCGGTTTATCATTTTATATTATTACATACACGGTTTGGAGGTGGAGGGAATTCTTTTTATACCCATTTACCCCCCCAAAATTTACCTGTGACTTGACATTCATCCTGAAGAATATCAACCTTGGGGTCAACATGAGGTCATGAGGAATTGGGGTCACGACCTTTGCTCTTTCATATTTTATTATTTTTGTGAAATGCGCCATATTTTGTAAATCTGTAGTGTAATGGCTTTAACAATGTGTTTAATTTTCTAAACGTTTCTAAACTCACAAACGGTTTTTTGCATTAAAACAGATGGAGTCAAAACAATACTACACAATATACAATACATCCTTTCAGCATCATCAGCATAATAAGTAAACCATCAATTGTGAGGTGTTCTTGCAAAATGAGATGCCAAAACAGGGCACAGGTCGTAGTTGAGAATTGTTTTTAAAGATTTTCATATTTGTTGATACATGCACTTTAAAGAAATAGAATAAAATTGTGAAATGAAAGCGTTTTTAAGGAAAAAACAATTGGGCATCTTTCTTATTCACATCTACAAAACAGTTGGAACTTTAAAGGTATTTTTCTCAGCATTTCACTGCCAATAATTCAACTGTTTTCAACAAATATTCAAGTAAACATTGGTGGATTTTTTTATTTGATGTCTCATTCAAAAGAAAGAGCAAATCCATTTTTCGGGGTGAAAATTTCAAAATAGCACGGGGACTGCATCTTTTAATTATATCTTAGATTTTTTTATTCATTTAATTATGTTCTGAATTTGTCATTTGAGATATTTTCTTTCATTTAGACAATTTATTGGGGAAGAAAAACAATTTAAGGTGTTTTGAAATAATGTAAATTTTACTTTTTTGGTTTATTTTCGAGGAATCCTAAATTTTCTCAGTTGTAGGTACAGGTACTTAAGTTTATTTTGTTGCGCAGGTAATTGTGTGAATTTCTTTAAATTTGTATACGTATGGGTTGATTTCTTATATTTCAGCTTGCTATTTTGAAGTCTTCCTATTTTCACTATCATTTAAGCTATGATTGGTTTCATTTTTGGGTCTTTGGGCATTTTGAAAATTATTTCCAGAGCATCATTTTTGACATTAATCTCCAAAATAAATCTTGGTAGATACAGTTGGTATTCGAATCTTCTGTGTCACCACCAAATTGTTTCCTTACTTGGGATAGGCCTTCTAAGGGTTCAGAATTTCCATTTCGTGAAGTAATAATTTAACGCTTTAAATAACCGTCTCCAGCAGTGAAACCTTGGGGGGGGGGGGAGGGGGGTCAGTGTACTTCATATGGCTTAATGTTTTGTTTAACAGTATACAATTTTGAGCAATAATAATATTCATCCATCTTTAGCTACTCGAATCATGTTTTCAACATTTCAGGATTATTTCATCATGTTAATTAAGAAAACAGCAATAACTTGGGCATTTTGCCTGTAGAACTGGCTCTTTGTAATAAATAAAACTTGGCCTTTGTTTTTGTGATCGGGCGCGACACTAGTTTGGTTGTGCGTTGTTTCAGTTCAGTGTAAAAAAAACCAAAAATGGTGAAATTTAGACTCGTTTCTCAGTTATGTTTCATCATTTTTACCGAATGCAGTAAAATGAATATAATGATCTACCCGAGCTTTGTTGTGTATGCATTTGTGTATATAACACAGCAACAAATATAAACGTTGTCATGGTTGTACACTCTATATATCCGATATCAATTTGTGCAACATTTATCACTATTTGCTATCAAATAATTGGTTTTAATATGAAAAAAGAACCAATTTGATAATTTACAAATTCCCCTTACAATGGGACACCCCCTTTTTCTCAAGGGGGAAATATTCATGTATCAAAACAGACGTGGAAATATTTTTCTCCACGTCCCCAAAACCTTCCAGGAAATAAGGTAGGCCTCATAATGTACATTTCTGTCGTTTGTCCATGAACAAAAAAATCTGTTGTTTCCGCTAATGATATTAATCAATATAACATTGTGTTCAGCGGGCGTTGAATAAACAAGACCACAATAGTCTGAAGGTCGCTCGCTATACACGACTCCAGCTATGCAAACAAAATGACACCATGGGAAATTCGTTTATGATTAGTCCTTTTCTATTATTACTCAACAACACTTGTTATTATGACAAGGTGTAAACAAGGTTCTTCAGTTTTCAATGAATTTTTCACTGAAATTTGAGTAATATTCACATAAACGTGGTTTTTTGGGCTAATAAAAAAAAATAATGGAACAGGTACCTCAGAAATATTAGTTGTAATGATAAAGCAGAACAAAATGAACATTGCAGTGATGATTAATAATAATTCTTCTTTCTTGTTTTGTTTCAAATATACTATGCCTATCACCCTATTGTGCACAATATTGTCCGAACTTGGAGCCACAGCTCTACACTGTAAAAAATAATGGGTAAAGCGTTTAGACATGCCCATAAGCACATTGTTGACTGCTGTCAAACGGGACTCGTATGGGTTTTTAAGCTCTCGGGGACGCACGGCATGCACCCTCAGCTTCCTAAGCTGGTTCGAACCCCACCTGGTACACCTCGTGGATTGATTTTGGTGTCTTTTAGATCTTTTAGCTTATTAATTTCTTAATTTCTTAGGGTTCGACTGTTCCAGAATCGACTTCATACGTGACGAGCAACAGCTTTAAGCTCTCAGCAACGTTCAAGTATTAACTTCACTTTGTTTCCAATTCCAAACAAGAATGTGAACAATATATACAGAAAGTATGGATAAGAGTATACATAATGCAATGGAAATAAATTATAATTTGAATGACAAATATGGATGGGGTCCATAAAAAGTACAGCTTGTCGAGTATATTGGCCCCCTAAAGTAAGTTATTTGTAGATTGGGTATATCAAAGGATAGGACCCGAGCTCAACAATCAACACAGTAGAAAAAACCCCAAATGTAACATGTTGCACAAACAATAGCAATAGAGAAATATGAAATGCATGAACTTAATGAAGGAACCAATGTAAACCATAACGAGAATGAATTACCAGGGCTTTGTTGAAAATGTAGCAATGATACATTGACCAAAGTCTAACGGGCTAGCACTTACTACAGACATTTTAAATTGTGTCACATGACCAATGTTATTACGTTGGAAAACATTGTCACTCAATGTTGTCAATCTTGATTCAGTGCATCAGGCATATTTTTATATATACGTTGACTGCAAAACCTCATCCAACCACACCTTTAAAAAAACTTTGACTTGAAAGTCCCAGCCGACTCCCTTTTTGAAAAACCTGTATCCGTTTTTGATCTATGAGAGAACAAGTCCTGTTGAAGAGCACAAAGCGAATATTTTTAACTAATTTAAATTTTTTTTTTCTTTCGATATCGTCCCTTCCAAGAACCCAATGTTAACAACGAAACCAGAAGACGGGTGTAGGCGTTTTAAATCGCCTACTCCCCCCGATTACGGCTCAGCGGTTGTGACGTTTCTGATTATAAATCGTAACAAGAAAAAAAGCGCCCTCTGGTGTTAAACTTAGGCCCATCGGCTACTCGCGATCGCATGGCTCAAATGGGACATCTTGGGGTTGTTCGCCGTACAGGATCGCTCCACACAGCAGGCACTTGTTGGCATACACCGACCCATCGATGGTGCATTGTGGGTCCAGATTTCTGGGACAGGCCAGGGGGTGCATACCCTCGCAGAAGCCTGGGTACTGTGGAGAAGACGGTGGGGTTTAGTGCTTTTATTGCCAACTGCAGGGACGTGGGACCATGCTTGAAAATTTAAACTGCGGGGGGGGGGGGGGGGGGGGGGCAGTGGCGCACCCAGGATTTGGTTTGGGGGCCCACAATTTCTTTTTTTTCAAATTTTTTAGAAGTAAATTTTTTTTCAAAACATTATGGCCGCAGAAAAAAAATTGGTTTTTTTTTGGGGGGGGGGGGGGACGGACGAGTGACGTTGGCTGCTCCACTTACACCCCTATTATACTACTCACAAATAGGTCACATACATATCACCAAGGTAAAATCGTGGGGAAAAAAATTACAAAAAAAAAAATTGACCACCTCTTGGGGGGGGGGGGGCGTAATTTTTGTTCCTAGGAGGGTTAGGGGCAATGTCATGAATAATTCAGTTTTTCCTTTGAATCATTGCAAGACATAGGTTCTCGTTCTATTTTCCCCTTAATTTAAAATTATCTTAGTGATAGATTTGGAGAAGAAAAATAGCTGATGAAAATGAGCAGCGACGACGTGGATTCGAACCAGGGATCTTTGTATCCATAGCTCACCTCGCTATCCACTAGGCTACTGTGTGGTAGCTCGACGACAACCGTTCTTTAAAATGCTTTAATGTATGTAACTAGTTGAGTAACTAACAACAATGCTGTTGATGTCATTGTCCGTTCTCATGGATAAACATGAATTATTCATGACATTGCCCCTAACCCTCCTAGGAATAAAAATTACGCTTGGGGCGGGGGGGGGGGGGGGGGTTCAAGCCCCCCGAGCACCCCCACTTGGTGGCGCTTGTCAAATGTACATGTTCGCACGTGGTGGATAGGCTGCATGTGTCATACGCTCATTTCTAGCAGTATCTATTGATGAATTCACAACATAAAATTCTTTGGAAGACTTAGTATAGTCTAACAATCAAGCTGGAAGAATATTTAGAAGATTTAGGTCTCTGTGGTAAAAATTGAATGTGCAGCCATGGGAACAATTGTTGAGGCTGGGGGGCATTACTTTTTTGGTCCCACCCACAAATATTGGGGTTTTTTTGGGGGGGGGGGGCGACATGTGCCCCCGTGATCACCGCCCATGGCAAAAGAGCACTCTGAAAATTGATCTTGACTATATAAGTAAGCTTGACGAAAACAGATGACCACTTTTCGTTATGATATATACTACAGTATAAACAGTATGTACAACTGCAGCAGGCCTATGGATAGTCAGCTGGGTGCAAGCTTGACTTCTCAGTCTAGTCTGATCTGATAGTTACGAGGTGATTAATGCGTGTGGGGGAAATTGTGTTCACGAGGCAGGATGCCCAGTTGCACCCAATATGAAAACATGGGTTCTCAGTCGTTCGCCATACGAAATACCAAAAAACCATGAAAAACTCACCTCCATTGGTTCCAATGGTAATGCAGTGCAGAAATCAGTCAGGAGGAACACTGCGGACAATATTGAAAGATGAGACACAATGAAGGATTACAAAATAATACCTTTAAGTATGTATTTTTGTGGAAGAAAATGAATGGCCTTTCATAAATGAAGTTTTCAGAAGTAAAATGTTTAAAAATCGATCTGAACTGTGTTTGCCGATGTGCAAGACGTTTAGAATGGGTGAGAAAATAAGTACAATGACAACATCAAAATCTGCAAGATATTGTTTGTAATTTTACTGAAAAATGACAACAAAGTTACGACGGTCATCCTAAATACGTCAAGGAAAGAGAGAAGGCGGCGCAGGCGGATTTCAAATAAAGCAGATGTTTGGGAAAAAAAGGACAGAAATTATAGAAAACTGTCCATGTTTTTGTCTTGTTTTTAAATCCATTCCTCATGTATCTGTTGTAACATTACACGCATAAAATAATTCTGAATCTGTAGTGGGCCAACTTACCTGCGATTGCAATGCCGATCAGCAAAACAAACGGACGCATGTTGGAGAGTATATGGCTTTGTCTTTCCAAACAACTACAGCTTCTGTGTTTAATTAATAATGTCGTCGAACGCAGTGTTCTGTACTATAAAGTGATGACGGAGAACGTAACAGACTTTATTGTGAAATCCGACGCCGCTTCCTTTTTATCTTATCCTGTTCATTGTTTAATACAAGGTCTAATTAACCAATGAAATGTAAATATATCATATACGTCAAGCGATATTGAATGCAGTGACACGTGTATTGTTGGTAAATTTCAGAATAGGCCTACACGTTAGTCACGTCAACAGCATTCAACAGCACTTTGCTTTAATATTGAAAGGGTCGAAATCATTCGTAATGCATGGTACAAAGTCTAATAAAAAGAGAGTGCTTGTACAAATACAGAGCGGAAAGAGCGCCCTCCAATAAGGGCGGGACTACGGGGTACATGGTGGCTCACCACACTCCCTCCAACTGACCAATGATCTGTTTATTTATTTATTTATTTATTTAAGTTGCGTTGATTGCAGTGATTCATTAATTTGTTTGATTGTAAAGACATGAGACTCCAAGCTTTTGTGAAAAAAAGAACGGAAGGCACTCGCTCGAGAAAGTCAAAAATTGAGAATTTATAATGTTAGACTATATCTAGACAATGGTGGATCCAGGATTTTTCAAAGGACTGTATGAATCCGCGGAACATCATATGAATCAAATGCTTGTATTTCTGTTTTTTTTTAAATGAAAATCAAACGGAGATATACGTTCTTTGTTTTTTATTTCACCAAAAGTAACAATGAAATCACGCTTGAACGCGTAACAAAAGCGTCATTATTGTATGTTTTCATACTCCAATCATCCTCTCTCGCCATGCCAAGAAAAGAGGGTGTTATTTGAATTCAGTAGTAACAATTTCATGAATAGCCTATCCAAGCTATACAATACTATTATTCTAACTCCGTACTGTTGAAGGTCTGTGCACGAACTG